GCTTTGGTGGGAAGCTGGGTATTGAGCCAGAGCTGGGAATTGAACCCAGGCACTCCAGCAGCTAAATGCCTGCTCCCTTGCTGGAATTTTTTTTTTAAAGATTTATTTATTTATTTGAAAGAGTTACACACAGAGAGGAAAAGACAGAGACAGAGACAAAGAATCTTTCATCCACTGGTTCACTCCCCAAATGGCCACAACAGCCAAGATTAGGCCAAATCGAAGCTAGGAGTCAGGAGCTTCTTCAGGATCTCCCACATGTGTTCAGAGGTCCAAGTACTTGAGCCTTCTTCTGCAACTCTCCCAGGCACATTAGCAGGGAGCTGGATTGGAAGTGGAGCAGCTGGGTCTCGAACTGGTGCCCATATGGGATGCCAGCTTCACAGGCGTTGGCTTTATCCGCTATGCCACAATGCCAGCCCAGGGATTCTTAATTCATTAGTTGGCATTGCTATTTCTGCAGTTATTTTATCTCCTTTGCCAGTTCTATACTTTCTATCTTTGTGGACGTGCAAGGCTGTACTTTTAAAGCCAATGATTCTTACCCAAGATAAGCTACACTATTTATAGTCAATGTCAATCAATCATATTGGATTTTTCCAAGTAGACTATTTTTGATACTTTGTAGGAGATTAAATCCTCTTAACTATTTTTACATAATCTCTATCAAAAGCATTTCTTTCACAGCTGCTATCACACTGCCCCCTGGGGGTCACTAGGTAGAAGTGCAGTCTCAGTGGCCTTAGACCTTAAGAATTTAGCAGATAGCGAGTAACAACACATTTCAGTATCATCACAGTGGAAAGTCTTAAAGTATCCCTGGAATGTCAGGTAAATTCATCTTTGTGTGTATAATTTTAAAAACAGTTATATCAGAGGTTTTTAAAAAAGATTTATTTTATTTATTTGAAAGGAAGAGTTGCAGAAAAAGACAAAACAGAAAGAGAGAGAGCGAGCGAGAGAGAGCGCTTCCATCTGCTGGTTCACTTCCCAAATGGCCACAATGTCAGGGGATGGGCCAGGCCAAGGCCAAGAGCCTGAAACTCCATCTGGATCTCCATGTGGGTGGCAGGGGCCAAAATTCTTGGACTACTTCTGCTGCTTTCCCAGTCACATTAGCAGGGAGCTGAATCAGAAGTGGGACAGCTGGGACTTGAACCGGTGCTCTTATGGGATGCCATGCAGCTTAACCCACTGTGCCACAATGCCAGACCCTCAAAATTTTCTAAAAAGAGGCAGAAAGAAAAACAGGTAGACGGACAGAGAGCTCCCATCTGTTGATTCACCCTTCAAATGCCAACAGTGGACAAGAGTGGGCCAAGCTAAAGTCAGGAACCAGGAACACGGTTCAGGTCTCCCACATGAGTGGCAGGACCCAATGACTTGAGTCATCACCCAAGGTCTGCATTAGCAGAAATCTGGGGTCAGGAGTTGGAGCTGGATATGAAACCAAGATACTCCAATGTGGGATATGAGTGTCTCAACCAGCATCTTCATCTTTAGACTAAACACCACCCCTTCTCCAAAAATCTTTTTGATTTGCTGTTGGATTTGGTTTCCTGAATTTTGTTGAAAATATTTGCATTTGTATTCATCAGGGATATTAGTCTGTAGTTTTCTCCTTTTGTTGTGCTTTTTAATCCATTTGGCTTGTCTATATATATTTTTAGTATTCTTTTTTAAAGATTTATTTTATTTATTTGAAAGCTATAGAGACCGAGCGAGTGAGTGAGTGAGAGAGATTGGTTTTCCATTTGCTGGTTGACTCTCCAAATGGGTGCAATGGCTGGGGCTGGGCCAGGCCAAAGCCAGGAGTCTGGAACTTCATCTGGGTCTCTCATGTGGGTTGCAGGGACCCAAGTACTTGGGCCATCTTCCACTGCTTTCCCAGGAACATTAACAGGGAGCTGGATCTGAAGCAGAGCAGCCAGGACTCAAACCGTTGCTCTGAGATGGGATGCCAGCATTCTAGCCAGCAGCTTAACCCACTTCACCTCAACATTGGCCTCCCAGTCTATATCTTGTGATTGGAGTATTTAATCCATTTATATTCAAGGTTATTATTGATAGGTTAGAATTTAATCCTACAATTTTGTTAAGTTTTCTGACTGGTTTGTTTGATCCATTCCATCTCTTATTATCTCTGGTTTGTTAGTTTCCTGTAATGATAAAGTGTCTTTCTTACCAAAGTTGGATGTGTTCTGTTTCCCAAGGACTCATGTGTTGTTTGCGTGGTCCTCAGTGTTCCTCTGTAGGAACCGATAGAAACTTTAAGAGGTGGGATCTAGTGAGAGTTCCCTGGGTCACTAGGAGCACTGTCCTTGGGAGGGAATATGGTCTCCTGGGATGAGTTCTTACAGAAGCAAGTTGTCATAAAAGCCAGAGTCTCCTTCCAGCTCGTTCTTGAGATGTGAATTCTTCAACCCACACATGTTCCTGCTGTCCCTCAAACAAGCCTGTGAGTGAAATTTGGACTGTCAGCTTCCAAAACTGTTACCAAAATAAGGCTTTTCTTTATAAAATTAGCCTGCCTCAGCTATTTCATTATAGTGATGAAAAGCTGACTGCTACAATTCTTTTCTCTTTTACATTTATGTGTATATTTTACCTATGAGATGTATTTTTTTAAATTTATTTATTTATTTGAAAGAGTTACAGAGATAAAGAGCAAGAGAGAGAGGTCTTCCATATGCTGGTTCATTCCCCAAGTGGCTGAAACAGCCAGGTCTGGGCCAGGCCAAAGCTGGGAGCCAAGAGCTTCATCCGGGTCTCCCAAGAGGATGGCAGGGGCCCAAGTATTTGGGCCATCTTCTGCGGCTTTTCCCAGACCATTAGCAGGGAGATGAATTGGAAGTGGAGCAGCTGGGACACAAACTGGCACCCATGGCAGGCAGCGGCTTTACCCACTATGCCACAACATTGGCTCCAAGACATTTCCTATGTCTTTCTGTGATGGTAGCTATCATCCTTTCACATCCGTCCAGATGTAGGAATCCCATTATCCAAGGCAGTAGGAAGAGGTTTCCATGATAATATAAACAGAGTCACTTTCTCAGTTAAGGGACATTCTAGGGAGCAGGAATTTGGTGCAGTGTTTAAGCCATCACTTGTGAGCTCTGCTTCTATATTGGAATGCCTAGGTTTGAGTCCTGGCTCTACTTCCTATCTAACTTCCTGATAATACTCACCCTGGGAAGCAGCACATGATACCTCAAGTATGTGGGTCCCCGTTACACATGTGGAAGACCCAGACTGAGTTTTGAGTTCCTGCCTTCAGCTTGGCTCAGCCCCAGCTGCTACAGACCATTTGAGAAGTGAACCAACAGTTGGAAGGTCTCGCTGTTTTCTCTACCTCCTAAACACGTAATTTTTTAAAAAGATACATTCCAGGCATCAGTGACCAGCAGGAAATGGTTATTAATCCTACAGATTGTGAGTGTCACTTAGCAGACAAGACTGTGGTTGGTCATGACCAATATAGCCAGAGTTACGTTAAGCTGGATCCTGAAAGTGATATCTCACCATGGTTTTGGTTCGCATTTCCCTAATTATAAATGATGTTGTCTATACTGTGTATCTTCTTTGGAGAAATGCCTATTCAAGTCTTTTGTCCAATTTTTAATTGGGTAGTTTGTTTTTTGTTGTTGTTGTTTAGTCAGAAGGATTCTTTACATATTATCTGCACATTAATCCCTTACTAGATATGTGATTTGCAAATATTTTCTGCCATCTGTGGGTTGCCTTTTCATTCTGTTGATAGCGTACACAAGTTTAAAATTTTAACAAAGGGTTATTTATCTTTTTCTTTTTTATTTGTGCTTTTGGTATCATATCCAATAAATTAATTATTCTTTGCCAAATCCAATGTCACAAAAAATTTCTCCTTTTTCTAAGGGTTTAATAGTTTCCATTGGTAAATTTTGACCTAATATTTATGATGTAAGGTAAGGGACCAGCTTCATTCTTTTGTCCACTGTTGCAAAGACTGTTCTTTACTGATTAAATGGTCTTGGCACTTTTGCCAAAAATCATTTGATCATATACATCAGGGTTTATGTCACATCTTTGGAATACAATTAATTTTTTTAATCCTTTAGATCACTAAAACCCATAAAACACTAATTTTGCGACATTATTTTATGGTAACAGTGATTTGCTGAAATGAGACAAATCTTTAGGGAACAAATACATAATCATTACTTATATATTCATGTATTTTCAGTGTGTCAACCATCCAAACATGGCTGCTGCACAACAAAACCAGAAATGGGCAATACTAAATCAATTCATGTTCTTACATATGAGACGTCCAGTTAAATAGAAAACACTGCTTTATTTATCTCTGTGTGTGCACGTTTGTTGAAAATACACTGTCCTGGTTTTCCTGCCCATCTTATCATATCTGAAATGACCCAGCACAACACGATCATGCCTATCATTAAACTATCAGCACATTAGGAATTCTTGTACGCTTTAAATTACATTATCCTTAATCTTCCAAAGGCAAGCAAACAAGAAACCCAAACATACTGCACACTCACACACTCACACCCACACACACAGGCAGGCCTGGATATGACAGGATACTTCTGCAAGAAACAATATCCTAAAAGTGTCTACCCTGAAAACCAGCAAGCGGCATAACCGTTGTGCAGCGTCAGTAGCAGCTCTTATCCTGGTAACTACTGTTCGTAAATGACCATGTCAACAGCGTTTATTCTGATAGTTCTGCACTGACGCCACGAGCCGCTCAGCAGCAACCGGCCACGAACCCCCGTCCAGGCCCGTGGCCCTCCGCAGCGGCGCCCACACAGCGTCCGGTAAGCCGCAGCTCCCCGCGCGTCCAGCGAGGCCCGAGCTCGCCCACCGCCGCCTGGCGCGGGCTGCCCTACAGGGGGCGCTCGCGCCCCGCGTCCGCGGCCCGGGAGCCGACGCAGGTCCCGCCTTCTCGCTGGCCCCGCCCAGCTGGCGCGTCGCGTCGCCGTCAGGATCCGGGCCGCGCGCGTCAGGCGCCCGCGCTCCCGTGCTGAGCCGCGGCGGAGGCGGCAGCATGGAGGGCGAGAGCACGCAGGCGGTGCTCTCGGGCTTTGTGCTCGGAGCGCTGACCTTCCAGCACCTCAGCACGGACTCGGACACGGTGAGCCGAGTGGCCGGGAGGCTCGCGTCGGCGTCGCCGAGGGAGAGCCCCGCGCGCGGCCCTACCCCGCCCGCCGGCTCCCCCGACGCCGCCGCGCCGCCGTCCTCCCGTCGCGGTCCTTGCGGTGCCTCCCGCTCACCAAGTCTTCTCCGACATTGGCGTTCCCCTTCTGACCTGTTCGCTTCCGTTCCCCGACCCGAGTGCTCCACACGCCCGAGCCGCTCCTTCATCACCGCCCCCTTTTTTTTTTCTGGTCCAACTCGGGCGGGAAAGGAGCAAGAGTCCCGGCGCGTCGTCCCGCGCCTGCGGGCGGTGGCCGCCGACCTCTCGCCGCCCTGAGGGCCGCGCCTGCGTGCGCACAGCCGGGCTCCTCCGCCGTGCGCGCCGGTGGACCGTGGGAGGGGGCTCCACGCCGCCCCCGCCGCTCGTCTTCGCCGGTCCTTAGCGGAGGAAAGGGCTTAGTTGGGTGTATCGCCTCTCTCATGCTGTTCGTGTTGCTGTCCGAGCTGTTGAAAGTGTGAGGCCCCGGCTAGTTCCTGCTTTGCTACTTTTCAGTTTATCCCTGAAAAGTTAGGTGTTTACGTTCTGGTCTAGGTTCAGAATCTCTGGGTGACGATCAGAAGTGGACTAGTTTTTAAAAATTCAGCGCCTGCTTTCTAAAACTTCATGAAATGGAAACACACACTATGTAAAACTGAATTTCGGAAGCGTCACGTAGTAAGTGCTTAGTAAAACTTGAAGGAAATTACACGCACCTCAAGTTCCCTTTCCTCCCCACTGTATGATAGTCTGCACAATACCATTTGAACAGTCATTTATGCAAGATGTTGTGCCCTTCACTTTAAAATAATGAGCTAATAATAACAATAACAATCCTAATAAAAGTTGGCCTTAGTATGTTTTATGTATACAATTTCAAATTAGCACCTAGTGAAAGGCAGATGTAGTGTAAAATACGTGTGTAGTTGTGGAAATTATTTCCGTCAGTCTTTAGTGTAAATACAACCAGTCCTTACACCCTCTGTAGCTTAAAGGATTAGCCTTTGGAAAGTTCCTTACCTTAGGGTTGGTTTCTCAGATCTTTTGGTGGAAGTCTTTAAAATGGTTGTTTTCTGAATGGCTGCACTTGCACATACCCTGCTTCCTTCCCCAGTTTCTGACCTGGGAAGCATCACAATCAACACTGGACTCTAGTTCTGGGTTCTTCCTCCCCATTTGATTCCAGCAAGGCATTAGTTAATAATTATAAAGCAGATAAAATCTTCATTGCCAAGCATACTGTTAAGCTTACCTACAGGAATCATTGAATTTTCTAGAATGCAAAGAAATAACCTCTATTGTGGCCTGGGTTTTTACAAGATTTGGAGCACATAGCAGCACGTTAAAAAAGCAGATTCTGAAATTGAATCCCGACTCTTCATTGTTTCATCTTTGCCCAATGTTTCATATTTTACACCAATTTAAATTTGGAAATACCAATCATTGTGTCATATAGCTGAGAAACGTCCAGACTTCCAGAAGCAGGTATGGTTCAGCCCAGACCCTGGATGTTCTGTAATTGGCTCTGTCCTGTCTGTCTCCTTCAAAGAGAGGGGCTTTCTGTTCCAGTGCCAGCTGCTCTACTTGCTCCTCAATTATGTGCTTATTTCATGGCTTTAAAGAGTATCTTAGGCTTTAAGGTCTGCCAAGTACTACAAGTGCTGCCTGAACAAATACTGCCCAGCACTTTAAAGTCAGATCCATTTTTGTCACCTCCACGGTGCCTTCTCCAATCATTTGAGGCCATTTCAGTCTCCTTCCCCTGCCTAAAACTACGGTAGTATGCACAGTCTGTTATAACTATTTGTGTTCTCCAAGTAAACAGAAAGCACCTCAGGTCTTTGTGTACACACACACACACACACACTTGAATATAGTGGGGCTTATAAAAGTTCATTGAAGTGTAAAATTAAGACGTGTCTTTTGTTGCATTATTATATCTATCTACCTACCTACCTATTTAAAGGTTTATATATTTATCTGAAAGGCAGAGGGAGAGACAGAGATCTTCAGTCTGCCGGTTCACTTCCCAAAGGCCACAACGGCCAGGGTTCTGCAAGGCTGAAGCCAGAAGCCAGGAACTCCATCTGGGCTTCCCGTGTGGGTGGCAGTGGCCCAAGCACTTGAGTCACTTTTTACAGCTTTCCTAGGCGCATTAGCAGGGAGCTGGTTTGGAGGTGAAGCAGCTGGGACAGGAACCTGTGCCCATAAGATATGCCAGTGCCACAGTGCTTAACCCACTGTGCCACAACACAGGTCCTGCAAAAGAAATTTTGAAATTTTTGCATAGATGTTTTCCATGAACTTCTTGTAGTGCTCTCATACATTGTAAAATATTCAGAAAATATCACTTGGTGACTAAACAGTAATTCTGTTGGTTTATTCCATATTCTACACTTAATCTCAGCCAAAAGCCAGAGAAGTGATGGTTTATTCCATAACTTTTATGCTTTCTATTCTTATCTTCATAGGAAGGTTTTCTCATTGGGGAAGTGAAAGGTGAAGCCAAAAATAGCATTACTGATTCCCAAATGGATGATGTGGAGGTTGTTTATACAATTGGTGAGTCATTTACTTCTGTGTCTTCTATTTTTGATGCTCTGTACTAAAAGAGTTCAATTTAAATTAGTTTTAAATATATGTAATATGTAATGTGCTTTATATATACACATGCTTTTTAAGAGCAGAATTTAAATATACTGTACTTCTTTTCCAATTAAAATTGTGATCATCAGTTGGCCTAAAGCAAAAAAACAAACCATTCCTGCTGTGTAGGTGGCAGGAAGATGGGCCAGCAAAAGGAAGACCAAGGAAAAATACAAGTAGTGTACACAGAAATGTTAAGTTGCCACAGAAAAATCTGGGGTTGAGAACTGAAAAAACACTGGTTAGATTACTAAAAACCTTTTGTGATTTCTGAAATTCAGTGGGGGAAAGACTAGATGGTGAGCTTTTGAGAAGTAAGTTGTGAAGCACTTACAGCCAGTGGCAGCTGTTCTTCCAAAACAAAAGAGGGGATGGAGGGAGTTTTTAAAATACCTAGCGGGACAGTTGTTTGGTCTTAGCAATTAAGATACCTGTATCTCATATTGGAGTACTTGTGTTCAGTTCCTGGCTACAGCTTCTGACTCCAGCTTCCTGGTAATGCAGATGGCAAGCAGGCATACTGGTTTAAGTAATTTGGTTGCTTCCACCCACATGGAATGCCTGGATTGAATTGCCAGCAAAGCCCTGTCTATTTTGGGCCTTTGGGGAGTGAGCCAGTAGATGGGAGCACTTACTCTGTCCCTCTCTGCCTCTCAAATAAATAAAAAAATAAAAGTTTTACAAATTAAAAAAAAATAACAGGGAATTTTCTGACTACCTTATTATGTGTGTATATATATATGCATATTTTTTTTCAAGATTTATTTATTTATTTGAAAGAGTTACAGAGAGGCAGAGACAGAGAGAGGTCTTTTCATCTGGTTTACTCCCCAGATGACTGCAACGGCCGGAGCTGTGCCAATCCAAAGCCAGGAGCCAGGAGCTTCTTCCAGGTCTCCCACTTGGGTGCAGGATCCCAAGCACTTGGGCCGTCTTGCACTCCTTTCCTAGGCCATAGCAGAGAGCTGGATCGGAAGTGGAGCAGCCAGGACGCAAACCAGTGCCCATATGAGATGCCGGCACTTCATCGCTACAGCACTGGCCCCCTAATATATTTTATTTTAGGCACATGTCTTTTTTAAAACCAAACCGGTAGTGTGCTCCACAAAAAGTTTAGTATCCTGACATGTTATGTCTTGATCATATTCTCAAGTAAATAATTCCCTACAGTATCATCAATATAATATTTTTGGTAACTGCTGTGTATTCTGCTCTTACAGTCTTTAAATAGTCATTTAAATTATAATCAGCTACTTCCAGGTTTTTTTTGAGAGAAAACCAAGATTTATTTAAGTCTGAAACCTCCTGCTGAAGCAGCCAAGAGGGGGGCCGGTTCTTTGCTGTAAATTATACTAAAGCAAATATCCTGTGCATACATCTTTTGGCTTTCTTTATTATAGATTCCTAGATATAATATTACTATGTAATTTTACTATTGTCACAGGGTCTGGACATTTTTAAGGTTTTGATTTGCATTAACAAATTGCTTTCCAGAAAGATAAAACCGTTTCTACTCAAAACCATTTTAAAAAAAGTTTATTTTAAAGTTATTTGAAAGGCAGAGCGATAGGGAGAGAGCTTCCATCTGCTGATTCATTCCCCATATACCCACAACAGCCAGGTTTGGGCCAGGCTGAAGCTGGGAGCAGGAACTCTATTCTGGTCTCACAAGAATAGCAGGAGCTCAAGTACTTGGGCCATCTTCCACTGGTTTCCCAGACGCATTATTAGGAAGCTTGATTGGAAGTGGAGAAGCTGGGACTTGAATTGGCACTCTGATACAGGATACTCATGTGGCAAGCTGCAGCTTAATCCCTGAGCCATAATACTGGATCCACCATAACTTTTGTTTTTAAGATTTTATTTTTTTATTTGAGAGGTATAGAGTTGCAGAGAGAGGGAGAGACAGAGAGAAAGGTCTTCTTTTGGTTCACTCCCCAAATATCCACAGTGGCTGGACTTGGGCCAATATGAAGCCAGGAGCTAGGAGCTTCCTTCAGTTTTCCATGTAGGTGCAAGGGCCCAAGCACTTGGACCAACTTCTACTTCTTTCCCAGGTGCATTTGCAGGGAGCTGGATCGGAAGAGGAGCAGCTGCGACATCCATGTGGGATGCCATTGCCACAGGTGGAGGCCTAGCCTACTATGCCACAGCGCCGGCCCCCCACCATAACTTTTTAAACCAACATGAATGACTCTTTTTGGTAACGCAAACTGTGTTACAGTGAACATTTTAGAACATGGATCTTTGTATGTTTGATTATATGTATCTGAAAGATTCCTAGAGGTAATCTAGCTGATTGTCCTTTGGAGAAGTTAAAGTATTTTGGCCTCCTCCATGGTATTTGCAAATAGAAGCATGTGCATTCCTATACTTACACCAACACTAGATATTATTCAATCTTTGTCGTCTTTTCTGTTTAGACACTTGAGCTTTAAAAGCAAATGTTTAATGCATTTTTTTTATCCTAATTGGAGTTAACATGCTGCCCAAAGCAGCTAACATATTTTGAGGCATTTAATTAATAACCACATTATGCTAGTTAAGGTTAGGGTATTTTGTAAAATTATTTTAAAATGTTATATTACTTTAACACAGATAGCTAACAAATAAAATCCAAGATTGACAAATTCATTGCTTTGGTTAATGAGATTTTCATCATTTTTATATTTTCCTTATCTGTACACTAGAGTATATTTCACTGTTGATCAATTATTAAGTGTTTCTGTGTACTGCTTTTTTTCAGACATGGATTTAAAATCTAAGAGTGACAGATAACTTTGCTAGCAAAATATATACTGAGAATGATCATTTTTCTTACCTGGCTGAAATACTGTTAAGATTGGAGAATAAAACTCCACCTCTTGAAAGACATTGGGGCCGGTTCTGCGGCTCAATAGGCTAATCCTCTGCCTTGTGGCGCCGGCACACTGGGTCTAGTCCCAGTCGGGGTGCCGGATTCTGTCCCAGTTGCCCCTCTTCCAGGCCAGCTCTCTGCTGTGGCCCAGGAATGCAGTGGAGGATGGCCCAAGTGCTTGGACCCAGACCAGGAGAAGCACCTGGCTCCTGGCTTCGGATCAGCGCAGTGCGCCGGCCACAGCTCGCCAGCCGCGGTGGCCATTGGAGGGTGAACCAACGGCAAAGGAAGACCTTTCTCTCTGTCTCTCTCTCTCTCACTGTCCACTCTGCGTGTCCAAAAAAAAAAAAAAAAAAAAAAAAAAAAAAAGACATTGAGGTTTGGTTTCTTTCTTTCTTTTTAAAGATTTATTTATTTATTTGAAAGAGAGAGAGAGAGACATTCCATCTCCTGGCCCACTCCCCAGACGGCTGTTACAGCCATGCAAGATGGAAGCCAGGAGCTTCATCCTAGTCTCCCACGGGGTCCAGACACTTGGGCCATCTTCCACTGCCTTTCCCAGGCTATTAACAGACAACTGGATGGGAAGTAGAGCAGCCAAGACTCGAACCAACACCCATGTGGGATGCCAGCATCACAGACAACGTCTTAACCCACCATGCCACAATGCCAGCCTGGGTTCGTTTTCTTTAGGCTATAATTAGTACCAAACTTTTTTTTTTTTTTAAGAAAGATTTATTTATTTGAAAGGCAGTGCTACAGAGAGGCAGAGGGAGAGAGAGAGGTCTTTTATCTGCTGGTTCACTCCTCAGATGGCTGCAATGGCCGGAGCTGGGCTGAACCAAAGCCAGGAGCCAGGAGCTTCTTTGGGGTCTCCCATTTGGGGTAGGGACCCAAGGACTTGGGCCATCTTCTACTGCTTTCCCAGGCTATAGCAGAGAGCTGGATTGTAAGTAGAGCATCCAATATGGGATTCCAGCACTGTAGGTGGCGGCTTTACCTGCTATGACACAGCGCCAACCTCTGACCAAGTTTTTATGAAACAAATACTTGGGGGAAAAAAAAAACCTTTAACATGTTTTTATCAGGTAAATTTTGAGCATAACCTTTCACTGAAAACAGAATGATAGCATCTATGTCTCAGGTTTGTTGTGAGTAGATGGAAAATCAGTGGTAAAATCCTTTCTGTAATTAAGTAAATGCTTTATATATGTTTTTCAAATAATTATGGAATCATTGGTAATAACTCAAAATCCTTTTTTTTTCCTAGACATTCAGAAATACATTCCATGCTATCAGCTTTTTGGGTGAGTAGAGTATTAGTTAGAAAAAAAAATAAATGATACACTGTGAAAGTTAACCTCTACAAGTGAAATAGTTTTTAAAACTAAGTGTCCTAGTTACCAATTATACATACAGTTTCTGATTAAAATGGAAGGAGTATTTTTAAATACCTGAAAAGTCTCTCACATGATATTATCAAGTGTGTCTATAGTTCTTTGTTTGTGTTACATTGCCTGCTTATGGCCAGACTCCACTGCCTCTCTCAGGTGCCAGTTTACCTTGACGATTGTTTTTCCTTCTCACCCATCACGTCATTGCTAACTCTAGTACATTTTTTTAAACTACTCATTGAGGTATAACATACATAGAGATGTGCACAAATAATTAAATTTTCACAAAGCAAATGCATGTGGCCTTAACATAGTATAGCTTTTGCCTTTTTTTTTTTTTAATTAAGATTGTTTTTTACTTATTTGAAAGGTAGAGAGGGAGAGGTGGGTTGGCAGAGATATCTTCCATCCACTGGTTTATTCCCTAAATAACAGCAGTTCTGGGCCATGCTGAAGCCAGGAGCCAGGAACTCCATCCCAGTCTCCCTCATGTGTGACAGGGTCAAAACCTCTGAGACCATCTTCTGCTGCCTTCTCAGGCACATTAGCAGGAAGCTAGATAGGAAACAGAACAGACAGGACTCAAACCAGCACTCTGATCTAGGATGCCAGTGTTGCAAGTGGTAGCTTCACTTGCTTTATCATAATACTGGCCCTAATTTTTAATTATAGTGTTGTTTCATAAAAAAAGAGGAAGAATATGCAGTAGAAGCCAGATGTGCTTGCAAAGCTTAAAATATTTACCATGAGACTCTTTATAGGAAAATTTGCTAACTCTTTACCAGTTAGATTGCTTCTCAAACTTTTCACTGAAATACAACCATTGCTTACCCTAAGAGTCTACAAGAAGTACTTGGGAAACAGCCTATTGAAATTTAGAACTTTAAATCACTTTTTAAAAAGACTATGCAGTTTAACATGAATTCTTAAATCTGTTTCTGTATAAAAATGCCAGCCCCTCATCCTTTCCTTAGAAACTAGACATGAAACCAGTGTTCCCCACACTGTTACCATGTAGTTTATTATACACCCTGGTTTATTGCCCTATGCCCCAGTTTGAGGAGCTCAGAAATGGACCTTACTAGAGAAATGCAGGAATAAACTCTTATATACAGAGTTGATAAATAGGTAAAATAGAAGGCTATGTTCCAACATAGCCACCTTTGGTTGGTAGAACACTGTTTTTGTCTTACAAGTTAAAGAGAAGAAACAAATTGCATATTAGGATATGCTTTTTAGTTGTGTATCGAGATATTTTCAGTGTTCAGCATAGAACTACCAATAAAAGCCCAACTATAATGACTGTTATTTATAGTGTTTTGCATAACATTTCTAAATCGAAGACAGTTTATTTCAGTGCTAAAAGGAAAAAAATTTTTGCAACCTCTGTTATATGAAGGGAAAGAAAGCTGGAGTCAAACAGTTGAGTCTTTTAAAATTATCTTGGACTTTCCAACAACAGAACAAAGACCTCTGAACTAAACCAAAATGTATTCACTTCTCTGCCCCCTCCCTCAAACCAACCACCTACTAAAGCCCATGGCTTTTGGAATAAGAAATGAATAAACTGTGCTTTGTTACTCATATTATGTCTGAATATTTTAACAAATAAACTGAATGAATTGTGAACCAACTGTATGATCTTATTTTCCAGTATACCCACATTAAATGAATAGTTTGTTGTTTTAGGTTTAAAAAATGATATACAAACTTATTTATTTGAGAGGCAGATTTACCGAGAGAGCGAGAGCTAGAGAGAAAGAGAGATCTTCCATCTACTGGTTCAATACCCAAATAGCCACAATGGCTGAAGTTGGGCCAGACTGAAACTGGGAGCCAGTAACTTCTTCTAGGTCTCCCACTTGGGTGTAGGAGCCCAGGGACTTAGGCCACCTTGCATTGCTTTCCCAGGCCATCTGCAGGGAGCTAGATCAGAAGTGGAGCAGCCAGGACTGGAACTGGCACCCATATGGGATACCAGCACTGCAGGCTGAGGTTTAACCTACTATACCACAAGTACCAGCCCCTATTTCTTGTAATTTCTGCATTCCTTTTCCTTTTCCTTTTTAATGCTTATGGACTTTATGTTTCTTCAATTTTAAGTCTGTTAATTTGAAAATTTCCTTGCCGGCGCCGTGGCTCAATAGGCTAATCCTCCACCTTGCGGCACCGGCACACCGGGTTCTAGTCCCGGTCGGGGCGCCGGATTCTGTCCCGGTTGCCCCTCTTCCAGGCCAGCCCTCTGCTGTGGCCAGGGAGTGCAGTGGAGGATGGCCCAGGTGCTTGGGCCCTGCACCCCATGGGAGACCAGGAAAAGCACCTGGATCCTGGCTCCTGCCATCGGATCAGCGCAGTGCGCTGGCCGCAGCGCGCCAGCCGCGGCGGCCATTGGAGGGTGAACCAACGGCAAAAAAGGAAGACCTTTCTCTCTGTCTCTCTCTCTCACTGTCCACTCTGCCTGTCAAAAAATAAATAAATAAATAAATAAATAAATAAATGAAAATTTCCTATACTGTTTATTTTAGGACTTCACCTGATAGGCAGTTAGGTGTGAACAGTGGTTGGGTAGTTACATTAGAATTAAAAGGGGCCAGCGCTGTGGCATAGTGGGTAAAGCCTCCCCCTGCAACGCTGGCATCCCATAGGCATCCTGGTTCAAGACCCAGCTGTTCCACTTCCAATACAGTTGCCTGCTAAGGTGCCTGGGAAAGCAGCAGATGGCCCAAGTGTTTGGGTCCTTGCACCAAATGGGAGACCTGAAAGAAGCTCTGAGCTCCTGGCTTTGCCTGGAATAGTCTTGTCAGTTATAGCCATTTGGGGAGTGAATCAGTGGATGGAAGATCTCTCTCTCCATCTCTCCCTTTCTGTAATTCCGCCTTAAATAAATTAAAAGTTTAAGATGCTAATAAGGCCCCGACCCCTGGAAGAGTCAGCACCACCATGGAGGAATACCACTGCCATTGTGACGAGGTTGGCTTCAATGCTGATGAAGCCCACAATATTGTCAAAGAGTGTGTAGATGGAGTGTTAGGAGGTGAGGACTGTAATCAGAACAACATCAATCAATGGACTGCAGGCATAGTGGAAGAATTCTTAACATACTTGGTTAAATTGGTAAAAGCTTATAAATACATTGTGACCGGTGCAGTGATCCAGAGGAGTGCATATGGCTTTCATACCGCCAGTTCATGGTTTTGGGATAGTACATCTGATGGAACCTGTACTGTAAGATGGGAGAATCGAACCATGAACTGCATTGTCAACGTTTTTGCCATTGCAGTTGTCCTGTAACTGACTAACAATGTTGGGCTAAAAAACCATTAACTTAAGAATTTATCAGTGTATCCTTTCTGAAATGCATAATACTTACTTACAAATATGCTAGGTGACAAGTATGCAATAAGTTTCAGCTATCAACAAAAACTGAATATTATAAGCAAGCAATCTCATAGTATGTTGGCAGATTATATCGTATTCCATGCAGTGTCAATTAGATAGGGAAAATTAAATGTTAGTAAAAACTAAATGCAGAACTATAGCATGACTTAAACATCTAATCTTACATTTATACCAGCTTTTCACTAACATCACTATGTACCTAAGGAAATGGAAGAATCCATTCAGATAATGAAATTCTCTTTCATTTAGAGAACTTAACAGGGATAAATGTATGAACAAAAAAGCTACAAAGATAAATGTGGAGAAAATAATATCAATTTGTTAACACCCCTTACTTTTTTATTTCTTGCCCCTTAGTCATACTTATGTATTTAGTGAGAAGCAATTTTGCTTTTATTTCTATCAACTAATTTTACAGTACTAACTATAATTAACCTGCTTACTTTTTCTGAGAATTGGTAAAGCAACTTTTTTATTATTTCAAATTAAATCAGATTAAGGATAAATTAAATATGATGACTCAAATTTCCTAGTTAAGCAAAATTAGTTACCGGTATGATGAACAGTATATGACTCCAACAGTTGCCTTGTAATTCATTCATTCAATGCAAAACAAAAATACGCTGAATGCCTGTTATGAGCCTGTTTCTCTGATAGGCATTACAATTATCAAGTGCTGTTCAAATGCTAACTCCTTTTGGCAACTATTAAGTTGGAAAACTACCACCTGTGTTTAGGGGAAATAAAAGTTGTTTTATAGGAGAGGTAAACAGTGAATCTGGTTATCCATGTAGAAGTAAGCAAAATTAAATGCACTTACTGATGACAAAATTACAGAAATAATTTTAAGAGTTGCTTATAGCAAGTTGAAGTGTATAAAATATTCAACTATTAGTTAAAGTTCTTATTAGTAGTCTTAAATATACAAGTAGTAAACTTTATTGCTTTAATTGCAATCATCTGTAAATCTAAATACATATGTAGGGTTCGACCGAATGAAGTATAAATTATAAGTATACAATCTTTAGCAGGTTATCTAATATCTCAAGGCTTATGGAATATAGTTAAATTTCTTAAAATAAAAGGAAAAATTAGGCTACACAGCTGACCACCAAATGTGAAGTCAATCTGCTATTTAGCCTTGAAAACAATCAATTTTGTATATTATCACTGACACAAACACATATACAGAATGGAACCATGATTCATTGAATTTGGGGGAAAGAAGGAAAGCTTACGATTAGTGTTGACAATATTAAGGTAGTATTCTTTTAGGAATACGATGTGCAAGTTTGATATTTTGCTGAATAACAATAATTGTTCAGTGAAGAATCAGAAAATATAAGGATAGGGTTTAATGCAGTGATCTGTGTTCTTTAAAAAAAGCTCATGAAAAATTCTCAGTCATTACCCTCATATTATTTAATGTTGCTGGCTTTTGTGCCCTTGAAAATTATAATAGTGACCAAAATACCTGTTCACTTAAGGCTTGTTTTTGATTATTGCTGTTGAAACCTATTTTTTTTTTAAATATTGAAATCATATTTTGTGGACTTGATACCTGCTCTGTTATTGGTGAAAATATAATAAAGATTATCTTCCTGTACTTTAAACAGAGATGCTAATAAAATCATTCATATTTATAGTCTATTTGAAATCTCTTTAATTTTGGCTCTTACAGCTTTTATAATTCTTCAGGTGAAATAAATGAGCAAGCACTAAAGAAAATACTACCAAGTGTCAAAAAGGTATTTCTCTAGTTTACCTTCTCTTTGCTGCTATTCTACCTGTTACTTTTGGCTTCTAAAAACATATAGTATTTTGATAGAACTTTAAATGAATCAATGCATTGGTATTTTTTAATTTAAATTTTGACAATGTTAAGATTGGGAGAAGACAAATGAAATAAAAATAACTGAACTATAAGTTTATGTACTTTGAAAAAGTAAAGTGTATGACTGTGTGTTCTTTGTTTATACAGTCCCAAAACCTATCTTAATATTAAGAAAGCTGTTTTAATCAGTTTTATTGCTTAATTATAAGTTAAATAATAATAGTTATAACTATTTAAATTTGATATTTTTTCCTGTATTTTCTTTCAGAATGTGGTAGGTTGGTACAAATTCCGTCGTCATTCAGATCAGGTTATGACATTTAGAGAGAGAGTGCTTCACAAAAACTTACAAGAGCATCTCTCAAATCCTGAACTTGTTTTTCTGTTAATAACACCAAGTATAATAACAGAGAGCTGCTCTACTCATCGCCTGGAACATGCACTATATAAACCTCAAAAAGGGTAAGTATTTATATAGTACTTCTTGCAGCTTACCAAGTATCTCCATCCACTATTGCATTAGATCATCACAATAAGCTTCCAAAGTAGATCTTGCCATCTATTATAAATGGTTCTATGACCTATTACAACGTTATGATGCAGCTGGTTAAGGTATCACTTGTGACACTGGCATCCTCTATTGAGTCCTGGCTGCTCTGCTTCCAATCCAACTTCCAGCTAATGTGCCTGAGAAGGTGGTGGAGGATGACCCTAGAACTCCGGTCTCTGCCACCCAAGTGGGAACCCAGGCTCCTGGCTTTGGCCTGGTCTAGCCCTGGCTGTTGGAGCTATTTGGGGAGTGAACCACTGATTGAAAGATCTCTGTTGCTCTGCCTTTCAAATAAATTCAAATAAATAAATAAATCCTTTTTTTTTTTTTTTTTTTGACATGCAGAGTTAGGTAGTGAGAGAGAGAGACAGAGAGAAAGGTCTTCCTTTTTCCATTGGTTCACCCCCCAAGTGGCCACCACAGCCGGCGTGCTACACCGATCCGAAGCCAGGAGCCAGGAGCTTCCTCCTGGTGTCCCATGCAGGTGCAGGACCCAAGCACTTGGGCCATCCTCCACTGCCTTCCCGAGCCACAGCAGAGAGCTGGACTGAAAAAGGAGCATCCTGGACAGAACCGGTGCCCCAACCGGGACTAGAACCCGGGGTGCCAGCGCTGCAGGCAGAGGATTAGCCTAGTGAGCTGCAGTGCCGGCCCTATAAATCTTTAAATAAAATTATAAATTGGAAAATATATTCTGGTACTGAAGATTTGCTGTTATTTGCTTTTTAAGGGGGAAATGTTTGTTTTAGATACAGATTTTTTTTTTAACTTTTATTTAATGAATATAAATTTCCAAAGTACAGCTTGTAGATTACAATGGCTTTTCCCCCTCATAACTTCCCTCCCACCTGCAACCGTCCCCTCTCCCTCTCCCCTTCCATTCACATCAAGATTCATTTTCAATTATCTTTATATACAGAAGATCAATTTAGCATATATTAAGTAAAGCTTTCAACAATTTGCACCCATACAGAAACACAAAGTGAAAAATACTGTCTGAGTACTAGTTATAGCATTAAATCACAATGTACAGCACATTTAGGACAGAGATCCTACATGAGGAGTAAGTGCACAGTGACTCCTGTTGTTGACTTAACAAATTGACACTCTTGTTTATGGCGTCAGTAATCAGCCTATGCTCTTGTCATGAGTTTCCAAGGCTATGGAGGCCTTTTGAGTTCGCCGACTCTGATCCTATTTAGACAAGGTCATAGTCAAAGTGGAAGTTCCCTCCTCCCTTCAGAGAAAGGTACCTCCTTCTTTGATGACCTGTTCTTTCCACTGGGATCTCACTCACAGAGATTTTTCATTTAGGTCATTTTTGTTTGTTTGTTTGTTTGTTTTTTGCCAGAGTGTCTTGGCTTTCCATGCCTGAAATACTCTCATGGGCTTTTCAGCTGGATCCGAATGCCTTAAGGGCTGATTCTGAGGCCAGCGTGCTGTTTAGGACATTAGATACAGATTGATATGGCTATAATATAGAACTTAAGCCTAGGTAGTTGAGCAGCTTTTCTGTAACCTCTGCAAATCATCAAGATGGTTCTTGATGTTCCACCAAAATGAGATTCTCCTTAGATTATATAAACTGTATTTTTCATTGAATATAAGAGTTAAACGTATGAGTGCCAATTAATATTTCACTGTTCATGGATAATAGCATGAATCTCAACATTAATACAAGTTGAGAATTCCTTTCCAAAATGCTTGGGACCAGGAGCATTTTGAATTACAGATGGGGACTTGGAAATATTTGACTGTATATATAATGCAGCATCTTGAGGATAGGATCCAAGTCTAAGCACAAAATTCATTGTTTCATATATACCTTCCACACATAGCCTGAAGGTAATTTTATAAAGTATTTTTAGTGTACTTGTGTTTTGACCATAACCCATCACATGCGGTCACGTGTGAAGTTTTCCGTTTGTGGAGTCATGTTGGTACTCAGAAAGTTTCAGATTTTGGGTTGTAGATTATGGATGCTTAATGTAAAATGCCTTATTTTTGCAAGTACTTACTCAGTTAATATACATTTTTTAAAGATTGATTTTATTTATTTGAAAGAGTTACAGACAGGTAGAGACAGAGAAGGAGAGGTCTTCCATCTGCTAGTTCACTCCCCAATTGGCCACTGAGCTGATCCAAAGCCAGGAGCCAGGAGCTTCTTCTGGGTTTCCCATGTGGGTGCAGGGGCCCAAGGACTTGGGCCATCCTTTGCTGCTTTCCCAGGCACATTAGCAGGGAGCTTTATCGTAATGGAGCAGCCAGGACTCAAACTGGCACCCATATGGGCAGGCCATGGCTATAACCCACTGTACCATAGTGCCAACTCCAAAATATATTTTTGCACAGTTATACTAAGCACATTGCACTAGTTACTTCAGGTCAGTAAATTCTGTCTTAGGTAATAAATGAGGGATGGTTTCATTAGTTTTGTTTTTTGGTTATTCTTGTAGGGGAATAGTAGTCACTGTAATAAGTTGATCTTTTCTTTATCTAAGTTATATTTTAAAACTTTATTTTGTCAGACTTTTTCATAGGGTACCTTTAGTGGTTGCCAATCTGGGCATGTCTGAACAACTGGGTTATAAAACTGTATCGGGTTCCTGCATGTCCACTGGTTTTGGCAGAGCAGTAAAAACACACAGGTAAGATCCCTTAACTGCTTTCCAGTGTCTTCTCCATGCTTCTAGTACATGTCTAATTGATACCAAAAATCTGCAAATTTTAGCCTATTTGCTCTAATTTAAAGTAGTTAGCCTTAAACTTAGAATTTTCTAATGTAGCAGTTCAGAATAAAGGCATGAAATTTAGACTGGGCATTAAAGGAAAAAAAATCAGGTAGTAACCAAGATTCTCTTATACTGTAGGCTAGTTAGGTAAACTTTTCTGTAGCCATTAACTAATGTCAGAAATAAGGGTATCTAATAAAGCATAAACTTGATGTGGATAAGGATTTGGGTTTTAATTCTTTTTATGTCCCCACAGTGCTTAAGCAGTGTAGGAATTGAATACAATATTTCATTGATTTTTAAGATAAAATTTTCATGTTTACCTCTAAAATTGGAGTGCTTATAAACCACACTTTTTCCTAATGTATCATAAATGTTGGTGCCTCTTTCAATCAGGGGTGAGTTAAATTCAGTAAAATATTTTTCACATTGACTCCTATCCCCATTGCCAAAACAAACCTTTTTTCCTTCCCTTGAGTTTTTATCTGTTTTTACTTAATCTTTTTTTTTTTCCCTTTTTCATGACCTAGCAATGGTATTCAGAAAGTTAAAATGTTTGGCTACTCTCAAGACAGATGAAGTAGATTTTCTGGTTGGTTTTGCTAAATACAAGTAGGAAGACAAAATTATGGTGTCTATAAATTCAGTGAAAAGAATTTTCCATTGCTCTTTGACTATAAATAATGTTTTCTGCCTTGTTACTAAAATGAGTTCTGTATATTTACCTAAGGAACCTAATGCTTTACAGATCTGAATTTTTTAAAGATGATGGATCTTTAAAGGAGGTACATAAGATAAACGAAATGTATGCTTCATTGCAAGATGAACTAAAGGTAAGTTAACATAAAATGTTTCTCCGATTCCTAACCTGACATCTTCATTAGATTTTATATGTATATTTTTATAGGCAGGGAAATAGAATCCTTTCACAGAATAAAGAGTGAACATTGTGCCTCACTGTGTCATTTGAGATCCTGAGTAGACACCAAGATGGGATTGAAATGCAAGAGCTTTAAGAGACTTGTGAAGGATAAAGAAGAGAGAGTAAGAACAGGCAAAGAGCTTTAACACTGCAATATTAGCCTGAGAGTGGAGATTGGAATAGGACAGTTAGGAAGAGCCTGAGACTGCAGTGCCATTCTAAGAAAGTTCAGCTAGGCTGATGGGGAATCTTTGCTTGAGCAAAGTTGATCCAGAGTTGTACTGTGAGCATGGACTTGCACTGATCCACACACTGTGCTTGGTCGTTGGCTAGGAGCAGCCTAGGGAACATGACCAAAGAAGCAGCATGGTCATGACAAAATTGGGGCTGTTAGTCAACTGTACTTCGTCTAGTCGGAAATCTGAGGAGTCTCAGGGCCAGCTACTGTACTCATTAATAGAGTATGCTAAGCGGCGGGGGGCGGGGAGGAGGTCAATACATCTTACACACTTCTGTATTACACAGTATTTTTTCAAATGCAAACAATACAGGAATTTTAGAAAATAGAAATACCCAGATTCTCATCATTAAAAAAAAAAATGAACTAATTATTTGAAAGGCAAAGCAACAGTGAAGGGGGAGGGAGAGAGATCTTCCATCTGCTGTTTTACTTCTCAGATGGCTTCAACAGCCAGGTCTGGGCCAGGCCAAAGCCAGAGCCAGGAACTCCATCCCAGTCTCTCACATGGGTGGCAGGGACCCCAAAACGCAGCCAAGATTTAAACTAGCACTGTGTTGGGGAATGCTGGTGTTGCCGGCAGTGGATTAAGCTGCTGAGCCACATGGTGGTGATCCCAAAATCTGACTGTTCTCACATAACTATTTTGACTTCATCTTAGTCTGTAGTTTTCCCCTAGTTGTAGACCTACTTTGACATAGTTGACTGTCATGACAACATAAATTTGTTGTGATTTTTTTATTAAACATTTTTTTTTTTGACAGGCAGAGTGGATAGTGAGAGAGACAGAGAAAGGTCTTCCTTTTGTCGTTGGTTCACCCTCCAATGGCCGCCACGGCTGGCGCGCTGCGGCCGGCACACCGCGCTGATCTGAAGCCAGGAGCCAGGTGCTTCTCCTGGTCTCCCATGGGGTGCAGGGCCCAAGCACTTGGGCCATCCTCCACTGCCTTCCCGGGCCACAGCAGAGAGCTGGCCTGGAAGAGGGGCAACTGGGAAAGAATCCGGCGCCCCGACCGGGACTAGAACCCGGTATACCTGCACCGCTAGGTGGAGGATTAGCCTGAGCCGCGGCGCCGGCCTTCATTAAACATTTTTCATGTTGCCACATATTCTTTATTTTTAATGGCAACATTTTTTAAAAATCTGAAATCCACAGAAAAATTGCATGTATTGTGTACAAGATGGGATGTGTATATATATATATGTCTCATATATGAATATATGTGTATATATATATATATATAGGAAGGGTTAAATGAGGCTGATTAACACATCTGTTACCTCACGTAGTTACCCTGTTTGTGGTGGAAACACTTCATATCCACTCCTTGCATTTTTGAAGATTACATTGGCATTAACTGTAGTTACCATGCTGTACAATAATCTCCTGAACTTATTCCTCTTTTTCTGTAATTATATATCCTTTGATCAACATCTCTCTCCTGAAACCACCTTAGTCTCTGATAACCAGTTTTCTACATTGTATTTCTGTGAGATCAATTTTTTAAAAAATATTTCAGGAGTGGGGCCTATGTTATGGCTTAGCAGGTAAAGCAGCCTCCTGCAACACCATCATCTCATATGGCACTGGTTTGTGTCCTGGCTGCCCCACTTCCATTCTAGTTCCCTCCAAATGGCCTGGGAAATGCAGTAGAAGATGGCCCAAGTGCTTGGGCCTCTGCCATCCTCATGAGAGACCTGGATGAAGCTCCTGACTCTTGGCTTCAGCCTGTCTTAGGCCTGGCTGGTGTGGCTATCTGGGGGAGTGAACCAGCAGATAGAGGATCTATTTCTATCTCCCCCTCCTTTTCTGTCCGTAGCTCAGACTTTCAAATTAATATTTAAAAAAAAAAAAGATTTCACATGAGTGGTAATATGTCATTCTCTGTTTTTCTTTTCTTTTTTTGCTTAACATATCTTCCAGCTTTATCAATAGTATTGCAGATGGTAGGATTTCAGTCTTTAAAACTGAATAGTATTCCCCTGTGTGTATATATTGTATTTTCTTTATCCAAAAAGTGTTCATCCATTGACAGAAACTCAGGTTGGTTCCGTATCTTGCATATTTCAGTAGCCACTGGACATTCTAAAACGTATCCAGTAAAACTGGCTCTAACAACTTAACCAGTACCCAATAATTGGAAATTAGTTATGTCCAACTTAATACTATATTCATACTAAGGAGCATCTTAAATAATTTTTTCACTATAATAAGATATTCCCAAAATGGGATTACTCATACTTTTTTTTTTTTTAATTTATTTATTTGAAAGGCAGAGTTAGAGAAGGAGAGGCCAAGAGAGAGGGAGGGAGTGAGGGAGGCAGGGATGGAGGGAGGGAGAGGTCTTCCATCTGCTGGTTCACTCCCCAATTGACTGTAACTGCCGGAGCTGCGCCTATCCGAAGCCAGGAGCCAGGAGCCAGGAGCCAGGAGCTTCTTCCAGGTCTCCCACATGGGTACAGGGGCCCAAGGACTTGGACAATCTTATACGGCTTTCCCAGAGAGCTAGATTGGAAGTGGAGCAGCCGAGACTTGAACTGGCGCCCACGTGGGATGCTGGCACTTCAGGCCACAGCTTTTATTCTCTCCCTCCCTTCCCAAGTCAGAGTTACATAGTGAGAGAAGGAGAGGCAGAGAGAGAGGTCTTCCATCCACTGGTTCACTCCCCAAATGGCCACAATGGCTGGAGCTGCGCCGATCCAAAGCCAGGAGCCAGGAGCTTCTTCCAGGTCTCCCACATGGGTGCAGGGGCCCAAGGACTTGGGCCATCCTCTACTACTTTCCAGGCCATAGCAGAGAGCTGGATCAGAAGTGGAACAGCCAGGACTTGAACCTGCACCCATATGGGATGCCGGCACTGCAGGTGGTGGCTTTACCCGCTACGGCACAATACCGGCCCGTAGTTTGCTTTTCAAAAGTAGTTTTTCTTGTAGAAATTAAAATCTTAAAATACTTTCACAACAGTAAAATACAATCTGTTTCATATTTTGTCAGCTTTTTTAACGTCAAATGAGTACAGTAACCATGCATCTTAGGGCTTCTTTTTGTTTCAAAGTGAGTTAAAGGGACAGACATTTGGTGTGGTTTAGATGCCAGCTGGGACACCTACATCGCTTATTTGAGTGCCTTGGTTAAGGTCTGCTTTTTTTTCCTCTTTTTTAAATTATTTATTTCAAAGGAGAGTCAGCTCTCTTCTGTCTTCTAGTTCACATCCCAAATGCCTGTAATGACCAAGTCTGGGCCAGGACAAAGCCAAGAGCCAGGAACTTCTTGTTGGGCCATCAACCTCTGTCTTCCCAGGTACATTAGAAGGAAGCTGGATCAGGAGCAGAGCAGCCAAGATTTGAACTAGCACCCTGATATGGGATGCTAGCACCTAACCACTATGCAAGCTATCTGGTTCTGCTTCTCATTCCAGCTCCCTGCTAATGCATGCCCTGTGAGGAAGCAGGTGATTGTTTGAGTAACTGGGTCCCTGCTACCCATAAGAGGACCCAATTGGAGTTCCAGGCTCCTGGCTTCAGCCTGGATCAGTCCCAGCTATTGCAGGCATTTGGGGAGTGAAGCAGTAGACGGAGGATACTGGTCTCTCTTTCAATTAAATAGGTGAATTAAATATTTCAGTTTATTTCTGTGCATTATCAAGTTAATATTGGTATAGTATAGCTAGCTATGTATAAATAAGTTGATATATCTGAATAGCATTCTGGAAAATAACAAAATTTATATAAAAGGCAAATAGTATTTGACATTATATGCCACCAAGGATTGTATATTATTTGTGAGTATAGGTACTGTTTATACAGAACTTGGAATTTTATCTATACCCTTAAATCACTGTTTTGCAGAGTATATGCGAAAAAGTAGAAGAGAGTGAGCGAGCTGTAGAGAAACTACTGGAGGATGTAAACAGATTAAAACGAGAAATTAAAAAAAGGAAACAGGCACAGATTCAAGCAGTAGGTAAGTAAAAAGTTAACACATCACTGCTGTCTATACTTTTCTCAATGGTTTGAATTATGGACAGTCCAGATAGGCTGTGATGAATTTGTCCATCTTGGAATTAGAAGTAGTCATTTTATTAATAGTCTTACATCCCACTGAACAATGAACATGCTACTATATAGCTCTGCTGTATTGTTGATATTAAAAAAGTAACTTTCTGTGGCATATAATTAGAATTTAGAATAATGTATGACATTCTCACTTTAGATAATTTGATGTGATTGTTCAGATCATTTTAACAATTACCTAATTATAAAAGCTTTGAGGAATGAGTATTATGTTGAACATTTATTTTGTTTTATTTAGGAGAGAAGAATATCCCAAAAGACCCTCAGGAGAACATTTTTCTCTGTCAAGCTTTACGGACCTTTTTTCCAGATTGTGAATTTCTTCATTCATGTGTTATCTCTTTGAAAAGCAGACATGTTTCTAAAAGTAGCTGTAGTACCAACCACGATCTCAATATGGTAGACAACTTGACCTTAATGGTAGAATGCACTGACATCCCTGACACTAGTCCAGTCAGTACACCACAAATGAGTAAGCGTAAAGCTTTAGACGCAGATGATGGATGGCAACTGAAGAAATTACGGCTGTTAGAGAGAGAAAACAAACTATTTAAAACAGATGCTGATAGTAGCAACCAAGCTAAAGCATCTGCAATGAGCAGCCCAGAAACAGATGAAGAGATTGAGAAAATGAAGGATTCTATTGCATATCCACAATCACCTACATTTTGATCCATTGAGTCCAAAATGAGATTTTCGATTTGATTGAAAGGTCAAGCCAAGTGTTTCTATTTATACTATATTCTGCTACCTTCAGTAATACAGATAAGTTTGTTTCTACTATATTCAGACATTTGCAGAAATACATAGGTAGTTTGTTTTTACTATGTTCACTGGTGTGCAGTAATACCTAGAGAAGTTCTATTGCATTTATTTTATAAAGCACTTTTTAAACATCAGATGCTTTTATTTTGAAATAAAAACTTTCACTATTTAAATAGATGATGTATTCTTTTAAATGTGTACAGTATTCATTGGAATTAGAAGAGACTAGCCTATCTTCACAGTGTGGAGCGTCTTTATATGAAAATTTATTTTTATCTTGGCCATTATAATTCCTGTTCCTTAAGTGTTGATCAAAAGCACATTACGGGCGGGCGCTGCGGCTCAATAGGCTAATCCTCCACCTGCGGCACTGGCACCCCAGGTTCTAGTCCTGGTCGGGGCGCTGGATTCTGTTCCGGTTGCCCCTCTTCCAGTCCAGCTCTCTGCTGTGGCCCGGGAGAGCAGTGGAGGATGGCCCAAGTGCTTGGGCCCTGCAGCCGCATGGAAGACCAGGAGAAGCATCTGGCTCCTGGCTTGGGATCAGTGTGGTGCACCGGCCGCAGCGGCCATTGGAGGATGAACCAACGGTAAAGGAAGACCTTTATCCCTGTCTCTCTCACTCTCACTGTCCACTCTACCTGTCAAAAAAATAAAAAAGGAATTAAAAAAAGCAGCACATTACGGAGCCAGCGCCATGGCTCACTAGGCTAATCTCCTCCTGTGGCGCCAGCACCCCAGGTTCTGGTCCCGGTTGCTCCTCTTCCAGTCCAGCTCTCTGCTGTGGCCCCAGAATGCAGTTTTGATGGCCCAAGTCCTTGGGCCCTGCACCCACATGGGAGACCAGGAGAAAGCACCTAGCTCCTGGCTTCGGATCCACACAGTGCGCCGGCCGCAGCGCACCGGCCATAGCAGCCATTTGGGGGATGAACCAACGGAAAAGGAAGACCTTTCTCTGCCTCCCTCTCTCTCTCACTAACTCTGCCTGTCAAAAAAAAAAAAAACACACACACACATTATGGTCAGAATAAATGGACATCATGCAGTATTTGGAGGTTATACTAAAAAATTGTTTATCTGAACTTCAAATGTAATTGGATGTGCTGTATTTTCATTTGCTAAGTCTGATGGCCCTAATTATGGTACAACTATAATGCAGCAAATATAGTAATTTCTTGCTGGTATACAGTCCTTTACCCAAAATTGAATGATTCCAAATTTAATACAGTACAAACCTGATAATCCAATGTGTCTGGTATTAGCAGTGGTCAAGTAACTAAAAAGGCCAGTTAAAAGTAGGATTTAGAAATGATTTGTATGTGTGTATACATACATACAAATATCCATCACAAAGCTTTCAGTCTAACAAAGTAGAAATGTGCATTAATTTTCCAACCAGTTGGTATAGGGTTAGGAAGTTTTCTGCATGTAATCCAGTGACTGGAGTTGCCTATGCAGATCATTCTTATTACTTAACTTTTATAACTCTCAGTGAGGAATTACAGAAACTTGCAAAGCAACCAGAGTACAAAATATAACTAGGTGGGAGAACCCCTATGGCCTTACTAATTTGTCCTGACAACATCTAATTTGGCAACTTTTTTTTTTTTTAAAGCTAGTTACCATCATCAAGTTTTTTCAAAGCATTTATTTAGTTTTCATGGCAACAATAGCTTTTTATATTCATGGTTCATCAAATACAATAAAAAACTGGCATAGTCCTGGGAGCTGAACAGCTGAGCCTTGGTGATGCAGAATGCAACAAGTAGGAGAGTTATGGACTTCAAATTTTTAGGGAATGCACAGTGCCCCAGTTTAATGAGTTGGTTAAGTAGAAGTTAGCTAAGAGTTTTTGTTGTATGTGCAGCTGTGTGTGTGTGTACCTATATGTCTTTGACACACTTTCTTATGTTTATATATCACATGAAGCCGTAAGTATGTTTCATTCACTGGATGAAATGCTGAACACACTTTTACCCTTGCTTATCCATTACTTCCTAGAGCAATTATTTGATATAGAAAATTACAACTAGTAACAAAAATTTTTATCTTTCATCTGTTAACATGCACTAATTACCATGGTGGGCTGTTTATGAAGCCACATAATACCAGTGGTTATTTATGCAAATCACAAATTTGTACTGCTGGAGTTGGCTTTTGCTAGTGACATAGGTTTGGTACTGCACATGGCCGGAGCAGGCAAACCAGGGTTGTCTGAATCTTATCTGTATCACTGGAGTGAGTTGATAATAGCTACGTATGAACCATCTTAGTATATAAGACACTACCAGTTTGAAGATTCATTCAGGAATGTTCTGTCCTTCATCCCAATGTATTTCTCTAAAAGAAGATCCACTGTGTGAACCAGGTATGTTTAGTTAAAAAGTCATTCTCAGCAATGTCAGTGCCACCCTGAGTCACATGGGATTCAAACATTACACAAAAATCATTCCCATTTGTTAAGTCTGAATCTAGGCTTAACAGAATTCTACTACAGCTATTCCTCCCATGTATTTACAATTCCAATATTTGGTACATTATTATATGATCTGTTGGGGACCAGATATTTTTAAGTGACAATCATACTGTACCAGTTTTATTCAAAGTATGTACAGTGTAATGAACTTAACATTTTAAATAAGCCATCTGTTCACTGAAAATTGACTAGTGTGGAGAATTAACTTCACTCCTGATCTCACTCTTGAAACTCTTCTATCCAAGGATTAGTTTGAGTCAATATTGGCATCATACAAACACTTACTAAAAAAAGTTTATTGGTGGTAACCTTACAAAGCTTACTCCCGATACTTTATGTTACATACTTTAGGGTCTTTAAGATAGGCAGGATCCTTGTATGTAACCGGCATAAACCCTGTAAAGAGATAATTCAAGTTCTTTACAAAAGAATGAGCAAAAATTTTAATTTAGTCCATTCAGTTGTTCAGATGCTCTTACCCATTAATTGAGCTCTCTTAATTGCTTTTGTGATTTCTTTCTGTTTCTTCCCACAAAGACCTATAAAATAAAGTCTTTTAAGTTTCTTATTTATATGCCCAAGTTTTACATATGTTGTCAACCTGTAGTTAATTCTAAGCACAAAACACACAAAATAACCTTTTCATTATAAGAGACTTTCTAAGTTTCCAAATCCAATCTTTGTAGTTTCTGGTTTAAAAGCGATTGATGGCATGATTTAAAGATATGTCATTTTTCTTTGGTGATACAAGTAGGTTGATAAAATGCTTTACAATTAAGTTGCTATGATAAAAAATTAAAATACCTGTTATGTGCCTTCCATAAATGCATCCAGTAAATGGAGAAACAAACTGGGACAAAAGCTGTTTTTGAGACATAAAAATCTATATTAATACATTTGTTCCTCAACCCTGAATGTAAAGTTTTAAAGCCCTTATCCGTGACCTTCAAGTTATGTTAAGAGTACATTCCAGACAAATTTCATAAAACATGACATAAACTATCCTATTAACAAGCCATTTTTGCAAATAACTAAATAACTGGATAACATGTATCTACAGTGTGCCAAAAACTAGTCACTGCTTAAATTGTTTTTTTGATTTCCACAGATACCTTTTAAAATAACTGCTGCTTTTAACAAGTCACTAAAACATTTCTCTATCATAGGATCACATAAGTCTGAAATTAACACTACATTGAGATCTTTAAGAGGTACATCAGGCCATTTGCTATAATTTAGGTCTTAAATTCTACTTTAGCACCTAGGTGCTGTGCACTTGGCACTTTGCATAATCCCTCAAATTTGCCATCTGTGATTTGCTGAGTGCTAGACAAGAGATAACATATTTGTGGCAGTGACACTGATGGTAAAGTAGAGAGCAACTTCACCAGAGGAGCCTTTTCCGAAAGTAATCACCAATTGAGAATCACTGCCATAGTGAGCTACTGTTGCCATGTTCGGAGCAGTGAAAATACTGAGCTGAAACAACAGTAAGTGAGGGAAGAGTCAGATGCTCTTAATTGAATAAAACAGATCCCTAATATATAGTGATAATCAGATTTGGAATTAAGTCATTTAACAGTTTCCTTTATACAAAAACTGCTATGAAACACCTTATATTTGAGACAGCTCCCATCTGCCAGTTCACTTGACAAATGCCTGCGACGGCTGGGGTTAGGGCTAAAGATGGGAGCCTGGAACCCAACTGAGAAGTCATAGCTGCTCCCAAGGGTCTACATTAGCAGGAAGCTATGGGATACAAACATCTTAATTGCTAAATACCTACCCCTGACTTGATTTCTTTGAAGCAGGACTAATAAAGGAACAAAATCCTAAAATCAAGTATTAGAAGTAAAACCAGATCTCACCTGTACATTCTTGTAATCTACACGTTTCCCACACAAGATACATTTCTTAAGAGGCTCCTTATAAGGATTTTCCATTGGAACAGGCTAGGATAAAGGAAGAAAAGTCTGATAAACAGTTCATTTTGAATTTGAAAAAATTAAATCTTAGGCTTGCTATAATTTCAATCACAGGTGCATAATACTTTTCTTACTGTTACATGTATTTTGAAACTATTTTGAGTTTGGCTGAGAAGGAATTAGCTCATGGAGGATTCTGCAACACAGTCAAGTCTGCAAGTAGAATAAAAAGGTTTGTGGGAGAAAAATCCCAAGTCTGAAGATTTTTTTGCCCAGATTGTAAATGATTAAAAAATTGTAATTTATTATATGTTCTTAATTTAAGTCAAGAGAAACTGATAATTTTGTTAGGATAATATGTATAGTTCATTCATCCCCATATTTATCAGATGTTTTGTCACTATTTTTCTCTTAACAGATAATGTCCCATAGCTTTCTGAGATTCAAGGCGCTGACTTCAATTTTATGGCACCTGACTGCTAAATAAGTTAGTTTCAGTGCTTCTGTCTTCACTACTGTCCCTCATGTTTGTCATACTGCCCACCTCTTACTATCAGTATGGTTGTCTATAGTATGAAGGTTCATCATGAAAGGCAGAGAGCGAGCTTCCATTTGCTAGTTCACTTCCCAGATCCATGCTACAGCCAGGCCAGGCCAGACTGAAACTTGAAACCTGGAACTCAATTCAGGTCTCTAGTGGGTACGAGGGTCCTACGTACTCGAGCTCTCACCTACCTGTGTTACCCAAGATGTGCACTAGCAGGCAGCTAGGATTGGAAGTAGAGCAGGGACATGACCCAGGCATTTGATGGGATGTGAGCATCCCAAGTGGTGTCTTCACTACTTTGCCAAATGCCCGCCCCAGTAGAAGTTCTTAATTTACAAATAGCTTTGAAGTCCATGATCCCTTATAATTGCATACAAAATTCCAAATAAACAGAACTTCATGCCCTCCATGAAGAGAATCAACAGCTTTCTTTAACCTTTCACTGGGATTTATGACCTACAAAAGGAGTATATTTACTTTATTTTTTGAAGTATGGTGTGAATTAGAGGACCAAGATGGACGTTCATACTAAATGACTTCTTGTTTTTTTCCAATTCAACATTTTGAATCCAATTCATGTTGAGCTCACATAATGATGACTGACCATAATCCTCATCACCATGTTAAGTGCTTTGGTCTGATTATTGTCAAATTATCTTTGAAATATATGCAGCCCAAATCCTTATGCTAATACTTAAGCCCATAAAAATATACTTACAGGTTAGAGGAAACTGCATATAGTGTCCTGGGTGTCAAACTAATTTTGATCCCTCATTTATTACGACAGTCTCCCCCCGGCCAACGTCCAAAATGATGAATGAGATAAAAGTAGGAAAAATGTGAATTCAAAATGAGAGACAACCTACAGCTAACCTTTTACAACTCCTTTGTTTGATTATAGTTATCCTAATTATTGAAACTCCTCTATTAAGTTCCCAAATCACATATCCTTACATTTTAAGATCTTGCATGAAAAATATGCTTTTAGACAAGCTTTTCTTATTGCTATTTATGAATTCTCATACTTCAAAAGTCATGTAAGTGACTACAATCAATGAGTTTTAATTTCCAAACTTAGGTATTATCTTAATTGTACTGTACTACAGATGAATTTCATTCAAATAACTAAAGTACGCGAATTAGGTCATTATTTGCAAAAGACTTACTAATAAGTCTTACCAGGTCCTCATTGCTGGTTAATTGTTTATATTGAGAACAACTTCTTCTCCACAGCACTGCAATTAAACAGAAATAACAAACCAATTCTTATTGTTAGCTGAACAGCTACAGAAAGGCTTGTTTTCAAGGAGGCGAGAAGAACCCAGAAACATAATGTTTTACATTTATTATACTCACAAGACTGGTTCACAATCTTTAATTTAGAGTGGGGGCAGACTATGATAAAAAGAGTATGTTCCAGGGCTTTGGGGAAAGGGCACATATTTTCCCACCCACAAAACCTCTCACCTGCTCTCTTCCTAACATGTTTTTCCACTCCATGGTTACAGAGTTTAAGGCAGACAGAAAAGAAAGGCATTGTCATACCAAAAAAAAAAAAAAAAAAAAAACACACACAAAACAGTAGGGGCCGGCGCCCTGGCTCACTTGGTTAATCCTCCGCCTGTGGCACCAGCATCCCAAATGGGCACCAGGTTCTAGTCCAGCTCTCTGCTGTGGCCCAGGAGGGCAGTGGAGGATGGCCCAAGTGCTTCGGCGCCTGCACCCCTGTGGGAGACCAGGAGGAAGCGCCTGACTCCTGGCTTTGGATCGGAGTAGCTCTGGCCGTAGAGGCCATTTGGGGGGTGAACCAGCGGAAGGAAGACCTTTCTAAGGTCTGTCAAATAAATTCTTTTAAAAAATGAGTAAACTACTCAGAGTAACTGTTGCTAGAAAAGCACAGAAAACATAAAACTGCTGCAATGAGAGATTCCAGGGCCTGAGGCATAACTTTGATCTCGGAGTTAAGACATCTGGGATTTGCAGTCAAACGACTGGAAATGTCTCTTCCCTCACCAAGTCCATTTGGAGAGCTTAAGGAAGTCCCTGCCACTAAGTATCACTGCATTGCTTTCCTTTTACTAAACATTTTCAAGGAGTGGACACCTCACGTCCCCTTCAACGCTAATAAAATACCAGCCATGAGCCATCACAGATTCCCACCCATCCTGGAGAAACGTAATAGCCTTAAAACCAGCGTCCTTCTGTGGACTCCGCCGGCCATCAGGGCCCAGAAGGTGGCTGCAAAGCTACAACGGAGACTAGGGGATGGAGACTTTACCGGCGTGAGTTCCGGGTTCTGTGAGGCAGACGGCAGCCGTTCCCACACGAGTCAATGTCTTCCTAACCAGACCACTGTAGACTGCAACCATAGCTGCCATAGCTCCCCGTTCCTCCCCTTCCCTTCCTTTCTCCAAAGCGTCCCGATAGGTCCCTTCCGGTGCTCTTCCCCGGTCGGCCCGAGAAGTCCATTCAAAGGTTCCGCGGAAGAACGCAGAGGACAAGGCAGTGGTGCGCGGGCGCGCGGGGGGGGGGGGGGTCTCTAATGCGCATGCGCAGCATGTTTTCGCCTCGCACTGCGTCGCTTGGGACGACCGTTCTGATTGGATGAGGAGAGGATGGGCACCTCCGCTTGTGCCCCTGCTTCCGGCCTGAGGGCTCTGGGCGTTAATTTGGGGTGTTTTATCAGCGTTGGATGGAGGCAGGAGGGCAGTTCCCCGCTGTAGCTACCTCTGCCTCAAACTCTTCAATTGAGTTTGGCGGTTGAATCTTTAGGGACGACGAAGTGGCAGGGTGTTCGGTCCCTGTCATGGATGAAGGTGGTTCCCGCATCCGCCGGCGGGTGTCTGTCCGCAAAAGGACCCGTCCTAGCATTTTTGCCGCCCCTACCGCGGCGGAGCTCAAGTCGGACGATGAGGAGGAGGAGGAAGAGATGGTGGCCGAGTGCCGGAGGCGGAAAACCGTGGGGGTGCAACCGATCGAGGTACGGGCACCCACTCTGAAACTCCCCCATTAACCGCTTTGGGGGCGGTGATGGAAACCCAGAGTTCTCGTGTTTTGCATGTTCACTAGGAGACCAAATCGCCACGAACTTGGAACCCGAATCTGAGAGATGGTGGCCGTTTCCTTCCCAGGTGCAGACAGTTGACCAGTTAGGTAATAGCTTTCGTTTGCTTCTTTCGTCTCTGTTACCGCTGTTAATTGGCACTGAAACAGATGCCGCCATGTTACTCTCATTTCTGTATAGATAAGAAACAGACCCCATACAAGCTGTACACGCAGCAAGTGACAAGACAAAGATGTAAAATCAGACTTCGAAATTACTGCTGCTCCTGCTGTACTAACGTATTTCTGGAAGAGTCATTATAGCCTCACTTTATCCAGCTTTTACAATAGTAATCGAGCCTTGAGAAGGTGAAAAATTACAGTTTTGATTCCACATTCGGTATTCTTCATCGTCACTTCACTATATTGTTGCCTCTATATTTACATGTCTTCTGTTTGGTGGACCATTCCAAGTCAAGTGTGCAGAATCAGTCTCAATTCCAAATTCCTAGGAATAGGATCTTCCTCGAGTTTCTGTAAGCGGGAGGTGGGGTGGGGGGGAAGCTTTTTTCTCTGCCAAGGGCCATTTAGATATTTATAACATCGCTGATGGGCCGTACAAAATTATCTATTTAAAAAATTAGCCTGATATAGATTTATTGAATTTAGAGTCCTGCCTGCAGTTGCCTTGGCAGGGCCAAATCAGATTTTTAGGGGGGGCTTTTACATCTCACAGGCCAGAGGTTCCTTTTTTCTTTCTTTCTTTCTTTCTTTTTTTTTTTTTTTCTTTTTGCTACAGGCCAGCCTCTGGGAGATTAGAGTCTGGGGGATGGGGGAGGAGTGTTGTGGCTATCAGAATCTTCTACGCTGTCATCCCAATAGATGTCTACTTGTCTTGCTATGGTTTAAAGATTCAGCAGAGGCTTAAGAATTAGAATCCTCTAATTCTTAATCTAATCATCATATATTGGGCCTCCACTGTTCATCTGTAAAATAATGACAGCAATATCTGTTCCAGAGGCTGGCGCTGTGGCACACTGGCTTAAGCCATCGTCTGCAATGCTGGCATCCCATATCCGAGTGCTGGTTCAAGTCCCAGCTGTTCCACTTCCCATCCAGTTTCCTGCTAATGTGCCTGGGAAAGCTATGGAAGATGGCTTAATGTAACTGGATTTGCCTATAAGTATTTTTGTTGTCTTTGCAGCATTATGATAGTGAAGAGGACATGTTTGGTGACTATGACAGCTTTGCCGAGAACTCCTTTTTAGCTCAAGTTGATGACCTGGAACAAAAGTATATGCAGCTTCCTGAACATAGGAAACACGCTACAGACTTGGCCACTGCAGGTCTTTGTTCAGAAAGTGATGAAAACAAACTCAGCATTCCCACTGTGTTTCCTGAATCAAAAACTGATGAGCACGCAAAGAACCAGAGTGGACCTGAAGATGTCCCTGTTGAACATGGACCTGATCTGCCTTCCTCACAGGTTTTATACTTTGAAAATTTGCAGAACTCATCAAATGATTTGGGTAATCCGTCTATTGAAGAAAAGGAGCAGAACTCATTCTCTCACAAGACTGGAGATGAAGAATTGTCCCTTAATCACATAGAGCAACCCCAGCAAGACAATGACTTCTCTCCTAAAGTCAGAACGAGTTCAGATACAAATAGGAGAAAAAGTGTTAAGGATCATCTCAAAAGTGCCATGACTGGAAATGCCAAGGCCCAAACACCAGTATTTTCCAGGAGTAAGCAGCTGAAAGAGACTCTCCTATCTGAAGAAATTAATGTTGCCAAGAAAACAATTGAGTCATCGTCAGATGACCTTGGTCCTTTCTATTCATTGCCCAGCAAAGTTCGAGACCTTTATGTTCGAGTCAAAGGAATTGAAAAATTATATGGTAATATTTTTTGCTGGAACAAAAACATTTCCCATCATTACCGTAGTATTAGCACAAATCAATGGAAACAAAGACTTTCATGGTCATTTTTCTTGGCTTGAAAACAAGTCAGGGGGTCGGCACTGTGGCTGAGCCAGTTAAAGCCCTGGCCTGCAGCACCAGCATCCCATATGGACACCAGTTTGAGACCTGGCTGCTCCACTTCCGATCCAACTATGCAATGGCCTAGGAAAGCAGTAGAAGATGGCCCAAGTCCTTAAGCCTCCATACCCACGTGGGAGACGGGGAAAGAAGCTCCTGGCTCCTGGCTTTGGATCAGCTCAGTTCTGGCCTTTGCGGCCATTTGGGGAGTGACCAGTAGATGGAATACTTCTCTCTCTCTAGCTCTACCTCTCTCTGTAACTCTTTCAAGCAAATAAAATAAGTCTAAAAAAAAAAAAAAAGAACAAGTCAGAAGAACAGTTGTCTCTCAGCCATCCATCCCTGTCCTGCTAGTGTTGAACCTCTCCCTGTCTCCCCCAGCCTCCACAGTTAATTCTCAAATCAGTTATCCTTGCTGGCTCTCTTTCTCCTCCTCAAATGATTCTTCTTCTTCTTTTTTTTTTTTTTTTTTTTTAAGATTTATTTATTTATTTGAAAGAGTTACACAGAGGAGAGAGAGAGAGGTCTTCCATCCACTGGTTCTCTCCCCTGTTGGCTGCAACAGGTGGAGCTGTGCCAATACAAAGCCAGTTGCCAGGAGCTTCTTCCAGGTCTTCCCAGGTGGGTGCAAGGGCCCAAGCACTTGGGCCGTCTTCCACTGCCTTCCCAGGCCATAGCAGAGAGCTGGAACAGTAGTGGAGCAGCCGGGACTAGAACCGGAGCTCATATGGGATGCTGGCACTACAGGCAGCAGCCCCTCAAATGATTCTCCAGTGTGCTCCAGTTCTGGGTTCTGTGCTCTTAGGAAGTAATGACCAGGGCATCTAAATGAGACTTTTTAGTTCTTTCCCTGCCAGATTTCTAAGTTGGTTTCTTGATGCTATTGACTACACCCTTCTTGAAACTCCTTTCTCTGTCTCTATTTTTTTAAGATTTATGAGTTATAGACAAAAGGAGAGATAGAAGGGTCTTCCATTCACTTGTACAGTCCCCAAATGGCCAGAGCTGGGCCAATCAGGAGCCAGGAGCTTCTTCCAGGTCTGCAATGTAGGTGCGGGGGCCCAAACATTTGGGCCATCCTCTACTTTCCCAGGCCACAAGCAGAGAGCTAGATCGGAAGTGGAGCAGCTGGGACTTGAACCAGTTCCCATATGGGATGCTGGCAATGCAGGCTGTGGCTTTACCTGCTACACCACAACGCTGGCCCCTTCTTAACATCTTGACTCTCCACTCTTGGTTTTTTCTGATTGTCTAGGAGTTCCACACTTTTCTTAACTAGTGTTTCTGTGATTGGCTCAGTCTTCTCTACCAAGATGTTGAAATTCCTTTGAACACTCATGTCTTAAGTGAAGTCAGTAATACCACTGATTAAATATCTTTGGGGTGGATATTTGACACAGCAGTTAAGTTGCCACTTGAGACACCCATATCCAGTATCTCAGTGTCAGGTTTCAAGTCCCAGCTCCACTTTCCAGTTTCTTGCTAATATACACCCTGGGAAGTAGCAAGTAGTGGCCCAAATACTTGGGTCCCTGCTACCCACATGGGAGATCTGGATTGAGTTCCTGGTTTCTGGCTTCAATCTGGTTCAGCCCTTGCTGTTGTAGGCATTTAGGGAGTCAACCACTGGATTGTTTCTGTCTCTGCCTTTTAAGTTTAAAAAAAAGGCGGGGGAGGGGGGTAACACCCTGGCCTGAAGTGCTTGCATCCCATATGAGCGCTGGTTCTAGTCCCGGCTACTCCTCTTCCAATCAGGCTCTCTTCTATGGCCTGTGAAAGCAGTAGAACATGGCCCAAATCCTTGGGCCGCTGCACCCATGGGGGAGACCCAGAAGAAGCTCCTGGCTCCTGGCTTCGGATCGGCGCAGCTCCGGCTGTTGCAGCCAATTGGGGAGTGAACCAACGGGTGGAAGACCCTTCTCTGTCTCTGCCTCTCATCTCTCTGTGTAACTCTGACTTTCAAGTAAATAAATCTTTAAAAAAATTTTTAAAAAAACCAAACATCCTTAAAGACAGCTACAGTTAAGATGTAAATGCAGTGCTTGCTTTGGCAGCATGTACACTAAAACTGGAAAGATTTAAGTGCCAGGAGATATTAGTAGTAGCAATCATAATGTTTTTCAAAAATCCTGGGTCCTTTTTTATAGGAGAGTACTTCAAAAGTTTGTGGAATATTATGGAAAAAATGCATAGATTTCAAAAATTTTTGCACCAAACTAAATTTGTCTTTTAAATCCATTTTTCATGAACTCTCTGAAGTACCCTTGTATTTCAAATATGTCTCTCAGAAAGAGAGAGGTCTCCTACCCACTGGTTCACTCCCCAGAGACCCTCGACACCTGGGTGAGGCTGCATCCCTGAAGCCAGGAACTCAGCCTCAATCTCCCATGTAGATAACAGACCCAGTTACCTGAGCCATTCCTGCTGCTTCCCAGAGTCTGCATTAACAGGAAGTTGGAGTCAGGAGCCAGGGGCTGGAGTCAAACTCAGGGGGACACAGGCTTCTTAGCTATAAACACCCACAGCCAAGTGTGTGTCTTAGACAAACAAGAGACAGTTACTGGCTGGCGCCACGACTCAATAGGCTAATCCTCTGCCTGTGGCGCCGGCACCCTGGGTTCTAGTCCCGGTTGGGGCGCTGGATTCTGTCCTGGTTGCCCCTCTTCCAGGCCGGCTCTCTGCTATGGCCCGGGAAGGCAGTGGAGGATGGCCCAAGTCCTTGGGCCCTGCACCCCATGGGAGACCTGGCTCCTGGCTTCGGATCAGCGCGGTGCGCCAGCTGCAGCAGTCATTGGAGGGTGAACCAATGGCAAAGGAAGACCTTCCTCCTCCTCTCACTCTCTCACTGTCCACTCTGCCTGTCAAAAAAAAAAAAAAAAAAAAAAAAACAGTTACTGCCACGCTGGAAGATCAACCTGTCATTTTAAGTGTATTTCTGGAACTCTTTGTAGAATCTTATGAACTATGCAAATACAGGTTCTTATCTCAGAAAAGACAATCAGGTTTAAGAAGTGGGACTACAGGAATCAAAAGTGAGAGTTGAATAAATTCTGAGTCGTGAGGTTCATGGTTTAATTGCTAATGATGTTTATTGCGCTTGAAGTAGATGTGACCTTTTTCCTATCTGCTTTTCTTTTTTCACATTGTTCTTTGTTTAATCTGCATTTCCAGCCAGAATGAACACCTGAAGCCAGGACTCTAATTCATCTTCTTATGTAGCTAACACTGTGCCTGGTACATGCTGGTATGTTCTCAGCTGCTGGGGACATCAGCCTCCTTGTGACTTCTGGCCCTGTCACAGCTTTGGCATTTTCAGCCTTACTTTCTCATCTGTGGAAAAAGTTTCTAATATTTGTACATAACAGGGTTCATACTATCCAACACACATTTGTGATGCTTGTTTTTTTTTTTTTTTTTACTTAATATATTAGACTTCTATAGATCAGTCTATCTCCAGCATTTGTAAGTTGCAGAAAATTAGATTCTGTAATTGTATGGTAATTCATCCTACCCTTACCCCTATTCCCCATGTCACTCTGCTATCTGCTAATAATGCTGCGATAAACATCCAGCACATAATCCTTTATATTTCTCTAGGTGTAGAGTCCTAGAAGTAATACTTTAGCTGGATCAAAGGTAGGGTACAATTTTATTTTTTTATACTGCTGGATTTCTTTCTAAGAAGAGTGTAGTAGTTTATGTTCTGGGGAAGAATACCAATTTTTTTCCCTCTCTAGTCAGCTCTAGATTTTACATGTACGGACTTTGCTTTTCTTTTTTTTAAAGATTTTATTTTTATTTATTTGAGAGGTAGATTCACAGAGGGAGAGGCAGAGGAAGGTCTTCCATTCAGTGGTTCACTCCGCATATGGCCGCAACGCCTGGAGCTGAGCCTAGGCGAAGCTAGTTGCTAGGAGCTTCCTCCCAGTTCTCCCATGTGTGTTAAAGGGCCCAAGTGCTCAAGCCATCCTCTGCTTTCTCAGGCCATAGCAGAGAGCTGGATCAGAAGAGGAACAGCCGGGACTAGAACTGGCACTGCAGGTGGAGGATTAACCCACTGTGCTGCTGCGATGGCCCTTGATTGGTTTTTAGTAGTTAATTTTTTTGCCAACCCAGTAGATGACAGTTTAGCATCTTTTCTTTTCTTTCTTTCTTTCTTTTTTTTTTTTTTTTTTGACATTTGGATTTCTTCCTGCTGTGAAATGTCATATCTTTTGCCCTTTTTCCAGAAACAAACACCGGTGCATATTCTGCAGACTCTTAGCGATCCACATTGTTGAAGTATCCCACGGAATAGCCATACTAGTTTTCACACCTTGTCCTGAGACTGGTCTGTTTTCATGAATCCCACCTTGCTAAGTTGTAGGAGCTCCAGCTTTGCCACCAGATAATCCTGGTCTTTTTATAGTTTAAAAAGACGTACTAGTTGAAGTGGTATTGGGCTATTTAAAGTTCATATCCCCATAAGAACTCTTTGAAGGTTCTGGTTTGTATAAAACCTTATAGGTATTTTTCTCCCTCTCCTCCTTCTTTTCTCTGACTTATTTTAAATACAGAGTGACAAGGAGAGACAGAGAAGGGGAGTCTTATTCACTGGTTCACTCCCTAATTGGTCATAGCAGCCATGTCTGGGCCAGGCTGAAATCAGGAGCCAGGAACTCCATCTGGGTTTCCCACATGGATAGCAGAGGTCCAGCTACTTGGGCCATCTTCTAGTGCCTTCCCAGGTGCATTGGCAGGAAGCTGGATTAGAAGCAAAGTAGCCTAACTCAACCCTGCACTCTAATGAGATGAATATGGGAGATTTATTGCAAGCAGGGACTTAACCTGCTGTAGCAAAATGATGGATTCCCCTAGCCTCCCTGGGCAATTAGGGGAATGAGGAAGGGAAACTTTGCAGAACGTAACAGAGAGATCTTCGAGGTCCTCGTCCTTTTGCTTGTGATATTCCAGGTGATATCCTTTGTCCACCAGGCTGCTCCTGCTCTGCTGCACTCTTAGACCTAATCTGTAGCTGCCGAGTAACTACTCTGCTTGGCTGCCCTGCTGGCTAGGCTTGTGCACATTTGGGACTCTTGACATTCAGCAGAGGTGATAATTATGTTTACCCTACGAGAAGACTGCTGCATGGGAAAGGATGTGATCTTGGAAAACTCGAGGTTGAGCATGTGGAAGAAGAAAATAATGCCTTTTTTTTAAATTCCACAGAATGGCAGCATACTTGCTTAACACTGAATTCTGTGCAAGAGAGAAAAAATTTAATATACTCCTTGCCAACAAGTGGTGGGAAAACCCTGGTGGCTGAGATTTTAATGCTACAAGAACTGCTTTGCCGGCGGAACGATGTTTTAATGATCCTTCCTTACGTGGCAATTGTCCAAGAAAAGGTGCGTTGTTTAAAACAAATGTTACTTGTTAATATTATTTTAACATTAAGATCTATAAACATAATTTGTTGACTGAGAAGTACCTCTTGATGGAAAATTAGGATCCACAAAAGGAATGTACAGTACTTACCTAAAGTCTCTTCAAATGCTAATTATCTATGTTAGAAAGTTTTATTTTTCTTAAACTGGTGGATTAAAGTCCATATTAAATGTTTCATTTCTGTGTAGCCTGATTTTTCAAGCAAAAAGTAACCAGTTTTCAGAATAAGTGAGTTATTATTCCACTTTTTGATATCAGAGGAGACAGCTGTAACTCACTTCTGTATTTATTATGCAGTTTAAAAGTTGCATCTGCACATTAGTTTTACAGCTTTTCCTAGTCTGTGACCTTGTCCCCATTGATTGGTATTAAACACCACTTGAGCTCTTTTGTAAATCCGTATGAGCCTTAATGATTAGAGTCCTTATTCATCTGTGATTTTTATTTTAACTAATATTCTAGATAACAGGCCTGTCAAGCTTTGGTATAGAACTTGGTTTCTTTGTTGAAGAATATGCTGGAAGCAAAGGAAGATTTCCTCCAATAAAAAGACGGGAAAAGAAATCACTGTATGTTGCCACTATCGAGAAGGGGCATAGCCTGGTGAACTCCCTGATTGAAACAGGGAGGATTAGCAGTCTGGGTCTGGTGGTTGTCGATGAGGTTGGTTACTACTTTTGGTATTTATCAGTATTTTTATTATGCAAGCATTCTGTATACTTCTGATTATGATGTGGGACTGCTTAGTACCTCTATACAAAAAAGTATTTTGTTTTAATATACAGATAACACAGGGGAAGGCATCCCATGCCTGATGGTCCTAAATTTGGTCTTCTGCCAAGTGTTTCTTGAAATGTGAAAGTGTGTGTGTTTAAAAAGTTTTTTTTAAAGTCATTTCTTATGCCATACTGAGCGTAACTTTTTTTCTTTAAAGATTTGTTTATTTATTTGAAAGAGTTACACAGAGAGAGAAGGAGAAGCAGAGAGAGAGAGAGAGATCTTCCACCCACTGGTTCTCTCCCCAAATGGCCACAACAGCCAGAGATGTGCCAATCCGAAGCCAGGAGCCAGGAACTTCTTCTGGGTCTCCCATGTGGGTGCAGGGGCCCAAGGACTTGGGCCATCTTCTGCTTTCCCAGGCCATAGCAGAGAGCTGGATCGGAAGTGGAGCAGCCAGGACTCGAACCGGTGCCCATATGAGATGCTGGCACTGCAGGCGGTGGCTTTACCCACTATGCCACAGCACTGACCCCTAAAAAGTTTTATAATAGTACTTATGAATCTCAGATGTGTCATGGCATCACCCTCCAAACTAATTAACTGAAAATACCATAGAATAATGTGTATATGTTAATAGTTACATATTTAAAATGTTGAAACATTACAAACATTCAATTTATATGTGTGTTTTAGGTAGGTAGGCATTATATGAAGATTTATTTCTCTGCCTTTTTTTTTTTAATCTCAAAGCTGCACATGATTGGTGAAGGAAGCCGTGGGGCTATACTGGAAATGACCCTAGCAAAAATCCTCTACACTAGCAGTAAGTACTTTTTTTAATGAGATCATTAGTTGATTTCTAGGCAAGATATCTATAAAATACTTAATTCTATCTCTAGATAGATTATGTAATATACAGCAAGATACTGAAACTTCTTGCCTTAGGTTTTTTTTTTTTTTAAGATTTATTTTTATTTATTTGAAAGAATTACAAAAAGAGGCAGAGAGAGAGGTCTTCCATCCACTGGTTCACTCCCCAAATGGCCACAATGGCTGGAGCTGAGCCGATCAGAAGTCAGGAGCCAGGAGTTTCTTCTGGGTCCCTCAGGTGGGTGCGGGGGCCCAAGAACTTGGGCCGACTTCTGCTGCTTCTACTGCTTTCCCAGGCCATAGCAAAGAGCTGAATCTGAAGAGGAACAGTTGGGACTTGAACCGGTGCCCATATGGGATGCTGGCACTGCAGACTGGGACTTTAACCCGCTGCACCACAGTGCCAGCACCCTCTGCTGTAGTTCTGTAATTTCTAAGATAAGCCAATAAGTGTATTTAGTAGTAGTAGAATGAATAAATGAATTATGAAAATAAATGAAATTAATATTTGAGGAAGTCCTCACTCGTTATTCTCCATTTAGTAGCTATTTGTGCCTTGTCACCTCACTCACCTTCTCTGTTTCCATAAAACTGGGATAACAGTGATTCCAACCTGATCGGACTATTGTGAGGACTATGAGTCAACAAGTGCATTTATTTATATTTTTTTTTAATTAAGATTTAGCTTATTCATTTGAAAGGCACAGAGAGAGGGAGATCTTCCATCTGCTGGTTCACTCCCCAAATGGCTGCAACTGCTTGGGCTGGGCCAGGCTAAAGCCAGGAACTTCATCTAGGTCTCTCACAGGGCTGCAGGGCCCCAAGCACTTGGACCATCCTCCACTGCTCTCCCAGGCACATTGGCAGGGAGCTTGATCGGAGGTGGAGCAGCCAGGACTAAGACCAGCACCCATATGGGATACCCAAGTCTTAGGCAGCGGCTACACCCACTCTGCCACAATGCTGGCCTCTAACCCATGCATTTACCACACAGCATTCAGGAAGGGCTTGCTGCTGCTGTTGCTGCTGCTTTATTACTATTCTAATCATTACAGTCATCCTCCCAATAAGCAGTGGATTTAAGTAGTCACTTCAGGAGCAATTTTGCAACATCAAATAGTCTTTTAATATACATGAAATATTTGTTTTAAATGTCATGTCTATTATTGATTGATATGGTCTTGTAATCCTTGGCTTATTTTTATAAAAATTGGCTATTAGGGGCCTGTGCTTTGGCACAGCAGGTTAAAGGCCCCACATCCCATATGGGTGCCAGTTTGAGTCCCGGCTTCTCCACTATTCTACACTTGATCTTAGCCAAAAGGCCGAGAAGCGATCTCCACTATTCTAATCCAGCTCTCTGCTATAGCCTGGGAAAGCAGTAGAAGATGGCCTAAGTCCTTGGGCCCCTGTGAGAGACCTAGAAGAGGCTTCTGGCTCCTGGCTACAGATCAGTTCAGCTGTGGCCGTTGGCAGTCATTTGGGGAGTGAACCAGTAATGGAAGAACTCACTCTCTCTGGCTGTAACTCTCTGTAACTCTGTCTTTCAAATAAAAAATCTTTTTAAAAAATTAACTATAAAGATCAATCTTAATAAGAATTATTTTTAAAATTTTGACTGTACCATGGTATTTAGGCAGATTATAACGTTCTATTCATTCAGAAAATATTTATTGAGCCTACTGTGTGCCTGGCACTCTTTTAAGTGCTAGATATACAACAGTGAGTGAAAGTCTCTGTCTTTATTTATTAAGCCTATATTTTAGTTAAAGTGAACAAATAATTAGACACATAAGAGAGGTGATGATAAATGTAATGAAAAAATTTTTTAAAGATTTGTTATTTATTTCAATGGCAAACAGAGAGAGAGCTTCCACCCATTGGGTTTACTCCCCCAAATGCCTGCAACACCTAGGCTGGGCCAGTCTGAGGTCAGCAGCAAGGAACTCCATCCTGGAAACTTTCCCAATGGACGGTGGGGACCCAAATGCTTAGGACATGAATTTGCTGCCTGGAGCACTAGCAGGGAGCTGAATTAGAATTCAAACCGATACTCACATTTGGGATGCCAGTGTTGCAGGTCATAACTTAACCAGCTGTACCACAGTGCTTAGCCCTAATGGAGCTAAAAGCAGAGGAAGAGAGTAGAATGATGGTTACGTGTCCATCCTGTCTTTGTCCTTTTTTTTTTTTTTTTGATGTTTGATGGCTTATCATTGTTCTGTTCTTTGGGTGCTGGAACAGTATTCTCTTGGCTTTCCTACTATGTGTGAGGGATCATAGCTTAGCATTGACAGTGTATCGTAATGACTAAGGAAAAGTTATAGAGCTAGATTCAAATCTTGGGGCTTCTCTTTATCGGACACATGATCTTAGGCAAGTTGTAAACTGTGCCTCTATTTCCTTATTCATCATTCATCATATACGAGTGACAAATAGAACCTTCCCCACTGAATTGCTGCAAAGGAGGCAGAAGTTAATTTTTTTTTTTTTTTTGAAGACTTAGTTTTATTTGTTTGAAAGGCAGAATTAGAGAGAGAGACAGAGAGAAAGAGATCTTCCATCCCCTGGTCCATTTGCTGAACTATCCTGGTTCATTTACTGAATTACCACAACAGCCAGGGCTATGCCAGGCCGAAGCCAAGAGCCAAGTACTTCCTCCAGGTGTCTCCCATGTGCATGACAGGGGCCCAAGCACTTGAGCTATCTTCCACTGCTTTTCCCTGGCCACTAGCAGGGAGCTGTAACGGAAGTGGAGTAGCCAGTCTCAAACCAGTGCTCAAATGGCATGCAGGCATCACAGGCATGGCTTAACCTGCTATGCCAAAATGCCAGCTCCCAGGAGTTAATTTTTGTAAAGCGTCTACCATAATACCTGCATATTGGACATATGTTTGCTCTTGTATTCTTATTGCTTTTCTAACACTACATTTAACAGGTATTTAAATAAAATGAATCTCTTTTAGTTTCTGCTGCTTGTTATTCTGCTGCAACCCTTCTGAATTTGTGTTAGCACATTTGTGTTAGCAGAGATTCACTGTAAGCTCTTCCCTTGTTTCTTACAGTTCCAGCTAATTCTCACCCATACTTAGGACAAGTAATCATGTGTGCTGATGGCTCCCAATTTGTACTTCTCAACCTTGATTTGTAGCTCTAAGCTCTCTTCTGAGTGATACCATCTGCCACCTGGACACTGACACTTGAATGTCCTATATACAGCCAAGCCTAACTAGAGGTTGATCTACACATAACTAATTTTCTTTAAACCCATTCTTCAGTCTGAATTCCCAGCCACTACTCTCCAGCCAGCCAGCCACACCAGAATTGAATTTTGCTTGTACTATCCATCAGCAACCACATTCTGTCTGGTTTATTTCATAAATATATTTAAAATTCTCTTCCTCCTGTCTTTCTTTACTACGAAGTCTTTACTTGGGTACTTCATCCTTTCTTACCTAGATGGCCACAGAGATCACCAAGCTCTTCCATCTGCCTTTGGTCTTGACCATTACTCTCTGTTCCACCAAACCCATCTTCTCTAGGGCAGGTAGTATGATCTTTCCCAAATGCAAATCCAGTTTGTTTATTTTACTATTTACCATCCTTTGACAACTTCCCTTTGTTTTCTGCATAAATCCAAAAATTCATTGTAGCCTTCCTTTTTTCATTATTATTATTTGTGTCATATATTTGAGAGAGCTCCCAACTGCTGATTTACTCCCCAAATTCCCACAGTGGCCAGGGAACTGAAGCCAGGAGCCAGAAGCTCAATCCAGATCTCACATGGCTGGCAAGAACACTTATACTGCTGCCACTCAGGTTCTGAATCAGTTGGAAGCTGGAATCAGGAACCTGAGCCAAAAGTTGAGCCCAGATGCTTCAATATAGAACCCAGACATCCTAATCAGCATAACACTTGATCCATATTTGAATCCTTTCAGATAACATTCTGAATGAGCATTCCAGGACAAGGCAGCAGCAATGAAGAAACGTTATCCTAAGAAAGGTTCTTTGGTGTTTGACTCAATAGCTAAGTCTACAAGTAGACATTTGTACTGCCCAGGAAGTTTACAGCCTGATAGCAAGATTCAATAAAGGACTCTTCCTCATTTAGCCCTGTGTCCTACACCCTGTATTCTACACCTACACAATGCCAATGGAACACTAACTCCTCATAAAGATGATCCAAGTAGATAGCATAGCCTATTTATACTCATTTCTTTTTAGAAGTAAGATATCCTATGTATTACAAGTTTGAGATTGTGTAAAATTCTAGCTAGGTAACTAGGTACTTTCAGGATACCTGAAAGATCTCATTCTTTGATTGCCAGGCTAATACTTTGGCAATATATTTGTATTTTTCATATTTACTTCTTTTCCCTGCTCCCTTTTCCAAAATCACTTGGGAAGGATTCAGACAACAAAAGTTTGCTAAAATTATTTTATGATTTCCTAACACATTTTCCTTAATACTTTGGGATTGCCTTTTTTTTTTTTTTTTTCAGAGACAACTCAAATTATTGGTATGAGTGCAACACTAAGCAATGTTGAAGACCTACAAGAGTTTCTTCAAGCAGAATATTATACCAGTCAATTTAGACCAGTATGTACCTAAGGTTTGCACTGTATTATTTTGTTGTATGTTCATGTTGTGTATTCATTAGTTAGAAGTAAAAGTAATAGGTATGGGTGTTGTGATACAGTGGGCTAAGCTGCTGCTTGGGATGCCCACACCCCATATTGGAGTACCTGGGATTGAATTCTGGCTACTTGGGCTTCTGATCTAACTTCCTGCTAATGCACCTGGGAGGCAGCATGTGACAGCTCAGGTACTTAAGTTCCTGCCATCCACTTTGGAGACTTGGATGGATTTCCTGGCTCTTAGTTTTGGCCTGACCCAGTCCCAACTGTGGTGGGCATTTGGTGAGTGAACATGTGGATGGAAGATCCGTGTGTGTGTGTGTGTGTGTCTGTCCCTCTCTCTCTCTCATTTTGCCTTTCAAATAAGCAAAAATTTATACAAACATTAATAAGCGTATTTTGAAAAATTCTATAGAGTAATGAAGAGGCATACATTACAGTTTGTGTATAGAGAATGTCAACACTGTGGAATCTTGCTTGGAATCACTAATATGTCAGAGCACTAGGAACAGTGCTCTGAGTCCTCAGTGAACATTGATTGAGTGGATTTTTCCATACCTATTCTACTTTTGCATTTCTTATTCTCCAAAGTAAATTTTTTCATTTGGCTAAAATTTAGACATGTTTTGAGTTATTGGCATATTAAAAATTTATTTTAAAAGTTAAAATATTTTCAAGTTCATATGCTTTCATAGTTGTAATAATTTTTAAGGAAGTTAGACTTCACGTGGATTGAACTTTATTTTTAAAAATATTTGAGAATCAGAGAGAGCAAATTCACACTCCCATCTGCAATGTCCAGGTAGCCCAAAATGGAAACTAGGAACTGAATTAGAGTCTCCCATGTGGGTGGTAGAATCCCCATCACTTGAGCCATCATTACTGCCTCCCAGTATCTCCAGGAAGCTGGAATCAGGAACTGGAGCTGGGTATCACACCTGGTGCTCTGATATGGGATGCAGGTGTCCTAACTGGCATCTTAACCACCAGGCCAAACACCTGCATTGGGTTTAAATATAAGCTGTTCAGTAACAGCAGTCACAAAATGCTTGAAGAAAGTAAACCATAGTAATATATAGTTATTTGAAAGTAGCTTATAATATACACAAACTAACTGTGGAGAATAATTTTTGAGAATAACCAAGTTTTCTTTCAGAAGTATTTGGTTGCCTTTAGCATATGTGACTTCTCAATTCAAAAGTATTGAGAGTGGGCATTTGGCAAACCAATTAAGATGCTTTTTGGGATACCTATATGCCCAATTTGAGTGCCTGAGTTTGAGTTCTGGCTCTGTGTCTAACTCTAGTTTCCTGTTAATGTGCACCCTGGGGAGGCAACAATGATGGCTCAAATACTTGGGTCTCTGCCACCCACTGGGGAGACCCAGATTTACCTCCAGGCTCCTGACTTTGGCCTGGACCAGTTCCAGCTATTGCTGGCATTTGGGGAGTAAATGAGTGGATAGAAGATCTCTGTTTCTCTCTGCCTTTCAAATTAATTAAATATAAATTGTATGAGTAAATTTTAAGGATATTAATCTCTATTTTGATTTGAAGGGAAAAAGGAGAAAAAAACAAAGAAAAATAGTAAATCAATAACCTTTAAGTTGAAGCATGTTTTACATGTCAGATAAGGTAAAATCTTTGTTTTTCTGTCACTTTTTACAGTATATTTTATTGTCTTTGAAACTATAGAAAGAGCAATTCCTATGTGATATTAATTGCAAATGTCCTTTAATTCAAGGTTGAACTGAAAGAATATCTAAAACTAAATGATAGAATATATGAGGTTGACAGCAAGGCTGAGAATGGCATGACTTTTTCACGTGTCCTGAATTATAAGGTAATGTTGATCATCTTAACCCAGACTTTGTGCCAAGGTGTCCTGGAGGGCCATGGAAGATTCACATGTGTACCACGGAATAGTTCAAATATTTAAGAGAAACAGCTAATGCTTGACATCTGTTGGACATCATAAAAACAACTTAGTTCAAGGTAGTGAGTTTGCAATTTCACATTCCTTTCTGTGACATCATATCATTGTGAAATTGAAGTTTTTGCAGTCACTATAATCAAATATCCTGTGAAAAATCATTCTGGGATGGAAAAGGGTGATTGGGTCCAATCGTATCCCAAAGGTTGAAAGACAGGACCCGCTTGTGCACATATGCCGTTAGTGAGCTGCTGTGTTATTTAAGGATGAGATAAAAATATTTTTTTCACTCAATTGATGTATGTTATTATTCAAATGACTAATAAGCTGGGAGGAAGTTCATATTTGTTTACTTTTTTGGACCTAACTACCAATTTTAAAAACTTAGGTATTTCTTTTGGCCTTGATGCTCTGTGAACCGAGAACATTTGGAAACAATCCAATGTTTGTTCATTCAGCAGTAACATTTGTGGGCCGTGTAGTTCATGGTGTATAAACTGTTAATGTCTATGTGAAATGTTAATGTTTTACATTCTAAATGAAAGAAAGGGGAGACATGGCTTTTGGCCTAGTGGTTAAGATGCCCACATCCTGGGGCAAGTTAAGTTATCCCACAACACTGGCATCCCACATGGGTGCCAGTTGGAGTTCTGGCTGCTCCATTTCCAATCCAGCTCCCTGTTAATGCTCCTGAGAAAGTAGCACAGAATGGCCCACGTGTTTGGAACCCTGCATCCACATGGGAGACCTAGATGAAGCTCCTGGATCCTGGCTTCAGTTTGACCCAGCCCTAGCCACTGTGGGCATTTGGGAAGTGAATTAGCAGATGAAGGATCTTTCTTTCTGTAACTCTGTCTTTCAAATAAATAACTAAATCTTAAAGAAAAAAAAAAAGATACCTATATCCCATACCAGAGGTACCTCAGTTTGATACCCAGCTGTGACTCCAGCTTCCTGCTAATGCTAATATAGACCCTGGGAAGCAGTAATAATGACTTGAGTAGTTGGGTCCCTGCCGCCCACATGAGTGGATGGAGTTTCTAGTTCCCAGCTTTAGCCCAGTCCAGTCCCAGCTATTTGGGGAATGAACCAGTTGCTAGGAGCTCTTTCTGTGTCCCCCTCTCTGTGTGTCTCTCTCTGCTTCTCATATAAGTTTTTGTTTGTTTGTTTGTTTGTTTGTTTTTTAACGAGAAGAGAGCAGGCATTCGGTTTCATGGTTAAGATGCTGCTTGAGTATTCGCGTTCCAAATTGGAGTGCCTGGTTTCAAAGAAAAAGCTTCACTCCTGATTCTAGCTTCCTGTTAATGCATACCCTGGGAGGCAGCAGGTGATGGCTCAAATAATTGGGTCCCTGCCAACCACTTGGGAGACCTGGATTGAGTTCTCAGTTCCTGGCTTCAACCTGGCTCAGCCCCAGCTGTTGTGGGTTTCTGGGGAGTGAACAAGCAAAATAGAAAATCTCTTTGTATCTGTCTCTCTTTGCCTATAATAATATATAATTTTTTAAAAGAGAGAAAAATTGATTTTGTGGTAATTCTAGAATTTTATAAAGATATGTTACCTTAAACCTATATCTGTTTTCAATAAAGTTAAAGGAAGCAAGAAGATTTAAAAAAATTTTTTAAAGATTTATTTTATTTGTTTGAAAGAGTTACAGAGAGGTAGAGACAGAGAGAGAGGTCTTCCATCCATTGGTTCACTCCCAGCTGGCCGCAATGGCCGGAGCCACACCAATCCGAAGCCAGGAGCCAGGAGCTTGGAGCTTCTTCCCAGTCTCCCACGTGGGTGCAGAGGCCCAAGGACTTGGGCCATCCTCCACTGCTTTCTCAGGCCATAGCAGAGAGCTGGATCAGAAGAGGAGCAGCCGGGACTAAACCAGCGTCCATATGGGATGCCAGGGCTTTAACCTGCTATGCCACAGTGCCAGACCTTAAAATTATTTTTTTATCTTGATTTCCTTGTGCTTGCTTTGAGTTGGAAAAATTTTCATAATTCAGTGCTAAATATTTTTTACTTCTGAGAAATGTCCTTTACCATGGTTAAACCTATGTTTTTGAAAATTATCAGTAATAGTAGAAAGTATATCTTATTTATGCAATCCTTTAACCGTTATAAGGCCCAATCTGTGTTTTTCTCGGCGTGCTTTTTTGTTCTGCTTTGCTGGAGATGGGCATGTAGTGATGTTATTAATAACACTATTTTCACTTCTTTAATTTTCTTTCATTTGTTTTTTAAACTAAATATACCTAACAAAACCTTAATAACCTAGGAGAAAAGTGAGATTTAACATTTTGATGTTTAATGTAAGTTTTGTCTTTTTTTAATGATCAGATTTATTAAATGATAGTTCAGAATTATGGATGATTTGATTCTAATCACACTGGCAAAAAGTTGGCAGGCTTTCGTGGTTACTAACTGCCTTGTTCCTATTTCTTACTGTTTTGCAGTACTCTGATACTCTGAAAAAGATGGATCCTGATCATTTGGTAGCATTAGTGACAGAAGTTATTCCCAGTTATTCCTGCTTAGTTTTTTGTCCTACTAAGAAGAATTGTGAAAACGTAGCAGAAATGATATGCAAATTCTTAAGCAAGTATGTTAATCTTTTAAAAATTTTGTCCTGTTTAACTTTTATCTTGAACCTCAGGTTTTGCATTCTTTTCACTGAAACAGTACTGATTACTTATTACAGATCTGATATTAAGTGGTTGTATTGAATTCTAAAGCACTTGACCTTGAAAAAAGAATGTTTAACCATGAAATTCACACGTGGTGAAATAGCTGGGCACTGAAAGACACAAACTACTGCATGATTTCATTCATATGTAATATTTTAAGAAATTATCTCATAGAAGTTGAGAGTAGAATGGTGGTGACCAGAATCTGGGGTGAGAAGAAGGGAGGGGGAGATGGGGAAAGGTTAACCAGAAGGCACTAAGTTCTAGTTGGTTCTGGGGTTCTGGGGCTTTGTTGCTTTGTAGGCTGTCTGTAGATAAGAGACGTTTTCTTTCTCTCTCTCTCCATGTTGCCCACCTCTACCCCTTTCCCTGTGTGTGTGTGTGTATAAACTAGATGAAAGAATTTTGAGTGTTTTCACCTTAAAAAAATGGTAAATATGTGTTTACTGTGACTTGAACATTGTACAATATATGCATGTATGGAAATATCACAATACCCTATAAACATGTAAAATTTTTTATATCAGTTTAAAGTATTCTTTAAATTCATATGTGTAGTGGGTAAGGCCACCGCCTACAGTGCCGGCATCCCATATGGGCACCGGTTCGAGTCATGGCTGCTCCAGTTCTTATCCAGCTCTCGGCTATGGCCTGGAAAAGCAATGGAAGATGACCCAAGTCCTTGGGCCCCTGCACCGCATGGGAGACCCAGAAGAGGCTCCTAGCTCCTGGCCCTGGCTTTGTATTGGTGCAGCTCTGGCTGTTGCGGCCAACTGGGAGTGAACCACCAGATGGAAGACCTCTCTCTCTCTCTGCCTCTCCTCTCTCTGTGTAACTCTGACTTTCAAGTAAATAAATAGATCTTCTAAAAGAAAATTCATATGTGACAAAGACCAGAAGGAAATTCTTTTTTTTTAATTAATTAATTTATTTATTTATTTGAAAGGCAGAATTACAGAGAGGCAGAAGCAGAGAGAGAAGTCTTCCATTCTCTGGTTCACTCCCCAAATGGCCACAACAGCCAGACCTGGGCTGATCTGAAACTAGGAGCCAGGTACTTCTTCTGGGTCTCCCACGTGAATGCAGGGCCCAGGCACTTGGGCTGTCTTCCACTGCTTTCCCAGGCAATAGCAGAGAGCTGGCTCAGAAGTGGAGCATCCAGGACTTAAACTGGATCCCATATGGGATGCTAGTGCTGTAGGCGGCGGCTTTACCCGCTACACCACTGTGCCAGCCTCTCCAGAAGAAAATTCTCAAGTCGCATGTAAGAATGCTAATGTAATGGCTTAAATCAGTGATTTGAAACCTTAACTGCACAGAATCAACTCAGAGGCTTTTAGAAATCTCAGTGTCCAGCCTACATCTTAATCAAATCAGAATTTCTGGGAGTAAAACTCAAACCTCATTTTGTAATCCTCCCAAGGCAAGTCCAAGTTACAGCCAAGGTCAAGAACCACTGGCTCAGTGTAATCACTTTTTAATTAAATACTGGTTGTTTTGCAAGGCACAGTGACACACAGGGAGACAGATAGAGACCTGCCATCCATGGGTTCACTCCCCAAATGGACACAATTGCTGGGTCTGGGCCAGGTCGAAGCCAGGAATCTAGAACTCCATCTGGGTTTCCCACGTTGGTGGCAGGGGCCCAAGTACTTAGGCTGTCTTCCACTGCCTTCTCAGGTATGTTAGCAGGAAGTTGTATCAGAAGTGAAGTAGCTGGGACTCGAACTGGCCTTCCCATGTAGGATGCCGGCATTGCAAGCAGTGGCTTCACCTGCTGCACCACAAAACTGCTCCCTACTTTTGTTTTCTTAGTAACCTTTACACTTAAGTTATGTGGACATTTGAGTTTAATCTCCTAATTACGAAATGTATTGATTTGGAATTTTATGTGTTTAGTATTGGCTTTGTCATACTCAGAGATAAGTATAAAGTGACTTTAAGTATGGTTTCTTGTTTTCTGCACCTGTTTGTCCCATGTGAGATTTTAGCATGTTTCCAGGCATCTTTTTGGCCCCTTAACTAGTACTATATCACTCTTCACAGACTGTTAACTGGGATTCTAATTTAGTCATCCTTTACCTCCTGTCCCAGTCCTGCATTTGGCCTAGCAGTTAAGATGCCTGCATCCCATATCAGCATGGGTGCCTGCGTTGCAGGAAACCTGGCCCCTGCTCCTGACATTAGCTTTTTGCAAATGCAGTATCTAAGAGGCAGTGGTGATGGCCAGGTAGCTGGGTCCCTGTGGGACACCTTGATTGAATTTTTGGCTCTGGACTTCAGCTCTACCCAGTCCCAGCCTTTGTAGGCATTTGGGGGATGCCAGATGGAAGCTCTTTCTGTCTGACTTTGTCTCTGTCTTTAAATCTATCTCTCTGCTGGTCAAATAAATAAATGAAATTTGAAAAAATAAAATAGGGGTAGCCATTTGGCACATTATACCACTTGGAATGCCTACCTAGTGTATTGGTGTGCCTGGTTCAAATCCAAACTCCTCTTCCAATTCCAGCTTCCTGCTAATATGCATCCAGGGAGAAAGCAGGTGATGGCTCAAGTTCTCACTGCCCATGTGGGAAACCTGGATTCAGTCCCTTGCTTCTGGCTTTGGCCTGCCCCAGCCCAGCCCCAGCCTGGCTGTTGCAGGCATTTGGGGAGTGAACAGCAGATGAAAGATCTCTGCTCCTCTCTCTTTCTCTCTCTCTCTCTCAAGTAAAAATGATAAATACAATTTTAACAAAGTAAATACAATTGAATTTGGCCGGCGCCGCAGCTCACTAGGCTAATCCTCCACCTTGTGGCGCCGGCACACCGGGTTCTAGGCCGGGTCGGGGTGCTGGATTCTGTCCCGGTTGCCCCTCTTCCAGGCCAGCTCTCTGCTGTGGCCAGGGAGTGCAGTGGAGGATGGCCCAAGTACTTGGGCCCTGCACCCCATGGGAGACCAGGATAAGCACCTGGCTCCTGCCATTGGATCAGCGCGGTGCACTGGCCGCAGTGCACCGACCGCAGCGGCCATTGGAGGGTGAACCAATGGCAAAGGAAGACCTTTCTCTCTGTCTCTCTCTCTCACTGTCCACTCTGCCTGTCAAAAAAATAAATAATAATAAAAAATACAATTGAATTTATTGAATGGCACAAAGATACAGAGATTTGAGATAAAATGAAGGAATTCCTTATCTGGTAATTGGTGGTCTGCCTTTATAGTGACATTTTCTATTATAAAAACCTAATGAAATTATCACTGAAGCATTCTCAGTAATTAACTCATTTTCTTAGGATAATTGAAAGTAGTCGGACATGAAGCGGCTAAGTGATGGAGACATTGTGAGGTGTTATTGTGGTTTCCATAGTGCTAGTATAAGACAGCATTTTAGCATGTAATATGATATAATAATATGTGTTACCATTTTCAGACAGGAAAATGTATGCTTTAAAATAAAGCAGACCATTTTCTGTAAGACTTTATGTGGCAGAGAATAAACAATCAAATGACTCTAGAGCAAGGGTCTAAACCTAGGGTGCATGGATTCTTAGGAAGAATAGGAATGAACTTCACAAGTCTACAAACCTTCTGAAATAATATGCAGAGGATTATATTTATATGAACAGTTATGTTTTTTTCTAAGCATTGATCAGGTTTTCTCAGGGCTCTGTGTAAATTGCAAAAAGAATGAGAGACTGCTTGATAGTTAATGAAGTTGGAATCAAAATTCTAAGTACATTTTGTATACCCTTATCAATTAAAGTAGTACTTTTTTTTTTTTTTTCCAAGAAGAATGTTTCCATGATCTAATAAGATGAAAAATCAGGACTTTGTCAGATCCGGGATTCACATCTCCAATGGATCTTCTTCCTAGGGAATATCTGAAGCACAGGGAGAAAGAAAAAGATGAGGTGATTAAGAACCTGAAGAGCATCAGCAGTGGCACACTGTGTCCTGTTTTAAAGCACACTATCCCTTTTGGAGTGGCCTACCACCACAGTGGTTTAACCAGCGAGGAACGGAGGCTTCTGGAGGAGGCCTATTCCTCAGGCGTCCTCTGTCTGTTTACCTGCACATCTACCCTAGCAGCAGGGGTCAACCTGCCAGCTCGAAGGTAAGAGATAAACAACACTAGGCCAGGCTTCAGACTTTACTCTCTCAGCAGTGGATTAAAATTTATCAGCTTTTTTTCAGAATTTGCTGAAAACTTTGTTTGGTTTATTTCCTTTAATGAAAAGTATTAGTAAATTTCTTGGTGTTAGAAAGAAAGAACGATCTTCCATCTGCTGGTTCACTCCCCACATGGCCAAAATGGCCAGAGTTGTGCCATTCCAAAGCCAGGAGCCAAGAGCTTCTCCTGGATGTCACACATGGGTGCAGAGGCCCAAGCACTTGGGCCATCTTCCACAGCCTTTCCAGGCCATAAGCAGAGAGCTGGATCGGAAGAGGAGCAGCAGAACACAAACCACGCCCATGTGGGATGCCGGTGCTGAAGGCAGAGGCTTAGCATACTGTGTCACAATGCCAGCCCCTATTATCTTTTTTTAGGGAAAATCTTCATTACCTTTTCATTTGTTACCAAAGTTATAGGCCTACAATCTTTAAAAAAAAAAGGGGGGGGGGGCGGAGGGGCTGGTGCTGTGGCACAGTGGTTTAACGCCCTTGCCTGAAGTGCCAGCATCTCATATGGGCACCAGTTCAAGACCTGGCTGCTCCACTTCTGATCAAGCTCTCTGCTATGGCCTGGGAAAGCAGTAGAAGATGGCCCAAGTCCTTGGGCCCCTGCACCCACGTGGGAAACCTGGAAGAAGCTCCTGGCTCCTGGCTTCTTCAGATCAGCTCAGCTCCGGCTGTGGCGGCAGATTGGGGAATGAACCATTGGATGGAAGACCTCTCTGTGTCTCTCTCTCTTTCTCTCTCTCTCTCTCTCTGTCTCTCTCTCTCTCTCCCCCTTACTCCTCTCTGTGTAACTCTGACTTTCAAATAAATAAATAAATCTTTAAAAAAAAAAGTTATAGGCCTTAACAACTGATTTCTGCTGTTTGTAATTTGTGACTATGGGTTTTTCTATTAAATGGTTAAATTTTATAAATCCCCCATGAGGGTAAAAATACAAAGGTACTTCAAAAAGTTCATGGGAGAATGAAATTAAAAAGTAAGCTTATTTTGGTGCAAAAAAAAAATTTGAAATACATGCATAATGAAAATGCATTTTCTATGATCTTTTGAAGACCCCTCACATATGGATTTTCTTTTGGGTATGAAGTTGTAGATATCTCAATGAGATCATAGTTGTTAGATGTGGGATAATCTCTGTTTCCTCACTGGTTCTGATGCCTTGATCTGTCATTTTTTTTTTTTTTAAGATTTTATTTATTTTATTTGAGAGTTAGTTAAAGACAGTGAGAGGGAGAAACCGAGAAAGAGGTCTTCCTTCCATTGGTTCACTCCCCAAATGGCCACAACAGCCAGCACTGCGCCAATCCGAAGTCAGGAGCCAGGAGCTTCTTCCAGGTCTCCCACGTGGGTACAGGGGCCCGAGGACTTGGGCCATCTTCTACTGCTTTCCCAGGCCATAGCAGAGAGCTGGACTGGAGAGGGGCAGCCGAGACTAGAACTGGTGCCTATATGGGATGCCAGCACCACAGGTGGAGGATTAACCTACTGCACCACGGCGCCAGCCGTGTGTGTAGTAATGCTGATTGTGGTTGTTACATTTTCCCTCCTCTCTATATAAAAGTAGCTATACATACATAGATTTTTCCAGTTCTCAGAGTTCCTTATAAAGAAGTTCTTGTGTTATTACCCACATTTTACAGAAGGGAAAACTGAGACATGGAAGGTTAAATAACTTACTCAACACCCAACAAATGAGTTTCAAAGATAAGGTTTTAACCCAGGAAGTGTAATTCCATAATCCCAACTCACCTACTTTTTATCCATGGATGGATGCTTTCATTTAATACTTTATGCCTTTCTTTAACTTACAGTAATTTTTTCTGTTATTTCATCAATTATTTCTTTCTTCCCATTGTCTCTGTTTTCTATATTATAGCTTCAGTTATGGTTGAGGCCTCTAATATTAAGGTTTCTTCTATATATCTTTCATACTTTTCTATTTGAACTATGTGATTTCTTCAACTTTCCTTCCATATAACAAAATCCATTTTAACTGTATCTGTTTACTATGTTCATTCATTATTCATTTATCCAGTTAATTTTTAAATGAGTTTTTAACTTTTTTTCATTTCTCAGAACTCTTATTGCTTTTTCTTTGATACAGTCTACCTTCCCTTCATATTATGGATGCAACACTCTGGAATTTTCTGTAGATACTAATTAAAACTTTTAAAAGTTCTCTTTGGTTTCCTGTACTATCTGTCAGTCATTTATTCTATATGTTCTTGTTTTTATTTTGTTAGTTTTTTTCAAGTGTTTAGTAATCTTGATTGACTTGGGATTCATGAATAAAGGAGTATGTTGATTACTACAGGTAGATGACAGAGGGTTTCTCTTGCCTTTGGATAGGAAAACTGACTACAGAGTTGTATGTATGTGAGGAAGATTGAAATCATCCTTTTTGTAGATCAAAAAGAGTTGAAATTTGCAATTTTATATAGTTCAAAATAATATAAATTCATAAATAAATATGCATACCTTGATACATGGTCAGATTTTTCATTTTTGAGTACAAAAATAAAACCTTTGGAGACCCTTACTGTAAACCGATAGACTTTGTAGCTAGTCAGATTTGAGTTCAAATCCTGGTGCCTGCCATTACTGATTTTGTGGTTTGGGGTAAGCTACTTAACTTGTTTGAGCTTCAGTTAACTCCTTTGTAAAAATAAATAGAGGCCAGTGCTGTGGCACAGCTGGTTAATGCCCTGACCTGGAGCGCCAACATCCCATATGGGCGCCAGAGACCCGGCTGCTCCACTTCCAATCCAGCTCTCTGCTATGGCCTGGGAAAACAGTAGAAGATGGCCCAAGTCCTTGGGCCCCTGCACCCCTGTGGGAGACCTGGAAGTAGCTCCTGGCTCCTGGCCTCAGCTCAGCTCAGCTCCGGCCGTTGTGGCCAATTGGGGAGTGAACCAGCGGATGGAAGACCCCCCACCCCCACCTCTCCTCTCTCTGTGTAACTCTGACTTTCAAATAAATAAATAAATATTTTAAAAAGATGATGAAACTCATAAGAACTTTTATATAAATAAATAAACTAAAAGAGATACTTGTGTTATTGCTAAGAGTTTTGTAAGAGGTACAGTAATGTACATAAAGAACCTAGTGTATCATAGATTCTTGGTACATGGTAGTTACCTGCCATTTTGAGTTGGCATATCATAAATTTAATAGCACATAGATATAATGAAATTAAGAATTTTAGAGTAGGTGTTATTGCTAACGATTAAGTATCACTCTGAATTAATTCCATCAATTCCACAGAGTTATTTTAAGAGCTCCCTATGTTGCTAAGGAGTTTTTAAAGAGAAATCAATATAAACAGATGATTGGCAGAGCTGGCCGCGCTGGAATAGATACTATTGGAGAGAGTATCCTTATCTTGCAAGAAAAAGACAAGCAACAGGTAATATGCAATTGGGTTGGTTGGTGGGTTTTGTGTTCTTTTTCTTTGATCTTTGGTCTAGCCCTTTTATGAGATCATCTTTTAAAGTTATCAGTGTTCCTTTAAGTGACCCTTCCTTCTCTTTATGATTAAGAATGAGAGCAATCTGTACATATTTCAGACAATGAACAAGTATTTACCCTAATTGTCTTCTTTCTTTGTGAGGATACCTGTTAAATTCTTATTCTTTTGCCTTTTTATTTTTTGTCTCCCCTTGGTCAGATAATATTGATGTAAAGTAAAATCTTTATATGTACCACTATTTATTTTTATAATAATACAAGGTATACTGTTAACTTTTGTAGGTATCTGAGTTAATAAGCAGACCACCGGAAAACTGTTACAGCCATCTTGTTCAGGAATTCACCAAGGGAATACAGTCTTTGTTTCTGTCTTTGATTGGCTTGAAGGTATTTTATAACACTTTTTAGTCTTAACTATACTTACCTGAGATAATGTTGATTGGAAAGCCATGTAAAGTATCAAATAAGAAAGAAAAAGTTAACTTTTAGTGTGGAAAAGAACAACTTGTGACATGATTGATCTGAATCTGATTTATGTGTGCATTGTTAGTCCTTTGAACTGTAAGAAATATGAAAAGTCAGCAAATCATAACTGGCATCCATCACAAGGAAGAGGCTAAGCTGTGGGTCCTGACATGGTACAACTTTCCGCGCTGCCTCTACTGGGAGTAAGATACACTTGTAGTCCTGTGACCATTTTAGAATATTGTAAACATTTGGCAGACTGCTACAGACTTTATGTGGCAGGGATGGGGAGGGGGCGATAGAAACCAGTATATCAGAACTAGTAAGACAGGCCTACTGAAATGCTTAAAGGGAAATTTATAACTTTAAGTGCTTATTAGTGTACAAGAGAGATCCTAACTCAATGATGTAAGTTTTACTTTAAGAAACTTCAAATAAATAAATAATAAATTAAATTCAAAGTAAGCAGAAGGAAGGAAATACAGGATGAGTTATCTGAAATGCTTGGTACCCAAAGTATTTCAGTTTCTTTTTTAAATTGTTACTTGATAGGCAGAGTTACAAAAAGGAAGGAAGAGACAAAGAGAGAGAGGTGTTCTATCCGCTAGTTCACTCCCCAAATGGCTGCAACAGCTGGAGCTGGGCCAGTCCGAAGCCAGGAGCCAGGAGCTTCTTTCGGGTCTCCTACCTACGAGGGTGCAGGGACCCAAGCACTTGGGCCATCCTCCGCTGCTTTCTCAGGCCATTAGCAGGGAGTTGGATTAGAATTGGAGCATCCAGAACATGAACCAGTGCCCATATGGGATGCCAGTGTCACAGGCAGAGGCTTAACTTACTATGCCACCATGCTGGCCCATGATTTTGTGTGTGTGTGTGTGTGTGTGTTTCTTTTTGTAATACTTGTATAAACTTTACTGGATAAGCATCCTTAATCCAGTGCTCAAAATTTCAGATTTTAGGGCATTTTATATTTTAAATCTTCAGATTAGGGATGCTAACTTAAAATATAGATTAAAACAAAAATCAATAAAATAAAAAGTAAACAAACAAAAGAAAAAATGAGTCCATAAGATGGTACTTTAATAAGATCAGTAAGATCAGTGATTGAATTGGTCAAGAGAAAATGAGAGAACACAAACTACCAGTATCAGGAATGAAAGGGTCATCAGTAAACATCCTAGAGACATTAAAAGATAGAGATGATACTTGAGTATCTAGATCCTTGAATAATCTAAGGTATTGGTGAACATCGATATAAAAACTCTATTGGGATACAGGTTTGGCACAGCAGGTAAGGAGGATGCCACTTGGGATGCCTTTATCCCATATTGGTTCAAGTCCTTGCTCTTCCACTTCCAACCCGGCTTCCTGCTGGTACACACCTTGGGAGGCAGCAGAGGATGGCTCAAGTACTTGGGTCCCTGCCACACACATGAAAAACTCAGAATGAGTTCCAGCCTCCTTGCTCCAGCTTGGCCCAGCCTGGCTGTTGTGGTATTTGGCAATAAACCAGTGGATGGAAGATCTCTGCCTCTCTCTGCCTTGCATATAAAGTGAAAATAAATAATTTTTAATTAAAAAAAAAAGCTTCCAAAATTTTAGTAATCCAAGGGTAAGCACTTGGCCTAGCAGTTAGGATAACAGATGAAATACCCTTGTATTGGCTCAAGTGATTGAGTCAATACCATCCATATGGAAGACCTGGACTGAGTTCCTGGCTCCTGGCTTTATCCCTGGCCCAGCCCCAGCTACTGGGGACATTTAGGGAGTGAAATGATGGATGGGAGCACTCTCTCTCCACTCCCACCCCTACCCTTCTGCCTCTCAAGTCGGTTTAAAAAATTGTTTAATTAATAATTCATCAACATAAGAACAAGGTACCATGAACAATTAAGGTTTATTCCTGTAATGAAAAGTCAGTTGACCATTCAAAATTCAGTCAGCACAGTTCTCCATATTGACAGAATTTAACCATATGTCATAAAAATTCAGCAAATAAGGAGTCAAACAGAAATTCTTTTACCTGATAAAAGGTATTTATTAAAAATTTACAAGTACCATCATAATTAATGATGAAAGACGAAATATTTTCCCCCTAAGATCAGGAAAAGAAAGGATATCCATTCTCACCAGCCTATTCAACATGTTATCACAGGCCATAACCAGTACAATAAAGGAAGAAGAAAAAGGAAGGCATGTAGATTAAAAAACAGGAAGTAAAGCTATCTTACTAACTGATGATGCAAGGTTCAAGAAAAATTCAAAAAGATGTTCTGAAACTACTAGATTGTAGATAGCAGGGTCAAAGGATACACGGCTACATATAAATCTCAATCATATATTTTTATATGCTCACTACAAGCAATTGGAAGAATAATTCCATTGACAATGTACAAAAATACAGAAAATATTTAAGGATAAATTCAACATAATATGTGTCAAACCTACACACTGAAAAATGATAAAACACTGTTGAGAGGGCCTGGCACTGTGGCTCACTAGGTTAATCCTCTGCCTGCGGCACCGGCATCCCATATGGGCACCGGGTTCTAGTCCCAGTTGCTCCTCTTGGGCGCCTGCACCCGCGTGGGAGACCAGGAGGAAGCACCTGGCTCCTGGCTTTGGATCAGCACAGCACCGGCCGTAGCAGCCATTTGAGGGGTGAACCAGTGGAAGGAAGACCTTTCTGTCTCTCTCTCACTGTCTAACTCTATCTGTCAGGAAAAAAAAAAAAAAAAAAAGGAAATAAAACACTGCTGAGAGAAATTAAAGAACATCTAAATAGATAGAGATACCATGTTCATGAATTGGAACATTCAGTTTTGAAAGATGTCACTTCTTCCTACATAAATCTGCAAATCAGTACAAAGCAAAAGGTATAGACATTTTCTAAAAGAATAACAAAGAGGATTCATACCCCTTGATTTTCAGATTTACTGTAAAGCTTCTGTAATCTAGACAATGTGGCATTGGTACAAGGATAACTGTGTAGACCAATAGATCGTAGTCCAGAAATAGACACACATGTATGTGGTCAGTCGATCTTCAATAAAGTTGCCAAAGTATTTCAATAGAGAAAGGATAATCTTTTCAACAAATAGTACTGGAACAACTGGATAGCCATACGCTGAATAAAAATAATTAACCTCTATTCATACAGTGCACAAAAAATAATAATAATAAAATGGATCAGAGACCTAAACTTTTTAAAGAATCCAAGACAAAATTTCCTTTTTTTAAAAAAGATATTTATTTATTTTATTTGAAAGGCAGATTTACGAAAAGGCAGAGGCAGAGAGAGAGAGATGTCTTCCATCCACTGGTTAACTCCCCAAATGGTTGCAACAGCTGGAACTGCACTGATGCAAACCCAGGAGCCAGGAGCTTCTTCAGGTCTCCCACATGGGTGCAGGGGCACAAGCACTTGGGCTGTCTCCTGCTGCTTTCCCAGGCACATTACCAGAGAGCTGGATCAGAAACAGAATAGCTGGGACTCAAACCAATGCCTATATAGGATGCCAGGACTGTAGGCAGTGGCTTTACGCCACAGTGCCAGCCCCCAAGATGAAATTTCTAAGTCAAAACATAGGAGACTTTAAAAAAAAATATTAGCTATTTGTTTTTATTAATTTGAAAGGCAGACAGAATCTTCCACCCATTATCAGTCTGAAAATGCTTACAACAGCTGGGGCTGGGCCAAGCCAGAGCCAGAAGCCTGACTCTCAATCTGGTTCACCCGCATGGTGGCAGGGATTCAAGTGCTTGAGCCATCACTTGCTGACTCCTTGGTTGTACATTAGTAAGAAGCTGAAATGTGAAGTGGAGCTAGAGTCAAACCCAAGCTCTCTGGCTAAGAATCTGCACATCCAAAGCATCATATTAACTGCTACACCAAATTCCTGCCCCAGGAGAAATTCTTTTTCACTTTTGGTTAGGCAAAAATTTTTTCAGTAGGAAAACTAAAAACCTAAACCATGAAGGAAAAATCAGATAGACTTCATTAAAATTAAAACTTCTCTTTAAAGGTTGGCATTGTGTTATTGTGAGTTAAGGTACTACTTGCAATGCCAGCATCCCATATCAGAGCACTGCTTCTAGTCTCAGCTGTTCAGCTTCTGATCCCGCTTCCTGCTAATGTGCCTAAGAAGGCATCAGATGATGGCTCAAGTACCTGGGCCCCTGCCACCCATGTGGGAGACCCAATTGGAGTTCTTGGCTCTTGGCTTCAACCTGGCCCAGTCCTGGCCATTTTGGAAGTAAATCAGCAGATGAAAACCTCTCTCTCCTCTCCCTCTCCTGTCCCTCTTTTTCTCTCTCCATTTCTTTCTCTCTCCCTCCCCTTCTCTCTCCCCCTCCCTCTCCCTCTCCCTCTCCCTCTCATTATGCATTTTAAATAAATCAGTAAATAAATAGATCTTTTAAAAAAAGCCTCCTTTGGGCCAGCGCCATGGCGCAGTAGGTTAATCCACCGCCTGTGGCCTCGGCATCCCATATGGGCGCCAGTTCTAGTCCCGGCTGCTCCTCCTCCAATGCAGCTCTCTGCTGTGGCCCGGGAGGGCAGTGGAAGATGGCCCAAATCCTTGGGCCCCTGCACCCGCATGGGAGACCAGGAAGAAGCTCCTGGCTCCTGGCTTCGGATCGGCTCCTGCCGTTGCAGCCATTTGGAGAGTGAACCAACGGAAGCAAAATCTTTCTCTCTGTCTCTTCCTCTCACTGTCTGTAACTTTGTCTCTCAAATAAATAAATCTTTAAAAAAAAAAAAAAGAAGAAAAAGCCATCCACAGATGGGGGAATATATTCATAATACTTTTATCTAACAAATATACATGTCATAAGTTAGGAACCCAGCAGAAAGGCAATGGAATTAGGAAGGAAGTGGGACTTCACTTGAGACCAGAGCACTCAGAGTTAATTGGCAGACAGGGGAAACTAGTTTGGCCACAAAAGCAGGATTTTATCAGTCTGGCCATGGAGAACAGTTTCAACTGCATGGTTTTATTCAAATTCTGTTTTTTATTTTAAAGATTTTATTTATTTATTTGAAAGAGTTACACACAGAGAGAAGAGGCAGAGACAGAGAGAGAGGTCTTCCATCCAATGGTTCACTCCTCAATTGGCCACAATGGCTGGAGCTGTGCTGATCCGAAGCCAGGAGCCAGGAGCGTCTTCCAGGTCTCCCACGTGGGTGCAGGACTTGGGCCATCTTCTACTGCTTTCCCAGGCCATAACAGAAAGCTGGATTGGAAGTGGAGCAGCCAGGTCTCAAACTAGCGCCCATATGGGATGCCGGCGCTTCAGGCCACGGCATTAACCTGCTGCTCCACAGCAGCAAGAAGTCCAGGCAGCAGTCAGTTGAGATGAACAGGAAGGGAGTTGTCATCCAAGCCTGCCCAGAGGGGACAGAACTCAAGCTGCCGGTTCCAGTCCTGAGGAAGTCAGGCCACCAGGGCTCCTCCTGCATTGTGGGGTGGGGTTCATAACAGCACTAGAGTTGTGGAAGGAGGCCGACATTCTAGACAGGATCAATAGCCAGAGTTATTCCAACCCTTGGAGTGGGAGCAGATGTCGAGTCTTATGAGTAGGCACAGCCAGGTGGGACACAGGTGAGAGGGAAGAAGGCAAGATCCATGACTTGGGCACTGTGAGGGGCAGGAGGGCAGAGGTGAACTTCCCTGGAAGCACTGGATCCACACTTTGACAGAAGGAAAGGAAACTTTGGAATTAATAAGAGAATGTGACAGTTGTTGGGCCAGACAATCCAGGGAACCTCCAATTATTGTTTCTTTTTCACAATCCATGTTCCGCATGTTTTTTCATCTGTCCTTGTACCCCTTTGAATTAAGGAATGTAATTCCTATTTTACAGATGAAGAGTGGAGGGAAAGAGAAGTGGGTTGTGTGGCCTGCTTGGAACTTGATCATAATCTCCTAATGGTCTCTGCAGCCACTTTGCCCTGCCTACCCACATGCCCTGTGAATAATTCTTCACAAAGAATGATGTTCTCAAAATGTGACTCTGGCTACATTACTCTCTTCTACTTAAACTTTGTCGGTGGTTTCCCATTGCTCCTAGGATTAAGCCCAAATTCCTTCTCATGGCTAGCTGTGGGAGGGGAGGCCTGTGCCTTTTTATCCAGCTTCCTCCTTCTCCAGCCCTCTTACACTCTTACTCCACACTGTTTTCACTTCTCAGACACCATATCCCAGTGCTCCTTAAACCTGGAACATCCCCATCTTTCCTCTCCAGCTTCACTCTCAGCACACTCTTGGTCTAGCTAACCCTTACTAAACCTTCAGTTTTAGTTTAACCATTTGCTTCCTCATGGAAGCTTCCCCTATGCCTCTGAGTCCATCCTGTTGTTAGGTGCTATGTAGAACCACATTCCCTGCCCTTTGCAGTGCCAGTCAGTGATTGTTGTTGATATGTTACTAATGGCTAATGTTCCTTTCCTGGAATGTAAGCCCTGTGGAAGCAGAGTCCATTTTTGCTTTCATTGATCTCTGAATCCCAGTGCCTTCTGCAGTGCTTGGCATGTGGTTAGCAGTGAGCAAATACTTGAATTAGTGGAAGTGACTTTGAAGTTGGGCTTGGATGCACTTGCAGTTTGGGACATCAGTGGAGAACTCCACTTTGAGAAGCTGCTGAGGCCAGAGACAGGCTGGCCTGGTGGATTTAAATGACTGTGTCAGAAGTTTTTCAATGAGGAAGATACAGAAGATAACATGATGTTAGGTAGAGAGATCAAATAAAGCCCTCTCCCCCAAATCTGGCCCCTACTATAATCAGGTAGGGAAAATATAGAAACTGAGTACATTAATAACCTGCTAACTGAGAATGAGTACTTGGATAGCTTAAAAGTACACGTTTAGCTTAATTGATTGCTGTATTGAGAATCATTTTTATTGAAAGGGAGAAGCAATTGCAAATATCTATACCTCTAAATATTTTTTGTTAGCCCTTATACTGGCTTAATATGAAATAAATACTTTCTATTGAAACATCGTTAGAATTATGACAGAAATATATTTATTGATTGACTATGTTTTAGTATAGCGTGACTTCATTGCAATTGGCTAATAAAAGATTTTATAATTCAGAATCAATTGTACATCTGAACACAAGATGGAGAGTGCTACTTATGATTGCCACTGTCAGTTGTAAATAATGAATGGAGGGAGGGGAGCAGAGGACAAGGCAGTGAAAGAACAGGAAAAGGAGAAGGAAAAAAAAGAAACAAAAAGAGATAGAAAATGGCTATTCATTTTTATATGACATTTCAAGCAAAATATTGCCTGATCCTGTTTGGAGTCTTTCAGTTGTGTTTTCCATGTTCTTTTTTTATTTTCATTGCAATATTTGGAGCTAAAAAGATGCCTTCACAAGTGAGTAGAAAGGGGTAAAGAGAGGATTCCTGGGAATTCATGAAAACTGGTTGAGCAATGAACAGAGCACAGCTCTGGAGATAGTGTGAAAAATTATTTTAAAGGCTGGCACTGCGGCTCACTTGGGTAATCCTCCGCCTGTGGCACTGGCACCCTGGGTTCTAGTCCTGGTTGGGGCGCCAGATTCTGTCCCGGTTGCTCCTCTTCCAGTCCAGCTCTCTGCTGTGGCCCGGGAAGGCAGTGGAAGATGGCCCAGGTACTTGGGCCCTGCACCCGCATGGGAGACCAGGAGGAAGTGCCTGGCTTCTGGCTTTGGATTGGTGCAGCGTGCTGGCCACAGCATGCCAGCTGTAGCGGCCATTTGTGGGGGTGAACCAACGGAAGGAAGACCTTTCTCTCTGTCTCTCTCTCTTACTGTCTAACTCTGCCTGTCAGAAAAAAATTATTTTAAAACTCAGAGGTTTTTGATTGAAAAGTATGTACATGTTCCCATGAAAAGCATGAGTATGGCAACTGTCTCCTCCCTTAAATTGGTTTTTCTTTTCTTAATTTTAAAAATGCTACTATAGAATTCTCTTGATATAGGTATACAACCATGTAGATTTTACACTAATTTCTTGTTTAAATAACTTCTGGAAATGAGTTATCTTGATTAATATGCAGAGTGATGCCTTCAATTAAGGAAAGTGCGCCAATAGTTCCTTAACTGTTTCAGATTGCAACAAATCTTGGTGACATTCATCACTTTATGAATGGTACATTTTTTGGTGTTCAACAAAAGATTTTATTGAAAGAAAAGAGTCTCTGGGAAGTAACTGTCGAGTCACTGAGACACCTGACAGAGAAAGGACTGCTACAGAAAGACACTGTTAATAACTCTGATGAAGAGTGCCGATGTGATTTTCACATTACGAAACTGGGACGAGCTTCTTTTAAGGGTGAGTTTAGGGGCTGGCGCTGTGGTGTATTAGGTTAGTGCTTTGCTTGCAGTGCCGGCATCCCATATGGATGCCAGTGCTAGTCCCAGCTGCTCTTCTTCTGATCCAGCTCTCTGCTGTGGCCTGGGAAAGCAGCAGGAGATGGCCCAAGTGCTTGGGCCCCTGCGACCATGTAGGAGACCCAGAAGAAGCTCCTGCCTTTGGATCGGCCCCGCTTCTGCTGTTGTGGCCATGTGGTGAGTGAACCAATAGATGGAAGACCTTTCTCTCTGTCTCTCCCTTGCAATGTCTGTAGCTCTACTTCTCAAATAAATAAATAAAATCCTTACCAAAAAAAAGGGGCGGTGGATGTTTACCTAAATCTCATTATTAAGCTGAGGAAATGCATTAGAAATAGTAGAAGTTAAATTATTCACTTTCTTTAAATTAGATTTGTAATTTCAAATCAATAACTTTAATCTTACAAACTGATAAAGCAATTCAACTTTGAAACCTTGAAAAGTGTTCTGTATTATAATTATAATATTGCGTAAGTATACAGAGAAAACTATGTCCATCCCTTGTTTACATGCCTCTTCCCCAGCAGCCACACAGATATTGAAGTTATACCAAGAATAGCAATTGGATGTCTGTCTTTTCAGACCTTTTCTGTGCATTTCACTTCAATGCGTAATACATGCATAGACACAGGGTGTTTTTTAAAATAGTCATTCCTGTCATTTGTGGAGGTTAGCTTTTTGCTTAGTATAATATCTCAGACAGTTACATTTTCATTACTCAATAAAAAACAATACACATCTGTTGCTAAAAAAAATCCTAAGAACTCAGGACCATGTTAAGGGAAGTCACATACTCTTGTTCCATTTCCATCCTCTCAGGGGCTACCAAGGTTAACAATTTATATATGTGTGTGTGTATCTATCTATCTATCTATCTATATATAATTTGTATAATATATAATTTTTATATATATCCTTCCAAATATCTTTATGCATATGAATGTGTGTTTATGTGTGTGTGTTGTTACATATGCACATAGTTTATTTTTTAAGGAGACCATGGTATCAATAGTTTTTGCAACTTGTTTTTCTCATTTATAAAATATCATGAAAATCTTTTTCTCCCCAATGGTAGGGATGTAATATAATGTATTTAACAATTACCCTATTGATGGCCATTTGCATTGTTTCTGATTTTTCTGTTATAAACAAGGCTATATGAACATCTCCATTTGTATATTTTTAGATACATATAGAAATGTTTCTCTGGGTTAGCTTCCAAAGCATAGTTAGATCAGAAGGTGAATCCTCATTAAATATTGATGCATATAAGGGGTTTGCAAATAGTTTGTGGAAATGTGTATTGTTGGAAAAACTATAGATGGAGTTCAAAAAATTACAAATTTATCTTTCAATTCCAATTTTTTCATGGAAAAGTGCCCTCATAACAGCAGAATGGTCTCCTAGTTATATAGGAGATTGCATAATAGAAGATTTTGAAAACTTCTTGCTGCATTTGGATAACTTCTTTATTTTATTTTTTAAATATTTATTTATTTGAAAGTCAAAATTACCAAGAGAGAGGGAGAGACAGAGATCTTCCATCCATTGTTTCACTCTCCAGGTGACTGCAAGAGCAAAGGTTTAGCCAGGCTGAAGCCAGGATCCAGGAGTTTCATCTGAGTCTCCCATGTGGGAGGCAAGGTTTCAAACACTTGAGATATTTTCTGCAGGTTTTCTCACTAGAGGGAACTGGACTGGAAGTGGAGCAGCCAAGACACGAACAAGTGTCTGTGTGGGATGCTGTTGTTGTCACAGGCAGCGGTTTACCCACTGTACCACAACACCAGCATCATCTTTATTTTTAGAAGATTTCTTTATCTTTTTATTTGAGAGGCAGAATTACAGTGAGAGAGAGACAAACAGAGAGAGAGAGCTTCCATATTCTGGTTTACTCCTGGTATGAATTCAACAGCCAGGTCTGGGCCAGGTCAAAGCCAGGTGCCAGGAACATCATCCAAATCTTCCACATGGATGGCAGGGCCCTAGGGACTTGGGCCACCTTCTACTGCTTTCCCAGGCCGTTAGCAGGGAGCTGGATCAGAAGTGCAGCAGCTGGGACTTGAACTGGTGCTCATATAGGATACTACATATTGGACTGTGGCTTAACTCTCTGTGCCACAACACCAGCCCCTTGGGTAACTTCTAAATGAGACTTTACTTAAAATAATCTCTTTCCTCCTCTAGTAATTAGATGATGATGGATGATATCTTTGTGTCTTTCTTTTAGGAACTATAGATTTAGCTTATTGTGACATTCTCTACAGAGACTTGAAGAAAGGTCTTGAAGGCCTTGTGCTGGAAAGCTTTCTCCATCTCATCTACCTAACAACTCCCTATGACCTGGTTCCCCAGTATGACCCAGACTGGATGGTATACTTCAGGCAGGTGAGAACAGACTTCTCGATTGAGGCTACTTAGTTTATTAGTGATGGTATGATTTTTGTGAAATGATTATTCACTTTTTTCTGTGTTGAAATTTTTTTGAAATCAGACATTTGTCTTTTAGTGTTTTTTAAAGAAATGTATTTATATAAAGATTACAAATTTCATGTATTTCATATATATAGTTTTAAGAACATAATGATACTTACCACCCTCCTCCCTCCTTCCCTCCCACCCTCCCTCTTCCTTCCTTTTTTATTTTTCTAAATTTTTGGAATAGCATACTTGCAAGTTACTTGATAATCATAAGCTTTATCCTCTACTAAATAAAAAATTGAATAGGTAGAAAGTAGACCACTTTTCCTCAGGAGCATAAACAAAGGCTATAAACAATAATTCAATTTCAAGATGTCAATTTCACTCAAATACCTTACTTTTTTTTAAACTGTATATATTAACTACCACAAATCAGAAAAAACACATTTCTCTTTTTTGGATTGGCTTATTTTACTAAGCCTAATAATCACCAGTTGCATCCATTTTGTTGCAAAAGACAGGATTTCATCCTTTTTTATGGCTGAGTAGTTTTCCTGTGCGTGTGCACGTGTGTGTGTGTGTGTGTGTGTGTATCCCATTTTCTTTATCCAATCATTGGCAACAGTATTTTGGGTTTGTTTAAATATCACTTCCCTGTTAAATATAAGCATATTCATTATCACAAAAATAAAGGTGGAAAAAAAAAAAAAGGATCCTGTAGTCCCATTCTCCCAAACACGGTTGCTGTTATGATTTGGTGACCACTGTGTTTTGTAATGCCTACAGTGTTTAGGAAAAAGTGAAAGCCATTGCTGATGATTGAGAGTTTAATTATATGAGAGCTCTATCAGAGCCAACTATGATGATATGCCAAGCCCAATGATGTTAATACCTACAAATGAATATTGATTTTATTACCAGCAGCATGTTGGAACTGGCCCTACGTGTTGCAAAACCCCGTGGTAGATGTCAAACTATTATGATTGTACTGTGAACAGGCTAGCTGTGTGAACATATATTAAGCAGAAATAGTATACAGCTTTAAAAAATTTGAGAGTCAAAGAGATAGAGACAGAAAAAAGAAGATAGGATAGAGAGATACAGAGAGTGCTCCCATCCATGGGTTTACTCCCTAAATGTCCACAATAGCCAGGGCTGGGCCAGACCAATGCCAGGACCTAGGAACATAATCCAAGTCTCCTATGTGGATGGCAGGAACTCAATGACATGAGCCATCATCACTGCATCCCAGGGTCTGCATAAGCAGTAAGCTGGACCCAGAACCAGAGCTTGGACTCAGTCCCAGGCACTCTGACATGAGACATAGGTATCTTAAGCACTCACCTAAACACTCACCCCAGCATATAGCATTAATCACAGGAAATTGACTTCCTGCAACGAAGTCATTATAATAAGTTCTTAAGTAATAGTTTATAATGTGGCTAGTTTCAAAGTTTTTTCCACTTTTCCTTCCCCCAGCCACCTCCAGTATTAAACATAATCACATAGTGACCATCTCTAAGTAATTAGTCCCGGTTGGGGCACCGGATTCTGTCCCGGTTGCTCTCCTTCCAGTCCAGCTCTCTGCTGTGGCCTGGGAAGGCAGTGGAAGATGGCCCAAGTGCTTGGGCCCTGCACCCGCGTGGGAGACCAGGAGGAAGCACCTGGCTCCTGGCTTTGGATCAGCGCGGTGCGGCGGCCACAGCATGCCGGCCATAGCAGCCATTTGGGGGGTTGAACCAATGGAAGGAAGACCTTTCTCTCTGTCTCTCTCACTGTCTAACTCTGCCTGTCAAAAAAAAAATATATAGATTGTAATAATACCTTTTCAAAACTTGCAGTATTATAAACACATTTATGTCATTTTCATGTCCCTCTCAATTATAACAAGGTGATATCATACTAGATTTCTTTCAAAGAACAGATTTTTAAAAGTTACAATTTGATTTTTCCATGTATTTACTATGTAGTTTAGCCAACTCAGTCCCGCAGAACAAAGCGTAGCTTCTCGTCTTGGAGTCTCTGAAAGCTTTATTGGGAAGAAGGCATCAGGTCAAGCCATCAGAAAGGTATTGTAACATTTTTATTCCTAAATAATGAACTAAGTTCATTCAACAAACTCAGTACCATTATATGATTTCCTTTATTGATTTCATCTCATTTCCACAATTTTTTCTTTAAATCAATATCATTTATATTTTTCAATTTAAAATACTTCTAAGCAACAGAAGTGTATGATTTTTTGTTGTTGGGTATTGGTTGTTGTTTGTTGTCTTCAGAGATCTTCCAGTCTAGTACTTACCATATATAAAGCATTTCAGAAGGCAGAAGTGGGTAAACTAATATTCTTTTGGGTGATAGCTTATGTTGGCGTTTCAACATTCACTCAGTGGGCATGAAGCAAATGTCTATTGCATGCACTAACTTTGAAAGAAGTGGAAACAATTCTTTAGTAACCAAACCTTCAGATTCTCCAAGTTAATTTTCCCTTTTATTATATAACTTTTGTCATTTTTAATTTTCCTTGACAATCCAGGACTCATTGAAAATAATTATCTTGGCTACTATTTCTTTTAAATTTACAATATACAGGCAATACTGATTTCATTTTGAGAACTGGAAGATGACATTTTCTTGCATTTGAATTGAAGGGTAAAGCTGACCCATGCATTGCTATATCATAAAACTAAAAATATATAGTACCTAAGCATTCACATTACTACACTTTTTAGATATTATCTTTTACTTCAAAAATGGCTGTGTTGGGGCTGGCGCTGTGGCTCACTTGGTTGATCCTCCTCCTGCAGCGCTGGCATCCCATATGGGCGCTGGGTTCTAGTCCCGGCTGCTCCTCTTCCAGTCCAGCTCTCTGCTGTGGCATGGGAGGGCAGTGGATGGTGGCCCAAGTGCTTGGGCCCCTGCATCTGTGTGGGAGACCAGGAGGAGGCACCTGGCTCCTGGCTTCGGATCAGCATAGCTTGGACCGTAGTGGCCATTTAGGGGGATGGACCAATGGAAGGAAAACCTTTAAAAAAAAAAAAAAGGCTGTGTCACTTAGGCTTTCAAAATTTTGAATAAAAATATATTTTAAAACAAATCTTTTATATCAAGCTCTAAAATGTAAATGAGGGGCTGATGTTGTGGCACAGTGGATTAAGCTACCACTTGCAATGCTGGCATTCTATATTGGAGTGCCAGTTCAAGTCCTGGCTGCTCTGTTTCTGAACCAGCTCCCTGCTCATTTACCTGGGAATACAGCAGGTCATATTGGGCCCCTGTCACCATGTGAGAATCCTAGATGGAGTCCCAGGCTTCTGGTCTGAGCCTGGCCCAACCTATGCCATTGTGTTCATTTGAGGAGTGAACCAGCAGATGTAAGATCTCCTCTGTCAGTCTGTTTCTCTCTCTGTTGTTCTGCAATTAAAAAAAAAAAAATAAGATAATTGTAAAATGAAACCAAATCATATTAATTTGGAACTGTTCACCAAAAAACATACATAAGAAATATCTTATGAGAATAGTACATTTTCATGCTCCCTCAGACTTAACCCTAAGGGTAAAGCTAAAAACTTGCCATGGGACTCCAAATCCCATTAAGTTGGCAGGTACCCATGCCATCTTACTAGTTAAAGTCATCAGTTTAAGTTCATAACTGATCATAAAGATAGGATTAAGTGTCAAAGGGATCACATAAATAAGACCAGTGTCTGCTAATAACAATTGATAGAATTAAAAAGGAGAGAAAAATCCAGCATGGGAAGCAGGCCACACAGCAGACTCATAGAATGGCAAATGCCCTAAACAGCACTCTGGCCTCAGAATCAGTCCTTAAGGCACTCAGATCTGGCTGAAGAGCCCATGAGAGTCTCAGGCATAGAAAGCGAAGACACTGTGGCAAAAAATGACCTAAATGAAAGATCTCTGTGAGTGAGACCCCGGCGGAGAGAAGGGACCATCAAAGAAGGAGGTACCTTTCTCTGAAGGGAGGAGAGAACTTCCACTTTGATAATGGCCTTGTCTAAATAAGGTCAGAGTTTGTGAACTCAAGAGGCTTCCATAGCCTTGGCAGCTCATGACAAGAGCCTTGGGTGATTACTGAAGTCATAAATAAGAGTGTCAATTGTTAAATCAACAATGGGAGTCACTGTGCACTTGCTCCCCATGTAGCACCTCTGTCCTTAATGTGTGTGCTATGAGAATTAACAGTAAAACTAGTCTTCAGCAGTGCTTTATACTTTGTGTGTCTGTTGCAAACTGTTGAAATCTTTACTTAGTATAGATTTGATCTTCTGTATATAAAGATAATTAAAAATGAATCTTAATGAAGAATGGGTTGGGAGAGGGAGTAGGAAGTGGGATGGTTTGTGGGTGGGAGGATGGGTATGGGGGGGAAACTGCTATAATCCAAAAGTTGTACTTATGAAATTTATATTTATTAAATAAAGGCTTTCTATAAAAAAAGAAAAAGAAGTCTGAAATCAAGATAGCAGCTACCTTGATTCTTCAAGAGGCTCTTGGGGGCCGGCACTGGGGTGTAGCAGGTTAAACTGCCGCCTGCAGTATTGGCATCCCATATGGGTGCTAGTTCGAGTCCTGGCTGCTCCACTTCCATTCCCACTCTCTGCTGTGGCCTGGGAAAGCAGTAGAAGATGGCCCAAGTGCTTAGGCCCCTGCACCCACATGGGAAACCCAGAAGAAGCTCCTGGCTCCTCACTTCAGATTGGCCCAGCTCCTGCCGTTGCAGCCATCTGGGGAGTGAACCAAAAAGAAGGAAGACCTCTCTCTCTCTGCCTCTGCCTCTCTGTAACTCTTATCTTTCAAATAAATAAATATTTAAAAAAAAAAAAAAAGAGAGAGAGAGAGAGAGGCTCTGAAGAAGGAAATGCCCGGTGCTCCTCTAGCCCCTGGTGCTGGCCAGCAGTCCTTCACCTCCCTCAGCTTGTACATGCATCCCTCCAGTCCCTGCCTTCCTCCTCACGTCACCTTCCTCTCTGTGTCCTTACCTCTTCTTACACAAACACCAGTCATTGAATTTAGGGCCCGCTGTAAATCCAGAATGATTTCACTTAGAGATTCTCAACTAGTTACATGTCTAAAGATCCTGTTCCCAAATAAGGTCACAATGACAGGTACCTGGGACCAGGACTTGAAAACATCTTTTTTTGGGGGGTGGGGGGGATCACCTTTCAACCCACTGCAGCCCCTGTAGAAGGAAATTAAATTGGGAAAAAAATGTTCTTCCTTCCTTCCTTTACTGTTCTTTTCTTTCTTAACAGAGATACTCAGAGAGTGCTCTCACCCACCGGTTCACTCCCCAAATGCCTGCAGCAGCCCAGGCTGGGCTGGGCCAAAGCTCTGAGCCAAGAACTCAGTCAGAATCTCCCTCTTGGGTGGTTGCGCTATCTCTGCTGCTTCCCAGAGGGTCCACATTAGCAAGTAGCTGAAATCAGGAGTTGGAACTGGGAATCAGACACTGAGGTACAGGATGTGGGCATCTTACTGCTAGGCCAAACAGCTGCCTCTACATGTCTTTTTCTTTTTCTTTTTTATAATTGGAAAATGATACTCACTTTGAATTCATCTAAAATACATGTGTTAGACATTAGTTTTGCTTCTATGGAGTCATCCTATCCTTGCTTTCCTGTAACAGAAGTTTCTTTACCTTACCTTTGGTCCAGTTTGAATATGACATGCATTTTTAATAGATTCAACATGTAAACAAATTTGTCTTTCCAGAAGGTGGACAAGAACATTGTCAACCGACTGTATTTGTCTTTTGTTCTTTATACCCTGCTCAAAGAGACCAACGTTTGGAGTGTGTCTGAAAAATTTAACATGCCTCGAGGATACATACAAAATCTTCTCTCCGGAGCTGCCTCATTCTCATCTTGTGTGTTACATTTCTGTGAGGTAATTCCATTAAATATATGCATTGTGCTTTGTGCATCTTCTTGTTTTAGCTGTTTGTTACCAAACTCATAAACCAGTTAGTTGTATGTTGGTACTTTCTCATTGTTGATTTATTCTTAGGACAAAGCACTCAAAATTTATTTTAAAAATGCCTTTATTTTTATCTGCCTACAAAAGTAGTATATGCATACACTGGTAAACAGGCAAAAAGTACTGAATCTGCTATAATACAGAATGATCAAGTAGAAAATGCCTGGCTAACCCTGTGCCCAGGGCCACCATTAATAGTTAGGAGACTTTGGAATTAACCGTTAAAAATAACCATTCTCGGCTGACATAGGTTCTGTGTGAATGTCTTTCTCCTGAGTGACAAAGGCATCAAGTTTATCCAGCAACTACCATGTGACGACTTAACCCGCTGTGCCACATCTGCCCCCTAGCGACTACTTAGAAGTATTCTCTTGATTGCCTCAGTAATTTCTCCAGTGTCAAGCAGTTAGTTACTTAAGGTGTCTGTATCACATGCTTATTTTGTAAAGTAATTCAAGAAGAAAACTATTTTTACAATATGTATTTGTGATGGGTGGATTTGTTTGTCCAAGACTTATAAAAAGAAGCTTTCAAAATTTCCTTAAATAACACAATAAGGCTTACCAGACGTTTCTACCCAGATAACTTTTGATGAATTTATAATGTAAGCCACATTTGCAAATTTAAGTTTCTTTTTATTGAATGATATTATAATTATTTCCATATTTGTTTCCATTTTAGATCTTTTAAAACTTTTTCCATGAATTCTATTTTCTTTTTTTTGTTTATTTTAAAGATTTGTTTTGAAAGAGTTACAGAGGGTCAGCACTGTGGGGTAGTGGGTAAAGCTGCTGCCTGCAGTGCCAGCATCCCATATGGGCGCTGGTTCGAGTCCTGGCTGCTCCACTTACGATCCAGCTTTCTGCCATGGCCTGGGAAAGCAGTAGAAAATGGCCCAAAGTCCTTGGGCCCCTACACCCACATGGGAAGACCTGGAGGAAGCTCCTGGCTCCAGATCAGCATAACTCCGGCTGTTGCGTCCAATTGCCTCTCCTTCTCTCTGTGTAACTCTGACTTCAAATAAATAAATAAACCTTTTCGTCTCGATTAATATTTATTTCAAGAGTTACAGAAAGAAAGGGAGAAACAGAGATATCTTCCATCCACTGTTTCACTCTCCAGGTAACCACTGCAGCCAGTGCTGGGCCAGGCCAAAGCCAGGAGCTTTGAGCTTTATCTTAAGTCTCCCATGTGGGTGGCATGAGCCCAAAGACTTGGGTCATCATCTTCTGCTTTTCCCAGGCCATTAAGGGAGATCATTGGAACTGGAGCAGCCAGGATAAGAACCGGAGCCCCTATTGGATGTCGGCATTACAAGAAGCAGTTTTATCTGCCAGTTTACAACGGCAGACCTGAATTCTGTTTTCTGAACTTAACTTTTCATGTCTGAACCTCCGTAGTCTGTATGTATATATATATATACATACATACATACATACAGATATATATATAGCCATAGCAGAGAGTGGATTGGAAGTGAAGCAGTCGTGTCTCGAACCAGCACCCATAGGGATGCTAGCACTGCAGGTGGTGGCTTTACCCGCTGTACCACAATGCTGGCCCCATATCTTAAGCCTTAATTAAGGGAGTAAATAATCCAAAAATAGTCCAAAAATAGTTGACTTTGGATTTTTTTCAATATTTATTTATTTGAAAAGCAGAAATACAGAGAGAGAAGGAGGGAGGGAAGGAGGAAGAGAGATAAATAATCATTAGCTTATAATTTAAGTATATGTTAGCCAAGCAATAAGCCAAAGTTATGGGTTATAAGGAGATGCTGAAACCTTTCAAATATAGTTTCTTAATTTTTTTATGTTTCTTGTCCTTTATACTTTAAAGACACTTTGTTTGATATTCTTTCTTTTTGTTTTACTTAAGATTATGAGAACTTGAGCCTAATGGAATTGTTCAAGTAAAAGAATCTATGTGTAGAATCTCAAACAAACCATAATTTAGTGACTGGTCCTCAGAAAAATCTAATCAACTTATGCTGTCATTAATGTCTTTTAATGTTTACAAGTGGTTTTTCTTTTCTTTTTAAAAGGTTATATAAATGGTATAAAATAGAATGCCATTTGTATTGATTAAATGCTTTGAACTACAAGTGAAAGAAAACTCCATATAAGTTTAAATAATAAGTGGCTGGCACTGTGCTGTAGCGGGTAAATCTGCTGCCTGCAGTACCAGCATCTCATATGGGTGCCGGTTTGAGACCTGGCTGCTCCACTTCCAATCCAAGCTCTCTGCTATAGCCTGGGAAAGCAGTAGAAGATGGCCTAAGTGCTTGGGCACTTGCACCTGCGTGGGAGACCCAGAAGAAGCATCTGGCTCCTGAGTTTGGAACGGCACAGCTCCAGTTGTTGTGGCCATTTGGGGAGTGATCCAGTGGATGGAAGATCTCTTTCTCTCTCTCTATCTCTCTCTCCCTCTCTCCCTCTCTCTCCCCCCCTCCCCCTGCTTCTCTGTAAGCTCTGCCTTTCAAATAAATAAATAAATCTTAAAAAGAAAAGAAAAAAATAAACACAATCTCTTCCAGAAAACATGAGGAAGAACTTCACAACCTATTTAAAAAAAAAAAAAATTTTAAGTAATAAGGGAAAATGTTCTCTTATGTAACAGGAAGGCTAGAAGTAAGGCAGCTCCAAGGCTCGTTAATTCAGTAGTTCTGCTCCAAGTCTTCTTTCTTCCTTTTACTCTGTCATCTTTATTACAGACCTCTTTCTTCTGTCTTAAAATAAGTGTGCATGGATGGATGGATTTGAGAGAGAGGGCAGGGGAGGAGCACACTCCCATTCACTGGTTCATTCTCAAAATGCCCCCAGCAGCCAGGGCTGGGCTAGGACAAAGCAGAGAGCCACGAAATCAATCCAGACCTCCAGTGTGGGTAGTAGGGAGCCAACAGTTTGAGTAGTCTGCTGCTGCAGGATCTGCTTTAGCAGGAAGCTGGCAACGAGAGCAGGACATGGGATCTAAACCCAGACACTCCAGTGTGGGATGCCATCCTAACCCTCTCTAATTTCTTAGTGGTGACAAAATGGCCAGTTAATGCTATTCATGATCACATACTCTCACAATAATACTCAAAGGCTAGAATAGGACGTTAAAAAGAGAAACTAATATAAAAGAAATTCCCAATCTTATTTAAAGACCAAATAATATAGTGAATTCCCTTTTACCCCCCAGTTTTTTTGTTGTTGTTTTTGTTTTGTTTGTTTGTTTGTTTTTTGACAGGCAGAGTTAGACAGTGAGACAGAGACAGAGAGAAAGGTCTTCCTAGCGTTGGTTCACCCCCTCAAATGGCCACTACAGCCAGTGTGCTGCGCCGATCTGAAGCCAGGAGCCAGGTGCTTCTTCCTGGTCTCCCATGCAGGTGTAGGGCCCAAGGACTGCACAAGGCCCTTCCCGGGCCACAGCAGAGAGCTGCCTGGAAGAGGAGCAACCAGGACAGAACCGGTGCCCCATTGGGACTAGAACCCGGAGTACCGGTGCCGCAGGCGGAGGATTAGCCTAGTGAGCCATGGCGCCGGCCTACCCATCCAGTTTTTAACAGTTCTTGGCTCACACTGGCCAGCATTGTGGGGCAGCAGGTTAAATCCCCACTGTGACTCCAGCATCCTGTATCAGAGCACCAGTGCGAGTTGCAGCTGCTCTGCTTCCAATCGAGCTCCCTATAACGTGCCTGGGAAAGCAGCAGGTGACGGCCCAAGTAGATGGGCCTCTGCCACCCACGTGGGAGTCCTGGATGGAGTTTTGGACTTCTGGCTGTGGCCTGAACCAGCCTTGGTCATTGTGGCCATTTGGGGAATGGACCAGAGGATGGGAAATATCATTCATATTCTCCCCTAGCCCAGTCACTCTCTGTGTCAAATAAAGAAACAAATCTTTTAAAAGAAAGTTATTAGTTCATGGCTTCTGGCATTTTTATTGGTTTAAATAATGTTGTATTGAACATTATGTTGCCTTTGAATCTTTCCATATTTAGTATTTTATCTTTGGGACAAATTCCAGAGATAGGAATTATTTTTAGTCACTTGAGAAAGAAAAATTATGCATTCTGCTTTGACTTAAATGATTATAGCTCTTCTTGCTGACTTATTTTTCATTTTTCAGTCTTTTCCTCACCTAAAAACTAGTTCATCAAATTCCTGAGGGTCTCTACAATGTTTCCTCATAACAATTTTGCTTGAAATCATCTTCCTTCATCTCTGAATTAACCCATGTTCCAGAACTTACATAAGGGAATTTTCCTCTGAGCCCCTTACCACACAATTGCAACTGTGGAATAACTTATAAAATTTAAATTGTATATATTCCTTGTATTCTGCAGGAACTTGAGGAGTTTTGGGTTTACCGAGCCCTGTTGGTGGAACTTATCAAGAAGCTAACGTACTGTGTAAAGGCCGAGCTGATTCCTCTCATGGAAGTGACCGGAGTTCAGGAGGTCAGTGTCTTCCCATGTCCCACTCTAGGTTCTTTCACCTCACAGAAGAGTCAAGGTGACTCTTGTGAAGTCTCATTGCAGGGCAAGTGATAGCAAGAGTTTTAGTGTCAATTGTCATGGAGTCTTTTTTTTTTTTTTTTTTTTTGTAAATAAGTTTCTGCCATGGCCTCCCCAAAAATCCACTGTGAAAACTGGCAAACAGACTCAATGAAGAATCTTAGTTATGAAAAAAAAAAAAAAAAATAGTCACCATTGGGGCCAGCACTGTGGCATAGCAGGCTAAGCCTCTACCTACGGTGCCAGCATCCCACATGAGTGCCAGTTCATCTCCCTGCTGCTCATCTTTGATCCAGCTCCCTGCTTATGGCCTGGGATAGCAGTGGAAGATAGTCCAAGTGCAACTTGGGCCCCTGAACCCATGTGGGAGACCAAGATGAAGCTCCTGGCTCCTGGCTTTGGATTAGCCCAGCTCCAGCCATTGCAGCCATTTGGGGAGTGAACCAGCAGATGGAAGACCTCTGACTCTGTCCCTCTCTCTGTCTGCAACTCTGCTTTTGCATGCAGCCAGATTGAAACATCCAAATGCGTCTTTTAAAATTCCACAGGATTCTGATATGTTACCTCTTCTTACTTTATTATCTTATTTTATTCCTGTCTTTTTGCACACAAAATTTTTTCACTTCAGTAAAACACTTAATTTTGTTTTCCTAATTATAAATTCTTTCTAATACTTTCCAGGGTCGAGCAAAACAATTGTACAATGCAGGTTACAAAAGCCTAACGCACTTAGCTAATGCAGATCCGGAAGTGCTAATAAGGACAATTGACCATTTATCAAGACGCCAGGCCAAGCAGATTGTTTCCTCAGCAAAGGTAAGGAGCTGAGCAAATCACTTTGTAACCCTTGTAATGTTTTGTAGCATTCTCTTGTTAGCCTCTAGGTATCAGAACAAAAAGACTTAATACTGCATGAAGATTTGTTCTCATGGACAAAGTATATACTCAGAATTTATGGTTAAAAAGAGCATGTCTGTTTCTTTTTTTTTTTTTTCCTAAAAAGAAGAACAAGGGCTCCTAAAAAAATAAAGACACCCACGAGGGTTTGTTGACCTACAGAGAACCCTGGAAGCCACTGCTTTGTCTGCCTCCCCACAGCCCCTTCTCAGCAGTTCTTCCCCTCAGCGCCCTTGTTCCAACTTCAGAACACCTTCAGCAGCAAGGAATTTACAAACTCAAAAATTAATGGCGTTCTATGTTTGGATGCTCTTGGTGCTACAAAAATCATCCTAACATAATGAGGCTAAATTTCGCCCTCTTAACAATGTCTGCCATTGAATCAGAACTAGTATACCCTTTCATCCACATGGGAGTTTTTCACCTACGGTCAGTACTCCATATCCACGGGCTCCACATTTGTGCATTCAACCAACTGTGGATCACAAATATTCAGGAGAATGGGATGGGCATTTAGTCTGGTGGTTAAGATACCTGCATCTCATATTGGAGTCCCTAGGTTCCATACCTGTCTCCAGCTTCCCACTCATGCAGACCCTGGGAGGCAGCAGTGATGGCCCAAGGCATTGGGTTCCTGCCCCTCTCTGGGGAGTTCTAAATTGAGTTCCCAACTCCAGCCTAGCCCAGCGCAGCCCATTTTTGGCTGTTATGGGCATCTGTACTGTGAACCAGTGGACAGGAGTTCACTTTCTGTGGTTGCCTTTATTTCTTTTCCTGCCTTCCTTGCTCCCGCTCTCCCTTCCTCCCTCTGCCTTTCAAAGAAATAAAATATAAAGTATATGGAAGGATGTGTGTAGGTCATAAATAAATACAGTGCCATTTTAAATAAGAGACTTGAGCATGGAGGGTTTTGGTCTCCTTGAGGGTCCTGCCCCAATGCCCTGTGGATACTGGGGAGGCCTGTTTCTGCAAATGGCTCTCATTCCCCCAAGGGTTTTTCTTTTGTTTCTTTCACAGTGTGTTAAAAAGTGAGGCTTTCGGCCACTCACTGTTGTAGTAACCCTTTGCTGGGTGCAATCCAGGTTATCACTGACCTTTTGCTCCATGTAGGGGAAGCCTTTACATGGCAATTTGGGATTATTTCCTCCTTGATCTCATCTGCAGTTCCAAATCTGAAATACCTGGCTTCTTTTAAACTTCCTTGTTACATTTTGGTCATATGTAGAACAGACATAGCTTAAAAATAAATTTCCACCTTACGTTTTTGAATGGTGCTCACGTTGCTTTAGTTGATCTTTACAACAGCCCTATGAGGTGGGCAGTGTTTGGGTTATCCCCAGTTTACAGATGAAACCACCGAGTCTGAACCTGCCCCTTTAGATTAAGAGCTCTTGGAGTTTGTAGGGATGAAGTTACAGTTATTACTTTTGTAGAGCACCTAGCTTAGCACTCAGCCTATAGTAAGTGTTTAATAAATACTTGAATAAATACATAAGTAAGACTTAAAGTAATTAAGTAACTTACCTAAGGAAACAGTACATGGTGAAACCAGGACAATAGAGTTAGCCTATACTGTTAAGGTCACAAACAGAGCTATAATAACCATAGTAAAATAAGTGGCTTCAAATATTAGATAAGCCCAAGCTTAAGCAGTTTCTGGTTGATGTGGGGAATAAGTGGTATATCCAGGGAGCCCACTTCTGTCTTATTGTCCAGCCTTCTCAGTACAGGGCGGTTGTGTTACGGACCATGGTTGTGTTACCTGCTCCATCTCTTGCTATCTCATTCATTATCCAGCCAACTTAAAAGAGTAAAATGGATTTTGAGCAGAGCAATGGGCTAAAGATTACAAATAAGACAGCAAGAATGGAGATAAAGAAACCCATTGGGATTTTATTGAAGTTATGCAATTTTTGGCAGGAATGCCATAAAAATTACATGTGTCCTTAGTATATCATGTCCAGAGGCACAAGATGGCATTTTGTCCCATTAATAATGACTTTGATCATTTGGTTAAGGAAGTGTTGTCAAGTTGCTTTACTGTGAAGTTATTATTTTTCCCTCTGTAAGTAATGAATACTTGAAACTATCACACATATCCTGTTCTTTATTACACTTCCATATACATTTTTTTATTTACCAGTGACTTTTGCCTAACAATTCTTTCTTTCTTTTTTTAAGGGTTTATTTATTTTGAAAGTCAGAGTTACAGAGAGGGAGAGACACCACAGACATCTTCTATCTGCTGGTGCACTCTCCAGTTGACAGCAACAGCCAGTGCTGGGCCAGGCCAAAGCCCAGAGCCACGAACTTCTTCCAGTTCTACTGTGTGGGTGGCAGGGCCCCAAGGACTTGGGTCATCTGCTGCTGCTTTTCCCAGGCCATTAGCAGGGAGCTGGATAGGAAGTGGAGCAACTGGGAAGCCAGTGGCCATATGAGATGCCAGTGTTGCAGGCTGTAGCTTTACCTGCTATACCACAAACCCAGCCCCTATCTCAATTATTTCCATGATGTTTGTGAAGTGGTGATTTTCTAGCCTCATTATTCCTTCTTCATTTACTTGTTGACATTTTCTTATGAGGAAGAGCTTGTCTCTCATTTATTTGTTCAATTATATATATAGACAGACTTATGAGGTCATACTTACAATTTATAATCCATTATTGTCATTACTTATTTTGGTGCTTAAATGGCCTCAGATTTAGCTACTGAGAGCTGCTGCAAGATGTATCCCATGTCTTTTTTGACTCGTTTTTTTATCATTCTTGGCTGAACTTCTCTTATTTTGTGGCTATATTTGTCAAAGTCCAGTCATTAGAAGTCAGAAGCCATGCATTAACTTGAATAGGAAAGTTTAATAGAATTAGTATGGGGGTCGGCTCTGTGGGATAGCAGGTTAAACTGCCGCATGCAGTGCCAGCATGGTACATGGGTGCCAGTTCAAGTGCCAGCTGCTCCATTTCTGATCCAACTCCCTGCTAATGCACCTGAGAAAGCAGCAGAAGATGGCCCAAGTACTTGGACCCCTGCACTCATGTGGGAGACCCAAAAGAAGCTCCTGGCTCCTGGCTTCAGATTGGCCCAGCTCTGGCCATTGCAGCCACTGGGGGAGTGAACCAGCAGGTGGAAGATCTCTCTCTGACTCTCCTTTTCTCTCTCTAACTCTGCCTTTCAAATAAATAAATATATAAATCTTGGGGAAAAAAAGAAAGAATTAGTAACTGGTAACATGGGTTGGCCTCTAAGGGGTCAACAGAACTCTAAAGAAAATGAGAAGGAATCCATGTAGGAGTCTGCCCTCACCACACAGCATACCTAATCCATGGTATTCACACTTATTGGAGCAGGTGTGGCTGTGGCCCACTGGACGCCAAGGCTGGCAAGTGGAAATCCCCCTGAGGTGCTGACCAAGCTGCAAGGAAGCTGCCTGGAGTGTACTGTTGCACTTGCTTGGAAGCCCTCTCAAATGCCCATGGAACTCCCTAGGAAACTGTCCCCAGGGGTCCTGTTGAAACTCACTGGAATGAATGCCACTCTCTGTCCATCACTGCAACCAAGCACTGTAGGAACAATAAGAAAAAGACACACACCAAAAACAGGTAGAGAAAACCCTTCCTCCTCAAGACCCTCCTGAGTTCTTTTTTGACAGAGCTTAGTATTATATCCTTGGCAAAGGAGAAAATGGTTAGAAGATATAGCTCTACTATCTCCAGCAGTACAGGGAATGATGGATTTGGAGCTGAGAAGCAATAAGGTTAGTAACTAGCATGCTAGCATAACAAAAGGGGCCCATCAGCTTGTTTCCTTCCCTTAGCCACAGAATCAGCCATTTTCCAAAGACCCATCATTTCTTTTAGTGAAGAATGGTATTTAGAAATCAAATTGTAGGTGCTAGCTATGTCCATTGCCAGAAAGCTATCATTGCTTTTAGGTTCTCTAGACAGACAGAGCCCCCATATGTCTGTTTATGTTTCCAGGTTTATTTGTAAATTATTGAAGGCTATGAGCCTAAGCTGATCATTCCAATTCTAATTCTTCTTAGTACATATTGCTACATAACAAAGTTTTACTTCAAAACTTAGTGGCAAAGGCCATTTTGTTTTGTTCATATTTTTTGTAAATTGGGACTTCTGCAAGGGTTCAGCTAAGTGTTTTCTCTGTTAGGATCTCATGCAGTAGTAATCAGATGTTGGCTGGGGCTATAGTCATACAATGGCTTGCCTGGGTGGCTCACTCCCATCCATGGCTGACAGTTGAGTATTGACTCCCAACGACAGTTTTCAACTGGAGCAACCACATAGGACCTTTCCATGTGGCTTGTGCCTCGCCTGGCATGGAAACTCGGTTTTGGAGGGAGTGTCTGGGAAAGTGAGCATTTCAAGAGTCAAGGTAGAAAACTCCAGAAATCTTCTAACCCCAGAGGTATACAGTGTCACTTCTACTGCATGCTACTGGTTACTACAAAGTCATTAGGGCCCAGATTAAAAGGAAGGGAAAGTAGACCCTCACCTCTAAATGGGAAGAGCTATTGAATAATTTGAGGTCATTTTTTAATTTTGCCTTATGGTCACAGATTATTTACATTTCTCCCACACTCAAAATATAGTCACCCTAAAAGACTTTCCATGGCCGGCGCCGCGGCTCACTAGGCTAATCCTCCGCCTAGCGGTGCCGGCACACAGGGTTCTAGTCCCGGTCGGGGCACCGGATTCTGTCCCGGTTGCCCCTCTTCCAGGCCAGCTCTCTGCTGTGGCCAGGGAGTGCAGTGGAGGATGGCCCAGGTGCTTGGGCCCTGCACCCCATGGGAGACCAGGAAAAGCACCCGGCTCCTGGCTCCTGCCGTCGGATCAGCGCGGTGCGCCGGCCGCAGTGCGCAGGCCGCGGCGGCCATTGGAGGGTGAACCAACGGCAAAGGAAGACTTTTCTCTCTGTCTCTCTCTCTCTCTCACTGTCCACTCTGCCTGTCAAAAAAAAAAAAAAAAAGACTTTCCATGTGACATCAGATTCAACTGCAAGGTCAGGTTTTCTGTATCAAGTCCAGGTGTGGGTGATCTGCCTTAAAGATAATTTCACAAGGAATCTGAAGGCCTGTGAACCAAAGAGACACTGCATACAATGGTGAAACCAGAGCTAGAATAATGACAGTATACTCCTGATCAAAAAGAGGGAAAAGGGTACCTACCTTGCAGCAATTCTGAAAAGCAGCCAGGTGAATGTGGCCACTTCCTTAATTAGGACCCAGTTCTTCCCAGTGGAAATGATTCTTTCTGGCTTTGGGTTCCCTCATCTGGGTCATTGTTTCTTTTTGATTAGCAGTGGTCCATGTTTAGAACTAGATAGATTTCTCAGCCTACTTCCTGTCTGTAGAAGTTCAAAGGTTCCTTATGTTTTACACCTATCTCTGTTTCTCTATTCAATCTAATGTAATTTCTTTTAAAACATTGTGGTTTCTTGCTTATCTATTTATAATCTACATGTAGCTTGGCTTTCTTAAAGCATGGTTACTGAGATCTAAGGAGTGTCCATACAACAGGTGTCCTTTTGACTGAGCCCAGTCATGCAGCATCGTTTCCACTGCATCCTGTTACAAGTGAATCACCGGGGTAGAAATGAATTTCGGTAATAAACTGATGGATGACGTGAAAAAAAAAAAAAAAAAAAAAAGTGACTCACCAAGGCCAGCGCATATTCAGTGGGCGGAGAGTTAGATCCCATCTCAGTGGAGGTTTCAAAGAGGTGCCAGTCATCTTCAGTTACCACACGAATCCCACACTACAGGACTTGTTACAGTCTTCTCCCTTTTTGTATTTTTAGTTCCTTTGTCCACTGGTAAGAAATCTGGCTCCTATTTTCATTAATGAATTTATCTAATATTGTTCAGTCCTAAAAGTAATTGTAGAATTGTTGAATTATACTACCACAGAAAAAAAAAAAAAAAAACGGGGGTGGTGCTGTAGCGCAGGGGTTAAGGCCCCAGCCTGCAGCGCCGGCATCCCATATGGGTGCCGGTTCAAGTCCTGGCTGCTCCTCTTCTGATCCAGCTCTCTGCTATGGCCTGGAAAGCGGTAGAAGATGGCCCAAGTCTTTGGGCTCCTGCACCCACGTGGGAGATCCAGAAGAAGCTCCTAGCTCCTGGCTTCAGATCAACTCAACTCAGCTCTGGCCATTGTGGTCATTTGGGGAGTGAACCAGCAGAATGGAAGACCTCTCTCTCTGGCTGTACTTCTCTCTGTAACTCTTTCAAAGAAATAAAGTAATTCTTCAAAAAAAAAAAAAAAAAAAAAAACTAACTAGAGCTCAGTATTTATTTACATCTTTTTTTGTCTTTATTCTAACAATCTATAATTGAAATAGTGTGTTGAAATGTTAGTGTTTTTTTTATTTTTTTTTTATTTTTTTTTTTTATTTTTTGACAGGCAGAGTGGACAGTGAGAGAGAGAGACAGAGAGAAAGGTCTTCCGATGGCAGGAGCCAGGTACTTCTCCTGGTCTCCCATGGGGTGCAGGGCCCAAGAAACTTGGGCCATCCTCCACTGCACTCCCTGGCCACAGCAGAGAGCTGGCCTGGAAGAGGGGCAACCAGGACAGAATCCGGCGCCCCGACTGGGACTAGAACCCGGTGTGCCGGCGCCGCAAGGCGGAGGATTAGCCTAGTGAGCCGCGGCACCGGCCGAAATGTTAGTTTTTAAAATCTGTTTCAGATTGATGTTCATCTGAAACACTGATTTTGTTCAAATTCCATTTTATTTCTCCTCCTCCTCTGTGAATTTTTTCTTTAATATGTAAAGTATTAACCCATTTTTTATATCTTTAAATAGTTTTACTAGGATACAGCCTCATCTTTTTTATTTCTTGGAGTTTTTTCAGGGTTGAAGTTTTAAATTATGAGATCTAATCCATTTCATTTCCTTCTTTAACAACTCCAATTGTATTTATGTTGGATCTTCTTTGGCCATCTATTTCAATCTTTCTGACCTTTTTTTTCCTTTTTATTGTTTTTTAAATATTTATTTATTTGAAAGTCAGAGTTACACAGAAAGAGGAGAGGCAGAGAGAGAGAGGTCTTCCATCTGATGGTTCAATCCCTAATTGGCTACAATGGCCGGAGCTGTGCCGATCCAAAGCCAGAAGCCAGGAGCTTCTTACGGGTCTCCCACACGGGTGCAGGGGCCCAAGGACTTGGGCCATCTTCTACTGTTTTCCCAGGCCATAACAGAGAGCTGGATCGGAAGTGGAGCAGCCAGGTCATTTACCCACTGTGCTACAGCACCAGCCCCCTTTTTTTATTTTATAATTTGTATGTATCTCATAAATACAACATTATGAACGTAGTAATTCTTCCCACCATACCTGCCCTCCCACCCATGCTCCCCACCTTCCTGCTCCCTCTCCTGTTTTAGCCAAGAAAGAAAAAGAATGAGGAATTAAAAAAAAAAAAAAAAAAAAAAAAAAAAAAAAAAAACAACTAAGAGAACTGCTCCTCAACAGTCTTTACAGGGCTGTTCTATGTTACTGCTTCTCGAAGGTGATTTTTCTTTTCCTCCCTCCTTCCTCCCCGTTCTTTCCTTTTAGAAATTTAATTGGCTTTAAAGACCTCAAGGATGATACATCTTTTGTGAAGTCTTAGACATAATTATAACCTATGAGACATAGTAATATCCTTCATTTAATACACTAAAAGGAAATGATTCTTGAGAACAAGTTTTACTATTAAGTTTCATGGTACAACTCTTTAGGGACAGAGATCCTGCATGGGAAGTTAGTGCACTGTGACCTCTTATTGTTTATTTAACAAATAACACTCTTATGTATGACATCAGTGATCACCCAAGGCTCTTGACATGATCTGCGTGGCTGTGGAAGCCTTTTGGATCCACTGGCTTGACAAGGTCATAACAGAGTAGAAGTTCTCTCCTCCCTTCAGAGAAAAGTACACCCTTCTTTGATGGCCCCTTCTTTCCACTGGGGTCTCACCCACAGGAGTCCTTTATATAGGACATTTTTTGCTGGAATGTCTTGGCTTTCCATGCCTGAAATGCTCCCCATGGGCTTTCCAGCCAGACTGGAGTGCCTTAAGGGCTGGTTCTGAGGTCAGAGTGTGACTTGAAGTGTCATTCTATGAGTCTGCTGTATGGATTGCTTCCTATGTTGGAACCTTCATGCTTTTTTAATTCTGTCTATTATTGTTTCCATACATGTAGTCCTGTTTATATGATCACTTTATCACTTGATCCTAACTATATGGTAACTTTACCCCTTATTCCTATCCATTTGGTCTTTATAACACTTAAGCTGCTATTTTTATCAGCCAGTTTAAGGGATTTTGGCTGACCCTTTTTTTTTTAAACATTTTTTAATTTCATTTTTCTTTTTTTTTTAACTTTTATTTAATGAATATAAATTTCCAAAGTACAGCTTATGGAGTACAATGGCTTCCCCCCCCCCATAACTTCCCTCCCACCCTCAACCCTCCCCTTTCCTGCTACCTCTCCCCTTCCATTCACATCAAGATTCATTTTCAATTCTCTTTATATACAGATCAGTTTAGCGTATATTAAGTAAAGATTTCAACAGTTTGCACCCACATAGAAACACAAAGTGAAAAATACTGTTGGAGTACTAGTTATAGCATTAAATCACAATGTACAGCACGTTAAGGACAGAGATCCTACATGAGGAGTAAGTGCACAGTGACTCCTGTTGTTGACTTAACAAATTGACACTCTTGTTTATGGCATCAGTAATCAATCACCCTAGGCTCTTGTCATGAGTTGCCAAGGCTATGGAAGCCTTTTGAGTTCACCGACTCTGATCATATTTAGACAAGGTCGTAGTCAAATTGGAAGTTCTCTCCTCCCTTCAGAGAAAGGTACCTCCTTCTTTGATGACCTGTTCTTTCCACTGGGATCTCACTCGCAGAGATCTTTCATTTAGTGGTTGTTTGTTTTTTGTTTTTGTTTTTGTTTTTGTTTTTTTTGCCAGAGTGTCTTGGCTTTCCATGCCTGAAATACTCTCATAGGCATTTCAGCCGGATCCGAATGCCTTAAGGGCTGATTCTGAGGCCACAGTGCTGTTTAGGACATCTGCCATTCTATGAGTCTGCTGTGTATCTCGCTTCCCATGTTGGATCATTCTCTCCCTTTTTTATTCTATCAGTTAGTATTTGAAGACACTTGTCTTGTTTATGTGATCCCTTTGGCTCTTAGTCCTATCATTATGATCAATTGTGAACTGAAATTGAACACTGGGACTAGTGAGATGGCATTGGTACATGCCACCTTGATGGGATTGAATTGGAATCCCCTGGTATGTTTCTAACTCTACCGTTTGGGGCAAGTCAGCTTGAGCATATCCCGAATTGTACATCTCTTCCCTCTCTTATTCCCACTCTTATATTTAACAGCAATTACTTTTCAGTTAAGTTTCAACACTTAAGAATAACTGTGTATTGATTACAGTATTCAACCAAAAGTATTAAGTAGAACAAACAAAAAAAAAATACTAAGAGGGATAACGTATTAAGTTGTTCATCAACAGTCAAGGCAAGGGCTGATCAAGTCACCTTTTTAATTTCATTTTTCTTCAGATGTATTCTTCTTTGGGAACCTAGTTATTTAGTCATAGTTATTACTTTATTTCTAGCATGAAATTTTTGTCTTTTTGTTCTGTTTCTTTCTTCAGCTCAATTTTTGTGTTCATTTCCGTTCTTAGTTTTTAAATTCCTTATTCATTGTGTGGTCTCTCCTCCCCAGTCGCCAATATTTCCAAATTTTTGTTTGAGAATATTTAATTTAGATTGTTGTGTTACAGTTTTCTACTTCAGAGTTACTTCCAAAGAGGGATTTTTTATGAGCTAAAGAGCTCTGGTTCTCATCTCTTTGTCCTTTTCATATAGTATCTTTGTATGAGTGGGAACTGCTCTGCATTTCTTGGACAAGACTGGCATTTAGAATAGTTTATGAGAATCCCACTTCAGGAATATTCTGTTCTGTCACAGTAGCAAAGTATGGTGTCTTTAATGGATGATTCAGAATGAGACAGTAGTTTCAGGATGAGTTGTGTCTTTGAAATTTTTACTTCCTTTTGTCCTATAGGATCCTAAATTTTGTCCTTTTCCCCTCACTGCTCAGCTTCCAGAGGGTACCTCTCCTTCTCAGCCATTCTTTTTCCCAAAAATAATGCTTTCCCAAGACTGCCACCTAGAGTACCTTTCTCTATCCAGAGGTGGTTTTATTTCATCTGAGAGCCCCTGCTTCCACCTTATTTTGTTCCTATAGTTTTTGTTTTTTGTTTTTCCTCAACTCAGTGTTGAGCTCTGCAAATGCTTGGATTGGCTGCTCAAGAAATAGTTCTGCTGTGGATTGGTGGGTGTTTTAAACCTTTGAATAATTTGAGGAAGATGATGTTCTCTGTTTTCTAGTAATGCTGACCATGGATTTGGGGAAACTTACTTCTTGTTGATCTGCATCATTTTTAGAGGATGTATTGGCAGATTTGTTTTATGTGGTCACCATTACCTCAGCTACTGGAAAGCTTACCTAGTTACATTTTAATCACTTCTACGTAGCGCTATGTAATGCTATGCTTTATCAAATTGAGAGGAGTGTTTTAGTATTTTCCACTTTGACTTTGTTTCATGTGATTTTACTAAACTGTTTATTATTAAAATCTTGTGGCAGAGTAGTGCAAATATTTTACCACTTTATACACCAAAACCAGCTGCGACAAATGCCGTTAGTTTATTTCTGATCTTTGGTAGAAAGGGAGAAGACCATTATTCAACAAGTATTTATTACCCATGTTTTCTGTACCATGTTTAAAAATACTTTCCTTTTCTCATTATGTTGCTTTTGCAATTAACCCTGTTAACCTTGGGGAGCTTGAGTAATGCTTTTCTTAGAAATATTGATGGGATTTGAAAGCATGCTAAATTTTGAGGAATAATAAAATGTATATGTAAAGTATAACATTGTCAGAAGCTAATTTTTTACAAAATTGTTTTAGATATTATAGATTAAAATTAATTTTCAAGTGGCTGAGGCCTCAATAAAACATTCTTTTTTTTTTTTTTTGGTAGACTAAGTGCAGTGCTCAGCTAAAATGGTTTTTAACTAAATGCATCAGCTGCATTTACTATAATTGTTGCTCTTCAGTGGCTGTTTTTCATCTTGTTATTTTAGTTTCAATGTCTAGATTACTAATGTGTAAGGATTTCACTTTCTAATGGACAGTGGTAAAAATGTTGGCAGTTCTTTAGCCATGTACATTTTGGCTTCATATCTTGATTATTTTTTATTGTAGATGCTGTTACAAGAAAAAGCAGAGGCATTGCAGGAAGAAGTAGAAGAGTTACTGAGGTTGCCTCCTGATTTCCCTGGCACCATGGCTGCCTCCATTGAAAAGGCATGAAGCTATCTGATGATTTCAAAAATGAATTATTTATTCTCCATATATTTTATTAAAGATTCTCTATACTTATAAAAGAAAAATATATTTTAATTATACATCATATCTGTGCTTAGTGTTTGAATAATTGAAATAACTTTTTCAGGAATAATTCATCTTTGATACTTACATACTGTCTCTCTGATCAGAAATCTATAGTGTCTACTACAGAATGAAACCCAATTTTCTTAATGTGACTCCAGCCTACATTTTTTTTATAGATTTATTTATTTATTTGAAAGGCAGAGTTACAGAGAGGCAGAGGCAGAAAGAGAGCTGATTTACTCCCCAATTGGCCAAAACAGCCGGAGCTGCGCTGATCTGAAGCCAGGAGCCAGGAGCTTCTTCCAGTCTCCGACTTGGGTACAGGGGCCCAAGAACTTGGGCCATTTTCCGCTGCTTTCCCAGGCCATAGCAGAGAGCTGGATCAGATGTGGTGCAGCCGGGACTCAAACCAGCGCCCACATGGGATGCTGGCACTGCAGGAGGCAGCCTTACTGGCTACGCCACAGCAGTGGCCCCCAAAAATATGTCTTTGTCAATGTAATAAGTTACTGGAAGCTGTCAAAGAGAACCAACTATAACAATGCTTTTGTATCTAGGGTGGGTGCTACTTCTTATACTGGGATGGAATTCAAAGCTATGTGGAGAACTTGTGTAGGAATGTTCTCACCTATGGAAGCGTCAAGCCTTGGGGAGGGGGGTGGCTATCATCACCTTTCCCTGAAAAACACCAGTGTAGAGATTTGTTGAGACTGTGGCCAGAACCGAAAAGGCTTACTGTATTGGATTAGAAATTGGGAGTTCTTTGACTGAAAAGTCTTTGAGTGGTGTTTGCTTAAGCTTACAGTACAAGGAAAAAGCAAAGCTGGACATCTGGAAGACCTTGCTGAAGCTGGGCATCCTAGAGATGGGCAAGCGAGCTCAGAGCTTGGACAAAAATGAAAAATGGAAAGCCTGATACCACATTGGAATTGTGGACATTTTAACGTTCTGAAGCCCGATATGAAGGTGCTACAGGTACCTTCCTTCTCTGATGCTTTATGTAATCAGACAGCATCACAAATGCCACATTTGAACCTTGACTTTACCTAAAATTCAATTTAATGGAAGAAGGCTGGCAGAAATTCAGCTTGGGGCCAGCGCCGTGGCTTAATAAGCTAATCCTCTGCCTGCGGCGCCGGCACACCGGGTTCTAGTCCCAGTCGGGGCGCCGGATTCTGTCCGGTTGCCCCACTTCCAGGCACGCTCTCTGCTGTGGCCCGGGAAGGCAGTGGAGGATGGCCCAAGTGCTTGGACCCTGCACCCCATGGGAGACCAGGAGAAGCACCTGGCTCCTGGCTTCGGATCAGCGCAGTGCGCCGGCCGCAGCTCGCTAGCCGCGGCAGCCATTGGCAAGTGAACCAACAGCAAAAGGAAGACCTTTCTCTCTGTCTCTCTCTCACTATCCACTCTGCCTGTCAAAAAAAAAGAAAAAAAGAACTTCAGCTTGGTATTTTTCTAAATGGAATCTGTTCCAATTGCATTCACTGAGTTATCCATCTTTTCCACTGGGACTTGAGTATCGCCAGTACCAGCTACCCTCTCCTCTGCCTAGCACCTCTCCTGTCTTCTGAAAAAAACACAACCAATTTTATTCCCTGGCCCCAAGGGTGAGAAATGGACACAGGCTGGACCCATCAGAACGCTTCTCAGTGATGTTTCTAACTGCAGTTGGTAGCTGAGTGCTATTTTGCTTTGATCTTGAAGCTAACAGGAAGTCAGTCTTGAGTTGCCTGCCAAAGAGGAGGCGGCAAATACTGGGGGAGGGAAGAGTCACTAGTTCTCGCTGCTCTATGGCAGTTCGGTTGCTGCTCAGGCTTTGAGAATGTGGCCACTAAATATTCTCTTGTTTAAGCTCTATATACTTGGGTTTCTATTACGCAGAACTGAAAAAACATGTTTATTAAGGTTCTTAAATGTCTTTGGGTCTGTACTCCGTTCCTGCTGACCTATTTTTCTGTTCTTTTCTAGTCTTACACTGTTTCAATTTCTTTACATTTTAATATCTTACGGCTAATCTTCCATCCTTACACTTGATACAGACTCAGGTTGACCTAGAGAAACAATGATGGAGATATGTATTTGTGTGCATGTGTGTATCATTCTGGATACTGGCATTTTAGTTCCTATTAAGGTACCCTTCTGCTCCCCTCCCACCTCTAGTCTTAAATTAATACATTAATCTGGGGGCCGACGCTGTGGCGCAGCAGGTTAAAGCCCATATGGGCACAGGTTCGAGTTCTGACAGCTCCACTTCCAATCCAGCTCTCTGGTATGGCCTGGGAAAGCAGTAGAAGATGGCCCGAGTTCTTGGGCCCCTGCACCTGTGTGACAGACCTGAAGGAAGCTCCTAACTCCTGGCTTCGGATTGGCGCAGCTCACCATTGTGGCCATCTGGGGCGTGAACTAGTGGATGGAAGACCTCTCTCTCCCTCTTTCTGCCTCTGCCTCTCCGTGACTCTGCCTTTCAAATTAATAAATAAATCCTTAAAAAAATACATTAATCTGGGATGATAAATTGGTCTCTTGTTAGCAAAAATCAGCCTGCCTTACTTGGACAAATCAATAAAACGGGTTTTAAGCTGTTAAAAAAGCAGACTGGACTATGGCCTACTGTGAGCACAACTCAGGCTGGCTAAAGGTGCCAGCAGGGGAGCCAGCTGCTCTCTCACAATTGCTTTAGCTGCAACAAATGGACCACAAGCAGTGAACCCCAAGATTCCACCGAGTCATTAGGGTGCCAGACTCTGACTTGGATATAGTGTGTCAGAATGGCATGGGTAATTGGATGGAATGCTAGGGGGAAAAAAATCAAGGCCAAGTGAAGGGAACATCTAGGGAGGAATAATATGGGCAAATCTGCTGAGAATATTATATAATAGCTAAGTACGTGGCCTTTAAACTGGGACTATATGGGTATGAATCTCTGTTTTGCAAGTAACTAGTAGAAGTGGGCTTGGGCAAGTTACTTTAACTTTTCTGTGTCTCCATTTATTCATCTATAAAATGGGAATGATAGTAGTTCCTGTCTCCTAGGGTTGTTTTATTAAATTACTCACATAAAGCACTTACACCAGTGCCTGACACACAGAAAGTAGTGTGTAACTGATTGCAATATACTAACGGTCTAAAATGTTAAGACACTGGAGCCTGGAGTTGTGGCACAGATGGATAAGCTACCATTTAGGATGTCTGCATTATATATCAGCTGACTACTCCACTTCTGATCCAACTCCCTACTAATGTGTTTGGGAAGCAGCAGACATTAGCTCAAGTACGTGAGTCCCTGCCACCCAAGTAGGAGACCCCAGTGGCTCCTGGCTTTGGCCTGGCCTGGAAGTGGCTGCCGTGGGCATTTGGAGTGAACCAGCAGATAGATCTGTTTCTCCCTCTCTCGCTCTGTCATTCTTTCAACCAAGTAAGTAAGTAAAACTTAAATAAATAGATGTTAAGACACAAACTTAAACTGTGGATCTATTTGCCAAGCTTCCAATGGAAGTCATTTAGACAACTAAATAGAATTTAAACCAAACCAGTTCAGTACTCACAAATCCTGTTGGCTATCAGTTTTTTTCTTATACTAAGGTCATCTACATTTGAGTTGAAATTTTCAAATTGTTGTTTAGGGTAGGATTCACTCTTCACAGATGTTTCTACTTGATGTAGCAAACTGTGGTAGATGTTGTGTGGCAAACAAAGATGATTTAAGGGGCCAGCGCTGTGGCATAGTAGGTAAAGCTATTGCCTGCAGTGCCAGCATCCCAAATGGGCGCCGGATCGAATCCTGAATGCTCCACTTCCAATCCAGCTCTCTGCTATAGCCTGGAAAAGCAGTAAGAGATGGTCCAAGTCCTTGGGCCCCTGTACCCGCATGGGAGACCCAGAAGAAGCTCCTGGCTTCAGATCAGCACAACTCCGGCTGATGCAGCCATCTGGGGAATGAACCAATGGATAGAAGACCTCTTTCTCTGCCTCTGCCTCTATGTAACTCTGCCTTTCAAATAAATAAATTTTAAAAACAAGATGATTTAAAAGGTCTGTTCTCTCTAGATTACAAATTAGTAACAGAAAAAATGACTTGAGTATATATGAGGGGTCCACAACGGTTATAAGGCATAGTGGGTACTCTGTGTGGGGTGGGGGTGAAGATGAACCTGCAGTCCATTCAGAGAAGAGGTAGTATTTGAGCATTTGAAGTTGATACATGAAATATATGGTACAATTTCATGCACTAGGAATAACAAAGCACTTAGGAAATGGGGGGTTTGGAAAAAACAAGGAAAGTTCCGGGGATTTCAAATAGCCCAGTTTGAAAGAAATGGGTAAGAGAATGATGAAGGGTATGGAGGGGCTGGTGCTGTGGTGTAGCAGGTAAAGCCACTGCCCCAAAGTTTTCTTAAATGTACTACACTGGAAAGGTCAGAATAGCTATGTAATGCTCCATTGTAACTCCTCCATTTTCCACCAGGTGTCACTAATGCTGCAGTGTTCAAATCAAGGTGGATCTCTTCAGATTTTAAGATTGTAGTATTCTGTGTATTTAATTAGAAGTTACACAGGGATTTCTGGGTCATAAATATTAGCACATCAGAACAGGAGCACTTAGCATCTATCGTTTTCCAGATCCTTTATGTTAGTTACTTCACTTTAACCTCATGCTTTAGTGAGGAAGTTGAACTGCGGGTCCATAAGCAAAACAGTTAAGCTGTTGTTTCAAGTTCAGATGGTCTCTTCCTTCTGTCCCCAGACAAGGACGCTCACTCCACGGCTCCTCAACAAGCACACTGAGTAGAGCATGTTCTCCGCCTTTTCCTCTTGCATTAGACATTGTTTCAGCAGTGGAGGGCCTAAGGTTTCCCTTCAGGAGCTTTGCAAAACTTGACATTGTCTCACTGGATGATTATATTTACATCTTCCTCAAATGTTCCATCCTCAGATGACAGACCAATACATGGAGGAATCTGAAGATGGAAGACTCTCCAGTACCTCTTTTTTTTTTTTTTTTTTAAGATTTATTTATTTAT